TTCTTAGCACTTAATTGCACAAGAGAGTGGTGGGAGGCAGATCAGTAAAGATCATCAACGAGGCGTCTGTCCCAGGAGCGTGGTGGCTGGGTCCCTTTTAAGGACAGGGAGGAGGCTGGGAAGAGCCCGCAGGAAACAAGGCTTGATGCCGACCTTCTCCTCGTGAGTTTCCCCAGGGAAGTACTTGGATTTGATCCTGGTCAAAACAGCCCCTCCCTCCTCTGTTCCCTGCCCCCAGGATCTCCTCTGGCTGCTTGAATTTAGAAAAGGCAAGTTTAGACTAAAAATCACACCCAGACTGGGCGGCCTAGATCTTGACATTTAAATAACCAGGGAACTCCCAGAAGCACCTTCGTCTGCGTTGGTGAGGTTTTTACTGTTGTGAGCAAGAGACCCTGTCTCTGGACGACTTAAGCCGAAGGTGAATTTTTTTTCCAAAACACACAGAGTAACTTATGCAGTTAGGGAAAAGCACAAGACCAGATCGGGAAGGAGAGGAACGCAGGGAGTAAGGAGATTCAGAGCACCGGGAACAAATGGTCTGTGTGCTGAGGATGCTGAGTCGTGATACCTCTGCTCCTGCTTTTTTCCTTTCGTTTCATTCCATTGCTCTGCTACCCGGAGGTTTTCAGCTGCAGGAAACAGAAGTCGTGGCTAGGAATGGCGGAACTAACAAAGGTATTTACTTCACTGTCTTACTGAGATGAATGGTTTGGGGGTCGGCGTGGCACCTCACGCATGTCACAGTCTGCGTCTCCAATTCCTTGGCTGTTGGGTCACAAGAAGGCTGCTGCAGCTCCAAATATATTCTCTCACCAGTATTGCAAGTGGGAAAAAAGACAGGCAGCAGAAATAGGGGCTTTTCCTTTTCACCAAAGCGGCCTCCCCTCCATTCAGCCCTTTATAATCCATTGGTTGGAACTGAGTCCAAGGGCCACCCCTGGCCACGAGGGAGGCTGGGGAAGTGAGTACTGGGCGTAGGACCAGAAGAGCCGTGACTGGCATATACCAGAGCCTCATTTCTGGGCTGGGCATGTTACTGCCCCAAATCAGGGTTCCCTGAGCAAGGAGGATGGGGCAGGAGAGCTCGACATACAACGCCCAGCAAGGAGGCTGAGTGAATGGGAGACTGACTGAGGGGACCAAGAGGCCTGGCCAGAGTCACCATGTTTGAGTCACGATGTGTGACTGAAAGGTAACGTGCCAAAAGGAAGCAGGGCCCTGTGCTGCAGGACACGGGATGGCAGCTGAGTGTAAGGCCCCTCCACCCCCCACTGGCCTTTCCAGAAAGCAGCTGGTGTTCCAGGAGAGGCCGCATAACTCACAGGTGGTGCAAATAAAAATGCAGGACCCAGCTGTGCAAAAATTATGCAGACTTTAAAGACAGTGACAGCAGCGCATTAAACAAGCTCGGGGGCCTTCGGAGCTCGGCGCCCTGTGCGGCTGCGCGGGTCACACGCCCACGAAGCCTGCCCTGGCCCGGCCCAGGGCAGGAAGCCTTGGTGAAGGTGTTTCCGGGTCTGCTTTTGTATGAAATTGGATTAAATACATTCATGGATAGTAGGGAAAGCTGTGATTTTTTTCATTAAAGCCAAATGTGTCCAGGCATTAGTACGAAGTCTCAGAGAGCAAAGAAAGAGGCGATCCCCCCTATCCGTGCATATAACCCAGAGCGGAGAAGGCAGTTCTTGGGGGCGGGGCGGGGTTTCCACTCTACTCCAGCTGCAGCAGAGGAAGCGGGGGAAGTCAGCTCCATCCTCATGCCCGGTCAGGCTGGCGATGACAGTCCCTTATCTGGGTGTCACAGAGGCCCTGTGCGGGGCAGCGGACCACTTCCCCCTTACGATCGCAGTCGTTGGGGCTCAGAGAGGCCCCTGCCATCCACGGGGCACGGGCAGGCTGGGCTGGGAGGCTGCGCTGTCTGAACCCAGGGCCTGTGTGCATCAGACTCTGCGCCGCCGAACAATCCGACAGGGTTGGGGAAATCATAAACAATTGGTTTGGTGGGACCAGTAGGTGAGGCTAGATATAAAGGGCTGGGTTCATTTTGTGGGGGAGAGGGGGTCTTTGAATCCTAGGGCCCAGGCAGCTTCGATAAGGGTTGCCACAGGGGCGTCACTCAGCCACAGGAATGCAGGCTGGGGGGTACCCCCAACGATGCCACGGGGGCACGAGCCCCGGAGCCTGAGCCAGGAAATGAACGTTGTTTTTCCTCATAAAAGTGTCTGTCATACATGGCCAATTTCTGAAATGAAGCCACAAGCCAGGAACATTTGTCTAGATACTTTTAATTAAAATGCATTGTAATAGGGGGAAAGCCAGATTGTAAAAGGCAGTCTTCAAGTTCACTAAGAAAACATGACAATATTCCCGGTTAGCTGAGTACATTTTGATAGTGAAATTTTAAACCGCTTCTTGGTTTTAATTTTATTTCAGATGTTTGTGTAGTTTAAAAAAAGAGCTTGCTATTCATTGTCTACCAAAATGCAGGAACTGCTGAGATGTTTTAAATCAGTAGAGAGTCAACACACACACACGAAGGTCCTGGTTCAGCCGCAGAATTACAGTATTTCTGAGTGGTACCATTTGTACTGTGGCGATCAACCTGTCCAATTCTATTTAGAGAATAATGCCAGCCTCAGATTCAATTTCTCTAATATCCAAGTTCTGTGAAATTGTCGAGTTTGGTGAGATAGTCAGCAAAAATAAAACACTGTTAATCTCATCTCAAAATCAACTTTCTTTCCAGGACAGTTCTTGGGAACCTCAAAAATCCCATGCTTTATATAATAAGCAGTATATATTCAAGGGTTGTGTCTAAAAGAATAAGTACATTTGTATAAAAATTCCTTATAAAATAGGATCTCACAGTGAGGGTGCCTGCCCTTGAAACATTGTGCCCTCGGCTGAAGGACAACACAGTTGCTTTACTGATACATCCAAAACACTTGCTAAAGATGAAAGCATTGTCTATGCTTGGACCTTAGAGTTTGTAGTGCAAATATGGGAATGATAAACAGGGATGGTAAAGAAAAAAGAAATTAGCCCAAACCTCCAGACTTCTATTTAAAAACAGCGTTTACCAGTGAAATTACACCTGTGTGTGATTTTTTTATTGCAGCATCTGTTTAACAGGGTAAGACTGGACATAATGCAAATGCACGTCAATGGCAAGCCATGGAATGTCGTGTTACTTCCAGGCAACGGACCAGGGTACAGTTATGAAGAAACAAGCACACCCTGTATGTGCTGCAATGGAAGACATTCCTAACGAAGTCAAGTGAAAAATAGCAGTGGCTCTAGTGTGTTACAATATGTGGGAGGAAGAGGGAGGTGGAAGGAGACAAGAGTAAATTTACACATTTCCTTGTGAAAACTTCACATATCTCTGCGAAGATACATAAGGAACTCGTAATAGCAGTGGTCGCTTCCGGGAAGGGGGCGTGAGGAAGGTTGGGCACCAGGGGTGAGGGGGAGAATTTTTACTGGGTGTCTTTTTATACCCATGGAAATATGTTACTACCTGTTAAAATGAATTAACAAGAGCTTTTTTAAAGGGTTCAATAATGTCGTTCATCATTATGTTCAACGTGATGACTACTCAGATCATGTGATGCATCATCGGCCAGATAAATCTGTTCGTTACCCTGGCACTTGGAGATGCTTCGACCCTCCTAAACATCTTTAATTTTTTGGTAGGGGAAATGAAAGTTCTTCTTTTAGATTGATGGGAAAATACAGACATTTGCAAGCCCTCAAAGGCCCCGTTAGCAGTTTGCAATGTTCCAGTAACTGCATATAAAATGGGCATTACGCACTAGAAATCAGGCCTTTTGTGTTTATGGTTGCTGGTGGGAACAATGGCCCAATACTAGCTTTTGTTTTTAATTCACCACTCCCCCAAGAGCCATTCGGTTTGCAAATCAAATCCTCTCAATAAATACCCATTGCCCAGGCCAGGTGGCTCAGTTGGTTGGAGTGTCATCCCGTACACCAAAATGTGGCGGGTTTGATCCCCAGTTAGGACACGTACTTATGTTTGATCCCTGGTTGGGGCATGTGCGAGAGGCAACCAATCGATGTCTCTTTCTCACATCGATGTCTCCCTCTCTCTCTCTTGCTCTCTCCCTTCCTCTCTCTCTAAAATCAGTAAGTATAGATTCGGGTGAGGATTTTAAAAAAATCCATTGACTGAATCCCTCCCCTCGCCTTTTTTGAATCATAAAAGCAGCACGCCGTGATCTGGAGAAACTTCGGGAATTTCAGTGGTATCAGTTGGAAGATTTCATCTAGGATTCACCAAAGTTGCTACCCTCACCTCTACAGCAAGGGCGTCAAAAGCAAGTGGTAGGCTGATCCCTGCCGAGGAGAGGGGGTGACGCCGGGGGCGCTCAGAAACGCTCACAGCCCTGGCCAGGCGGTCCGCTTCTGTTCTATCTGCTCTGCGATCATGGCCTCGATGGCACCGCCGGGGGACGAATAGAGGCTGGGGAAGATAAGAAGCGCTCGGCACCCTGACCAGCATCTTGCTGCTACCGCGACTGCCCAGCAAAGACGGCATCTGTCACAGGCTCAGAGGACCCTGGTTCCCAGTGGGACCAAAGGACAGGGCAACTGCCTGCCTTTCTGCTGGACGCTGTCTGTCCTGGAAATGTGGGAGACAGATTCCTGAAGGGAAACCCCTAACATTCAAAACCCTTGAAGTCTCCAACGAAGCGTCCCATGGTGCTAGAATCTTATCCTCTATCCTCTGTCTATGAACTTTCAAAGCAGAAAAAAAAACGTTGTTCTCAAAAATAATAGTCAAGAGAGGTAGGATTCTCAAGGGAGGGTGGGAACTTAGGGGCACTAGGAAATGTGTTGATTCTAAGGCCAGCCCTGGGAGAGGCTGATGTTGGGGCAGGAAGGGTGGCCAGCAGTTAGCTGAGAGCCACCAAGGCCACCACTGGGGATGAGCAACTGGGCTGCTGGGCATGCGGACGGCAGGGGGAACAGCCACCTCACTCTGCCTCCTTCTTCTCTTCCTCTGGGATCTCCGCCGACGGGATCTGGTCGCCAGGGTCCGGGCCGGGGCTTATGCTGATCCGCACAGAGCGCTCCTCTGGACCACCTGTCCCCCGCTCAGCATCCCTGGGGGAGGCAGGTGGCTGAGAGCCTGGGGCCTGGAGTTCTGAGGCTGGGGGTTCTGGGGGCGCAGGCTGGTCGGCGACGGCAGAGCCCCCCTCTCCCGCGGCATCTTCTGAGCTCTTGGCCTGGAATCCCAAAAGGGGGACTGGTGAGGCTGAGAACATCCGAGGGGTCTTGCACACCTCCCTGCTCCCCTTGCCGGACCCCCTGGGAGAGGCAGGTGGGGGCTCAGAGGGTGCAATCTGAGGGCGGGCTGGGCAGAGCCGCATCAGGGTCACTGGTACAGACACTCCATTATGGGGGACGCACGTTTAAGGATTACAAATCCTGGTTGGATTTAGCGGTGGGCCCCGGGGAGATATTCTAGGTCTCTGTTGAGTTGCAAGGCTGAGCCCCTCCCCCAGGTTATGGAAGCAGGAGAGGCCGTGACCTTGAGGGAGCACCTGCTGGCCAAGCTGAGCTGGCTTCCCTGCCCACCCAGTTCTCAGGGCTGCGGGCTCCTGGGTGAGCAAGAAAAACCCTAAGAAAACAAGGAAAAGGCCGGTGAGGGCTGGAGCAGCTGTGGCCTGACCCCCTTTCAGGAAGGTCTCAGAAGTTAAGATGCCCAGGGGCCACCGGCGTTGGGCTGGGCTGAGCCCCGCTGTTTGGGGACTTGGCGAGCGCCTCCAGCCTCCAGCCTGCGGGCTCCCTGCGGGTGCCAGCCATGGTCTGCGTGTCAGTGGTGAATTGGTCGGAAACCCGTGCTTTGGTGGGCACCCCTGGCCGCTCTTGCTCCTCCGGTCCCACCTCTGCACCGAAGGAGAGTGGGGACAGTGCAGCCCCCAGACCAGGAGGCCCAGGGGGTCCACACATGTCCAAGGCCCACTTGAAATGGTACTGGTGAGTTCAAGCGAGAGCTGTCGGCGTGCTTGTGAGAAGCAGAGACCCCGAAGTTTGCTCGAGTCGTAAGGTGTTGAAGAAAGAGGGGTGCGGGGTGAGGGACAGGGTGCTCCTGGGACCCAAGGCTTCTTGGGGAACTCACCACTCCCTCCGTCTCAGTGTTGCTGAACGTTTGTCATACCTGTTCCAGCCTCCCCTGTCCCCTCTAAACTCTGACAACGTCCCAAGGCTGGATGCCCACGTGGGGCCCCCCGTAAACCGCCTGAAGCACCCTGCTGTAAATGGAGCCAGGAGAATCACAGACACGTTGCTTTAGGGCTTCCCCACGTTCAGATTGCCCTTAGAAAAGGTAGCCTGGGTGTCCTGCTTCATCTCTGACACCCTGTGTGACAACCACGGGGAACTAGGGTCTCAGGAGGCTTGAGGAGTCAGCTACCTGGGTCGCAGCTGGCGGTGACAGAATGGGGACTTAGACCTGTGCCTTTGGACAGCTACCTGAGAGACCATCAACTCTGCCGCTCGGCCCTGGTTCCGAACTGTGGGGGAAATGCCTTTTACTGGCGCATTCGTGCAAACTGAGTTCGTGTCTCTAAGCTGCCTCGGCGAGGAGCTAAGACCAGGACCCCCTTTCAGATGAAGGATGTCACTGTACTGAGAACATTCTCAGAGTTCACATCAACTCGGCCAGCCCCGAAGACCCCCACTTGCCAGCCTGAAGCCACCCTTGACACTTGGCGAGCCAGCCCATCACGTCTGTCCTCAGTCTGCGGCTGCGGGTGATTTTATCTGGACAACTGGAACCGCAGGTGGCTTTGAGATCACCCCTCAGTCTCCTGCTCTCATATGGCTTCCGATGGGGTCCCTGGACCCTGACACCAGCCTGGATTGAGCCTGAGTTCACAGGGTTCCTCTGAATCGTCTCCTATAGACTGTGGTCCCCTCCTGCCTCTGAGCTCCCGCCTAGCCCCACTCCCCTTTCCCGGCAGCCTCCCTGAAGGACAGGGATGAGCAGCTGTAATTAATGCAATCATTCTAACTGGCATTCTAGGCATTAGTCACAGAAAAAAGTCTCAGAACTAATTTCAAAATTCCCTTTAGATTTATGGGGGTGGGGCTGTCGACACCACACCTGTCACCGTTTCAAATCTTTTAAATTGTCACAGACACAACATTAACTATGAGAACATCACTCCCTTCTGGGGAGGGAGGGACATTCCGTGCCCACACCAAGGCTTCCCTTCGGGAACCCACCCCATCTCCTCAGCATAGCCAGGGACATGTAGCCAGCCCTCTGCAGAGCACCCCATTAAATGGCTCAGGAACTAGCATGTGACCCAAGGTGTCCAATGACAATGAGCCCTGAGACTTTTGCTGGAATTACTGGGAGAGAGGTACTTTCTTTGTGTTCAAGTTGCTAAACCAGGAGACTGTAATCCTAGAGCTTGTGGGGCCAGCCTGGCAGTGGAGTCGTCCCCAAGGAAAGCAGAGATGATAGGCCAGCACACCTCGTCCTGCTAGCATCATCTGAGCTTTGGGACCCAGCCTTGCGTGAACATTTAAATTACTTGACCCAGCAAATTCCCTTTTCTCAAGTTAATACGAGCTTGCCCTGTCACTCACATTTCTGTTACTTGCAACCAAACAAGCCCTGACAGGTAGAAAGAAGGGAAAGAATTCCCTCAAATTCAATGCATGGCCTGCTCTCTGAGGTCCCCAGGCCCTCTCCCTGGCACACGGCTGAAATGGGCGGGTGGCTTGGTTCCAGTCACATTACCTGTTCCAGCAACTGCTGCTGTTTCGCAGCCGCCTCCTGCGCAGCCAGCTCTTTGAGCCGCGCCCTGAGGTGGGCCAGCTTGCCGCCTTTTGCCCCGCTGGCGCCCACCTTCCTCGCTGCGGCCAGGGCGGCATTGAAGAGCTTGGGGGTGCCGGCCCTGGGAGGAAGGATCAGCACACTCTTCTCCTTGGGCTTGTTGTTGTTTCTCAGCATGCGCCTGAAAGAAAGCAGTGTCCACTCATGTCACAAGCCCGCTCTGGGACCGAAGAAAGGCTCGTCCGTGCAGCGCCCTTTGAGTTGGACTTGTGTGACGGCGGTTGTTTAGCGAACCACTTTTGAGTGCATTTTCTGAGCCAAGCAGGAACGCCAAGCGCACAGCATCTCACTGAATGGTCAGAACAACCTACGTGGGTCTTATTGTCTGTCCCTTCTCGATGAAGAGACAGAGGTTCCGAGGGGTTGAGTAACTTTTCTGAGGTCACACAGGAACTGAGGAAGGGTGCTTCAGTATAGGGGGTCAGAAATAAGATGCCCAGATGAAAAAGGACCCAAAGTTCTTGCTTCTCTTTCTCTTGCTTCATTGTCACCTCGCCATCAGCACCGTCATCTCGGTCAGCACCTACTGAGTGTCTGTAGAAACGGGCCCTGTGCTCAGTCCTTTACAGTCACTTGTTGGTGGCCTCTGGGATCCCCCTGCCCGGTGTTTATGCCTCTGTGTGATCCCTTCCCGTGAGGGTGAGTGGGACATGTGACTTACTTTCAATAAATAGAACATAGCAAGGGTGCTCAAATATCACATTTGTGAATATGTCAGATAGCCTTGTGATCTCTGTCTTGCAATGACAAGCAAAGCCTTGCTGGCTTGGAGGAAGCAAGCGGCCACACTGGGGGACATGATGTGGCAAGAACCTGGGGGCAGCCACCAGCCAACAGCTAGGAACTAACCAGAGACAGAAGCCCCCAGTCCTGTAACCACAAGAACTGGATTTGGCCAACAACCATGTGACCTGGAAGCAGATCCTTCCCCACTTGAACTTGAGAGGAAACCTTGATTACAGCTCCATAGTAGGCCCACCTCAGCAGTCCCTAGACTTCTGACCCACAGAAACTCTCCAGTAATAAATATGTGTGGTTTTAAGCTACTAAATGTGTGGTAATGTTGTTACGCAGCAATAGATAACTGATAGCACATTCTCTCATTTAAGTCTCGCAGTAATCCTCAGGTAGGTCCTATTATCTTCCCTCATTTTGGATGAGGGTGTGGAAATCCAGAGAGGGTGAGTAACTTTCCCAAGACCACACAGCTAGGAAATGACATCCCTGGGATTCGAACCCAGGCCTCTGACCCCAGCACCCCAGATCTCAATGGTTACAAAGCAATGTCTTGGATGCTGACCACACCCCTGTAACATGAAAAGGGCTGGGATTATTGTACCTATGAGAGTTGGGGAAACTGAGGCCCAGAATAAAGGGACTTGCTAGGAAGTGGCACAGAGTGACAACCCAGACAAAATGCAACATATCAGCCAACTATTAAATGAGGACAGAATTTTCCATCTCACAGAGCCCCAGCCTTTTCAAAGGCGTTTTTCATACTACAAATTTATGATGAGTGGGTTGGCTCTAGAACAAATGAATTTCGCCTGCCATCTAGCAGGGCCTAGACTACTAATTGGCAAATTCATTCATCAGGGTTCCAGCAAAGCTTGTTTGTTTAAAAACGAGGCCATCACTGGCTGCTTATCTAATCAGAGGCAATGGATTTAAATTGTGCATATTGATATTAATTGCCCCAGACTTGCATTTCCTAGCTGGGGCTCTCCCAGGAGAATGCAAACACTGTAATTCATCAGAGGCCTCTTACAGGGTCGGTTGTCACCTGTGTCATTTGAGCCCATAATTCATAGCACCCCAGTCTGCAGGAAGGCTCAGCGTGATACCAGATTGACACAAAAGAACCCTCTCCAGCACCATTGCTGATGGCTGACGGCTGGCTCTGTTTTGAAACACTGAGCTGGCTTCTGGGACATTTCCAGATGAAGGAAATTGAGTCTCATTTTCAGACGACACGCATTTCACTCTCGTTAGCCTCAAGAGCTCACCCCAGAAGGAAGTGGAGGGCCGGAGATATTCGTGCCCCATTTCTTGGAGGGGCCAGGTCAAGGAGCTGAGCGCCTCCCTTGTTTGGGGCCTCAGGCCTCCCATCAAGCAGGGAGCTCAGCCAGAATCCCGCCTGTGGCTCTCGCCGCCTCAGACACCCCCGGGCCCTGCGGTTCTCAGACCACGGCTCTCTTTGGACGGGCAGAGCCCCTGCCTCTCTCCTCAAGCTTGTTGTCCAGAGAATGAGAGTCAGCCCCTCCTCCCTGCCCCACACCAGCTCGCTGCAGGCAGGTCAGGGGCGTGGCCCCTGCAGGAGGCAGCTGATTCGGCAAACCCTCACCTAAGCCAGCCTTGCACAGTTCATTCCCGTGATGTGGGTCTATCAAGTCTGGGCAAACACTGAATTAGCCACCACTGAGCCATTATTGCTGGGGGAAAGCAGGAGGAAGTCTCTACGTGCCGCTCAATACAACATTCTTATCAGCGGATCAATACGCAACCTGTTTTGTGTGTGTTTCCCTTTAAAGACGTCTTATTTAACCTATTTGTTGACCCGTTAACAATGAAACGGGGGCCAAGAGCTTTATCATTGGTTCCTGAAGGAAGGCAATCCCAGCCTTCTTGCTCTTTGAAACAGAAGCCAGCATTTCAGCACCAGCCCTTTTAAGTAGAGAGATCACCAAAATAAATAAATAAATAAATAAATAAATAAATAAATAAATAACATGGCACATAACAGACGACAAAAAAGACACTTGTTTCCAGAAGGAGTGGGACCGAGACAGCAGAGCGTCCCTTTGCTCAGCTCCAGCTTGGAACAGGCACACCGGGGGACTCAAATTTTCCACTGCTCTGCGCCACCGGCAAAGGACCACGATGACCTTGAGTATTGATTTGGGGGTTGTAAATAAATTTTAGTGAGGAGGCAAACTGCAACTACAGGATCCATGAATAAAGACTGTGACCTTCCTTCCCCTTCCCTGGGGAGAGGGGGGGAAATGGGCAGTTTTGTGGGAGAAGTTCAGGCCAAACAGCCTTTGAAAGGGCCCCGTGGCCTCTCTGAAGGCAGCCAGGGAAGATGGGTCCCAAAATGGCTTCCTTCCCCAGGGGACCCCAGTGCCTTTTGTGTACTGAGTTCTGATATCAACACTATAGCCACTCACGTGGGAGCTGCCAAGGGGGCCACTGAGGACCGAGTCACAAGTGACCCCCTGTGTAACCCCTGTGTGCGTTCTATTTCCCTCAGTGTAGGAGCCAGAGCGATCACAAGGCTTCACCCACGGGCCCCACCCAGTCTCGGCCCCTTGGCTTCTCCCATCCCATCTCTGGCGACACTCACTTTCTCGCCGGTCTGCACACGCACGGAGCCTGTGCCCCCTTGGGGCCTTTGCACATGCTGTTCCCTGTGCCTGCCTTGCTCTTCCCTGCAGGCAGGGCCCCAGCTCACTTCCTTATTCTGGGCAGGTCTCAGCTGAAATGCCACCTCCTTAGAACGGCCTTTCCTTACCAACTTATCTCAGATAGCTCTCTCCGTCACCTTGTCTCCTCATGGGGCTCTCTGTTTCCTCACAGCCCCCGTCCCCAGCTGACGCATCACATAACCTTCCATTCCTCTGTTGCTGGTCTCCTCAACTAGGATGTACGTTCTGTTTAGTCCCCGCTGTGTTGCCAGGGCCTCGCACTATGTACTCAATAAATTACTGTGCTGTGTGAATAGATGTTGGTGGGCCGGCTCCTTTTCTCATGACCACTCTCTGTGCAGTATATTTATGGTGTTATTTCATAGAATGAAGTGGAAAATAAGAAAATGCGATGAAAGGCAAGGCAAGGCAAAAGCCAGGTACGTGAAGTAAAAAATCTTAATCCAATGGAAAAAATTATAGAGGGAGTATAATGGGTAAACATTGTCATGGAGCTCTCCCACAGGCCAGGTGCCCAGCTGGAGACTTCCACACACAGCATTTTATTTATGGTTACCCATAGTTCATGGAGGGTGGGGGGGGACTGAGACCAGAAAAGTTAAGTAATTTTCCGACGGCACACAGCCGGTGCCACACATGGATGAGATATAAGCCCTATCAGCCTCCCAAGCCTATTGTGGGTTTTCTACCATATAATGTGGCCTCCGTCAATTAAAAACCCTATCTGAAGGGCTTGAAAGCAAAAATACGCTTTTCTAAGAAACTACCTACTCTCCAACAATCCAAAATACAGATGAACACGGTCCTTCATTGCCGCGCTGTTTCTACTACAAGACGCTGGGAACAGCCTGCTCGCCCACGCACAGGAATGGGTTGCGGCTCCCAGCAGGGGTGAGCGCGCAGCGGAGGGTCTGACCAGAACACTTTTCAGGGTGGGTGGTCACGTGGGGAAAAGCACAGTGCGGAAGAGACTCCAAGGAATGCTACCTTTTGTGCATGACAGAAGCAGAGATCAGAAAACATCCCTGGATCGGCTTATTTTTGCAAAAGGAAACACAGGAAGGAAAAAGCATAAATGAATGAGGCTGGGCTCTGCTGGGCGGTAGGTGGCAACAAGTGTGGGGAACTGGGACCGTTCTCTGAGGATCCTGTTTTGTAGTGATTGACTTTGGTACGATGTTACCACAGTATCACATATTCAAAACCACGCACACAGACGCACGCACGCACGCACACACGCACTCAGATCCCTAGAATGGAGTGCAGACTGGAACACACCAACCCAGCTGTGTTTCAAGTGGACAAAACAACCGCACTCAGGGGAGAAAATGAGAACTAATCCAGGTAACACTGACCACATGCTTCCATCACATGTCCTCCAGCTCAAGACAGACAGAACCCAGAAGCCTCTCTTTCTCCGGTGACGCCCCATAGTAACGCAGATGCTACTTTTGATGTGGTGAGGCTAAAAAGAGTCACTCGTGTTGCAGAAGGAATTTACAAATATGGAAAAGGAGAAAATTGGAATGAACTCTGGTGTTGGATTGAAAATGTTAAATATAGATAAATAAAAACAGAAAAAAAATGTTCAAAGAAATTAGTCATTAAAGATAGGAAGAGGCTGAGGAACTTTGATCCCAGATCGAGGAAGACAAAAGATACAGTATGGCAACATAATACAGTGGATCCCCCACTTGATCCAGGAGTGGAAAAGAAGAAAAGAAAAGCTATAAAGACACTATTGGAACAATAGAAAAATTCAAATATGGATTAGGGATGAGACAACCGTGTTGTTTCAACATTGAATCTCCTGATAAAGGTACTACAGTTATGTACGAGAAAGTCTTACTCCTTCAGAAATGCATACTAAAATATATATAGATTTTTTTAATTAAAAAAAAATGTACCTGGCCTTCTTCCGGAGTAACTTCTGAGACTCGGGATAATGCACCAAAATTTCGTTCAGGTCCTTCTTATCCAGAATGAAGAGGTTGGTAAATCCATGAGCCACCACGTTGGCCGTGCGCCGGTTCCCGCCCCCGACGGCCAGCAAGCTGGGGTGAGAGAGGAGGGAGCTGAGGCCCTTCCGAGGCCGCGGGTTCGATCACACTGTCTTCATTTCCAGCCCCACGTGAGTGCAATGGGGGTCCCACATGGGCGAGGGCACATGTCACCTGCCTATGTCAGCAGGCACCCAGGCTGCATGCACAGCGGTGCCCTCAGACCCACCAAGGGCCCTTGAGGGTGAGGCCCCACTCCGGCCACCCCCTGCCCTTCCCCAGCCTTTGCCCAGGTCCCCTCTGACCTTATCTCTCCAAATACAGATCCCGCTTTCAGCATCACCAGCACCGACTTCCCGTCAGGGCCGCCCAAGACCTGCACCTGGCCTGCCTGGATGATGTACATCTCGCGGCCTATCTCCCCCTGAGACAGAGAAGGGGAAAGTCCCTCTGTCATCGTCAAAGCGACCACAGAAGCGGCAGGACTGGGCCCAGAGGCTGGTGGCACAATGCGGAGGAACCCGCCCTGGGGTCCGGCACTGCCACCAACTTGGTGTGTCGGCGGGGGGGGGGGGGGGCGGGCCTCGGTCCCTCCATCTGTGGATTGGGTGCGATCACAGTGGGATTAGTGGGGCGACAGAAACGAGAGGGCTGGGTGTGATGGGGCAGGTGTAAGGGTACCCTGCAAGTTCCCAATGATACGGCCGGGAGCGTGGACGGTCCCACAGCGGCTCAGACAATAAGCTGGTATCTATGCCCAGCACATACTGCACCAGGAGCTTGGTGAGCACTTGCTAACATGCCCAGCATTTCTGTGACATTATTCCAGGCCAGTCACTGTTCTCAGGGCCTCATGTGGCCGGGCCTGCTTACCCCTCAACAGCCCTCGGAGGTCAGGACTCCGTGCCCGAGGTCACAAACTAGGAAAGGAACAGCCGGGGTTCAAGCCCAGATGGCCTGGCTCCAGAGTTCATGGCGGTCGTGTGTTGAATTGCATCTTCCCTTCCCCCAAGTTCATCCTAACCCCCAGTTCCTCCGAATGTGGCCTTATGTGGAAACAGGTTCTTTGCAGATGGTATAAATTAAGGTTAAGATGAGGTCATTCTGGAGCTGGGTGCATCCCTAATCTAATATGACTGGTGTCTGTCTACAAGGTACAGTTAGACACAGAGGCGGGCACAGAAGGAAGGCAATGTGAAGAGACACAGGGAGAAACAGCCATCTACCAGCCAAGGAGAGAAGCCTTCCTCACAGTTGTTGCAAAGAGCCAACCCCACTGGGACTTGAACTTGGGCTTCAGGTCTCCAGAACTGTGAGAGGTGCATTTCTGTTCTTTAAGCCACATGGTCTATGGTGCTTAGCAGCTGTAGCAAACTAATACAATGGCCTTCATCCCAATTGAAACCGAATGAATGAATGAGTGAGTGAGTGAGTGAATGAATGAATGAATAGCTTGCTTTGGACCACAATCAGGGATACCCAGTCAGCCACACACCTGCCTGTCCTCATGGCCTCACAGGCCTCTGCCATGGTAACTACCTGTTGGTCTCACCTGCCATGTTTAAAGGGAGAAAAACCAAGGACAGGTAAGCCAATTACACTTTTGATTCATCTGACAAACGTTTCCTGGGTATCTCACACCTGTATGACCTTCTTAACAAAAAGAAAGAAAGTTTCATTTCCCTGTTTCTATGTCCAACTTGACAAGGGGCTGAAGCGTGGGGGGTTCCAAGAGCTCACCCTCACCTCAGTAACCAGCTCAGGGGTGGCCCGGGGTGGCCCAAGAGCTCCTCAATGAAATCATGGCAGAGCAAAACTGGACAGCAGAGGGCGCCATTCCCACATGCTCACGAAGCGTTCATTTTTACTTCCAACTGCAAACTTTCCAACCTGATTCATTTTTTCTCACCTGAAGCAAATTCTACATCACCCACGAGGATGATCGCAGCTAGTCTGTGCCAGGCACAGTGACAAACTCTGTGTGCACATCGTATTCAATTCACAGAACCACCCCGTGAGGAAGGTATTCTCAATAGCCCTACTTTACCCATGAGAAGGGAGAAACTCAGAGAGGCCCAGCCAATGGTGCACAGCTAGGAAGCAGCTCCAATGTCAGACAAATACACCCAAGCCCCTCTTGGTCTCTAAAGCTGCAGCTTTAATTTACAGCCGTATATAACACACTTTCCCCTTCTTCCCCCAGCTCTCTGTTTCCAGAAACTTCACTGAAGCATACAACTTAAAAACAGGGGCCTTTTTGGGCTGGGGGTTCTGAGTCCTACAGGGGTTGCTTGGGCAGTATTTTTACCCCCTTACACATACCAGCCTTATTAACGGCTCTGTCACAAGAGGCCTGAAGTCTGGTTCCTGCTCTCTCACCGCTGACCACTCACTCCAAGCGACCTTAGACTCACCTCGAATCCCAAAGAGTGGGAGCAGAAGGGCTCCAGACACAGTCTAGCCCCAGGATCCAAACCCGAATGTTTTCCAGGGCCAGGTGGGTGATGTAAAGGAGCCTGGGTGGGGGGCAGTGGCGGGTGGTGGGACTTGTGGCTCAGGAGAGAGGACGGTGTCCCCCTGGAGGGGAGCCCCTTCTCCTCCCCAGCTGACTCTTGCTATTTGGGAATCTGGGGCTCCGTCCGTGCTAGGAGATGGTCTGTTTTCAGCCAGAACTCTGGATTTTCATGTAAAACCTTCTATTTTTAAGGTTGGGGACTAATTCAACCTTTTTTTTTAAGATTAGGAAAAAACCCAAACCCACAAACACCTATGCAAGGGCCATCAGCCGGCAGCCACCCGCTGCGGCCCGCTTCTTGGCAGCCAGCGAGCGGTAAACCCCAGGCCGCGCTGTGGCTGCCTCAGGCGTCTCACCTTCTTGCACACGTAGTCATTGGGCAGGTAGACGACAGAGCGAAGCCGCTTCAGCATGTCAAAGATCATCTGTCGGTCGCAGCCCTGTCCCGGAGAGGAGCAGAAAGGACTCCCCGTTAAGAAGATGTGGGCTCGGGCCTCCCAGAGCCCTGGGGGTGAGGGTGCTGGGTGGGTCGTACCTGGAAGAGCGCCACTTTGCTGACGATGTCATAGTTCACATCGATGGCAAGGTCCAGCCGCATCTTGTCTGGAAGCTGCACCATCAGCTCTGACTCATCTGCGAAAGAGACCCTGGCAATAGTCAGAGACACGGCAGGCTCCTCCCCAAAGCATGGCCGAGGCTGCACTGCACCTGACCCTTTCACACCGTTCCTCCAGACTGGGAGAGTACCCTCTCTCACCTTTGCAGATGCCACCGTCTTGTATACACTTTCCTGGTTAACTCCTACCCATTCTTCAAAAATCAGAACTAATGGCACCTCCTCCAGGAAGCCTTCCCTGAGATATCCTCCCAGTTACAATGTTAGTGGTCTCTGTGCTGCAGCACATGTCACACCCTTTATAGCAATTGTTTCTTCATGATATATCTTCCCTCCTCACGTTACTACAATATGAGCAAGAACTGAAGTACTTCCAGCACTGTTTTTACAGAATGCTTTACAAAGATAATTTTCTTAATTCCTCCCAGAAACCCAAGAGGTGCCCTCTGCTGTAGCCCCACTTAACAGACGAGGAAGAGGAGCAGTGACTGGCCCACCGCCTCGCAGCCCAGGGGGATGGGCCCAGGACCCCACCAGGCCAAGGGCTCCACAGCCTGACCCAGGACAGGAAGCGCTGGGTCTGTTTTGTCCACCGTGAGGTTGTGGTGCCCAGCAGACGGCCTGGCATGGAACGAATGGTCGTCACTGGAGACAGGAAATGTACCATCGGTCTCCAACCCCGATGCCCCTCCCACTGCACCACAATTATGTACGGACTTGAGTCTGAGCGAGACCCCTCTGCATCTTAATGTGCATCCCCATCACCAAACGGAAGGAGCTAATGGAGGTGAGCATGCCTTGTAAACTGTAGAGTTAGATGCTTTAGCAACGGTCCATGAGGAAGAGCCTAATGCTCGCTGTACACACGCTTGCCAACGCCCCCAGCTCAGGAGACCTTGGGGCTGAGGCGTGGCTTCTTTGAGACCAGAGGGAACCCCACGGAGGCTATGGGGCCCTTTCATTCAGCTGAGGGAGTTGGGGGACCCTAAGGCACAGTGTCGGTGGCCTACGGGCTTTTCAGAGACCTCCAAAGCGTCGTCTAGGCTCTGAGAACAAAATGACTGGCTCCCAAAGATAAAAAAGAAACTGGAAACCTTTATACAATTGGCATATAATTAGCATATTCAGATTTCAGTAAAGGTGCCATTCAGAATCTGTAAGAACTTCACAAGACGTGGAAATGATTTTCAGGAAAGATTCTCTCACTTTGTAAGAATTCCTGAGCACACCCCATCATGGGCAAGAAAGCAGAAACAACAGTGAATTAAAGGAATTGCAGCCACATAATTTCAGAAGCAAAGTATAACGTTGGCAAATCAACAAAAGTCTTACCCAGCATGCCTTGGGAGTGCCAGGTGTACTCGTACCAGGTCTTGACGCGGTTCTGCACGGACCTGGGGATCTTGTAGAAGTTCATGTACTTCACCGTGCTATCCATGCAGCTGCGGTAGTAGGTCTGCCCCGCGGTGGCGGCCCCCACCACGTCTCTCATCTGGGGGCAAGGCAGAGGTCAAGGAAGCCACTGGGTCAGAGTGGGGCCCTCCCGTGGGCTTTGGGGACGTGTGTCATGGGCACAGTTATGTCACACAGACTGGGGGTGCGGGCTCGAGGGAGTGGGGGAGACCAGAGGGAGGGACACCCATGTCCATGCCCGGAGAAGGCTTTGCCGACAGGGGGATGTTCTGCCTCTATTGAGGATGAAGGTGGGAGTGAGGGGGTGAGGCTGCTGGCCCCTCGGTGGCCTCAGGTCACAAGGGAATGCCTTGCAGGGCTGGGCTGGTTCTGGTACCACACAGCCCCTTCGCGCCAGCGGCCACAATGGAGGAAACATACCGGGTGTACTGCTCCTCAGGGTGGGGACCTTCAGAGTTTGATTGTTACCTCCTGCAGATTGTCACCTCCTGCACTGGCTACAGGATGAGCTATACCCCCAGCACCTTAGGAACCTCCAGGGGTTTCTCTCCAGGGGAACAACCCAAATCCTCGGCCTTGGCAGAAAGCCACTCAGCCAAGCTCCCTGAGATACCCCAAAGGATGTGACATTTCAAATGGAAGCCCCTCGCAACAGGAATAGGACTCAGACCCCCACCGCCCCCTTCACCCAGGGGGGCCCAGAGCTCCAGGCTCCTGATTCTAAGTCCGGTGCTCTTTCCCGGGCTCAGTCTAAAAGCCCTGGGCCCAGATGGGGACACTTCTGTCAGCAGCAGGAAGAGGGAGAGGCCCTGCCGACGGGTGGGTGGGAAGCCAGCCTAGTGACCCGGCCACCTGTCCGATCATCACGGAGAAAGCGAAGACGCCCGTGAAGTAGTTGAGCAGCTGGAAGACGATCTCAAACAGCGTCTTGGGGTCGGGCAGCCCCCCGATCGTGATGAGGGTCTTCACAGCCCAGTAGTAGCAGCGAATGTAACTGGAGAGAGAAGAGGAAGGGGCGCTGGGCCATCGCAGGCCTGCTCTGCTGACCCTGGGGCCCAGGCTCTCACAGATGTGCCTTGTGCAGGAAGGAAACCCTTTACCGCCCAGACGTCTGAAAAAGACGCCCTCCAGGCCCGCAGGGCTCTGTGCAGGCTGCGGAGCGTGGCTGCAAGTGCTGGCTGGTTTGCTGTGGCTCCGCCCCAACCCTGCAGAGACAGGGGGCCGTCCCCATTGATGGATGTGGAAACTGAGGCTCCAGGAGGTTGCCAGGAAGAGCTGGCAGGAGGGCAACTCTTCCGACTCCGGGCGCCTGAACTCCCTCCATTTCCCTTCCTGTTCTGTCAATGTCCAGTCTTTCCTTTGCGATCTCATCGCGTTGGTTCACGGAAAGCAAGAGCCCCATCGATGTCAGGGTACGTCTCAAGGACCACCTTTTCGGACCCCCTCCCTTGACCACCCATTTTCTGGATAGGAAAACTGAGGCCCTAAAAGGGAAAGGGAATGCTCAAGGTCATCACCTCTCAAGTTCCAGACATGGGATTAGAGCCCCAGGCGTCATCTGCTTCTCCGAGCTGTCACCCCACCCCCACTAACCCTGTGACACAGGAATGGGAACCATGGGAAGGCGGGTACGGGTGATGTGATGAAAGGCAACAGGCAAAGCCCCGAGCTTGTCTCATTATCACAAAGCAGCCAGATGTTGGCCCCCCTCGTATGCTGGTCCACAGCTTCAGGCTGTGCCCCCCAGAGGCCCTGGGGTAATCCCGGCCGGCTTTCCTGTGCCTTCCTCTCCTCCCACCAGGGCCCAGGGAGCCATCCAGAGCCTGCCCCAGCTCCAGTGTCCTGAGAAACCACGCTTCCAGGCTCCCTGCGCAACTCCAGAATCTAGAACATCACCCAGCTGGCAAGTCATCTGATCAGAGAATAAGGTGAAATCGGCCCTCTCCTGGGCACGTTCCACCTGGTGTTTATGCAGTGTCGTAGTCAAAACACGGGCTCTGGAGCCGGACCGCCAGCATTGCCACCTTCTGGCCGCATACCTGGGCAAGGGACTAAATAAACCCCAGCCAGCCTCAGCTTCTTTCTCCCAAAGTAGGCGTGGCAGTAGAAAACGCCCTTCACCGGTGACCATGAGCACAGAATGAGGTGCTAGAACCCCTGGCCCAGGTGGACTCCCACTAAATGTCAGCTATGGGAGCCTTCCCTGTGGCTGGTACCTGTCATGTGCCTGCAGTGGGAACAATAGACGCCCCTGTGTCCTCAAGAAGCTCTCCATCTGGTAGGGACAAGCAAGCAAATGTGTAATGAGAGGGGTGGGGCGAGGAGAAGCAGAGCTTGCTGGAAATTGTAGGGGAGGGGTCTCTGTCTCTGACCACCTGGGAGGCCTGGCGCAGGGCTTTGGGCCCCGTGCACCTCACTACCACCTGGTGCATGGAAACCTCAGGACAACACAGGCTTGCCGTTAAGTACCCTGCCATACCAGCCCTGGCCACCAGGGGGCACAAGAAACAGCCTATAGCGGGACTAAGCCCTTGGGCCAACAGAAAGAAAACAGGAGTGATGTCCGCAAACCTCAGGCTTTCCCCAAGCCCCTCCTGGTTGGAGGAATCTTCCAATGGCATGGCACATCTTAGTGGCCTCCCTGAAGTCCTTGTCTTCCATGCTACTGGCTCTGTGGGGGCCCCTGCACGCCCCGGGCTAGGCAGAAGCAGGATGAAGGACCCAGATATGCAGGAGCTTGGGTCCTCGAGCCCTAACCACTAGCAGGCACTCAACAAATGGTTGCTACATTGGAAATTTTCATTATCATCCATGGCATTGGGCTTCTAGAGGAATCCTCCTTCTCTACGTGTGCTTTGTGCCTATATTGGGGTTCCCTAAAGGATTTCATGTGGAAAAGAGCAGTGTTGCCAAGAAAGGGTGCCCCTCCGCTGCTGAGCATGGAGGGCCCTGCAGGAGGAAGTCCCAGACAGGACAGCGTCCCCTGGTCTCCCCTCCCTGCTGGCCGCGCCCCACCCCCCGGCCTGCCCGTCATGGGTGTGCCGGGGCCAGCCCCAGGGCGTGGGTTCTCAGCTCGCTGGGGCACAGCTAAGGATTTGAGAATCCTGGGAAAGCCAGGAACTCCCCCTTAGGAAAGCCAGTGTGTCCCACGCATCTCAGCTGCCCATGTCCAGTGCTCGGAAGCCCGTGTGGCTAGTGGCTACAGCGTTGGGCAGCAAAGGTCTAGAAGTTGAGGTTGGAACTGCCCAGGGGGAGGCTGCTTGGCAACCTGGCCCCGCCTCCCTTCCCAGGTAATTCCACACGCGCTTGCCTCCAGCCTCGCAAGAGTGCACCCAGCTCCTTAACTCCATAGCTCTGCAAATCCGCACCTTTCTTCATGTTGCTCCCTCCCCCAGGGGTTCTCTACCCTTCTCTCCACCACCCAAGGCCAAGATCAAACACCCTTTTAGAACTGACCATCCCATGCCCCCTCAGCAGCACCGGGCAGATGGTGCGACATTTAAGACTCTCGTAGCTGTGCCACCTGGGTTCAAATCCCAGCTCCCTAACGTAGCAACTGCGTGATCCGGGGAAGTCATCGTGCATCTATTACCTCATCTGTAAAATGGGGGTGATGATAGTACGTCTCTTGTGTGGTTGTTGGGAGGATTAAGTGAGTGACCAGGTTAAATGCTTAGCATTGTAACTGTTCCCCAGTACCTGCTGCTATTATTATTGTTGTCATTATTATTATTATCATGGCCATCACTATCATCATCTGAGCATGTCCCACAGCACCTGGCAGCTCTCTGGGTTGGCGAGCAGGTTGTGCCTTGAAGGCCAGCCCCTCCGCGGCCAGCGATGCCCGGGAGTTGTGCCCGGGGTTTCTCTGGCCTCGTCCCCTCCCCGCTGTGCCCCTAGGGTGGATGTGTAGACACGTGTGTGGTGAATTTGCCAGCTCTCCTAGACTCTGGGACGCTGAAAGGACCTTTCTAGCAGGTCTCGTTCCTGTCTGTGCCCCCCTCTGCCTGGCAGGTGGCTGGTGCTCAGGAAATGTTAGCTTCAGCAGGATTTGAACACGTGGCGCTTCCACCTTATCATGTCAGAGGTTCCTTGGGATTAAGGAGCCTACAACAGCATGCGGCAGTGGGACTTTTTTATGGGAGTCCTTGTGCACGAACGGTAGCCGCATGAGGGAGGCTGTGGCTCACCTGTTTCCCACACCGTCATAGACCCAGTGAGTGGAGCCGATGCCCTGATAGGTCGACGCCCAGTAATACAGACATGAGTTCAGATGCAAACTGTAGAGCAAGTAGGCGGTGGTCCTGATAACCCTGCAGAAGAGGAAAAGGCATGAACACAGCAGCAGGAAGGGTGGCTGTGACATCTCACCCAGGGGTTGGGATGCAGGGAGCAAGCCAGTCCTCACCCCACCCCACAGGTGCCCCCTGTTGGAGCTACATGGCCCTGCCCAGCTGCCTGGCAGGGCAGACACTGGCCAACGGAACAGTGCGGGCTGGGCTGAGCCAACCGGATGCTCTCTGGAGACCACGCGAGTTAGACACAGTGGTGCCTGCACAGCGTTGTCAAGACCAGGGACTGGAATTGGCACAGAGCTCCACGTATAGACAGTCCTGGGGCAGTGTATCCAGGGGGAGGGACAGAGAAGGGACAGATGCGTGCCCAAGAGCTGACCCATGAGAGAGGTGGAGAGGAGCCTTGTCCCTGAGCATGGCCTGGCTGCTCTCGCACTGCATTCTGGGACGCCCACCACCCCTGTGTTTGAGCAGTTGAGGCAGGAGTTCGGTTCCCTGAGTTGAGACCAGAATGAGGCTCCACTCCCTGGATAGGAGGGTCGGCCATGCATGTCGACCTATGTGTGCCCTTCTCACAATTGGGGGAAATGAGACATTCCAGGTTCTCTAAAAAACAAACATCCCTCAGAGAAGGGCCAGGAAGAGGCCTGACTTCCGGTGGCAGTGGGACCTGCAGGGCCAGGGGAAGCGATGTGGGTGGAGACTTGTGTGTGTGTGTGTGTGTGTGTGTGTGTGTACGCGTGCGCGCGTGTGTGTGTGTAGGGCTCTCACCTGTAAACATAGGCTTTGCTGAGGATGGATTCCAGGCGGTTGTTAAACTCAAAGAAGGCCAGGTACTGGGAGGGAAAGCAAAGCGTCAAGGCAGCCCACTGTCCGTGGGGTGACCCCTGCCTCCACTCCCTAGCCCATTCCCCATGGGTGCCAGGACTGGGCTCGTTCTAAAACCCCCAGTGGGAGGGGCCTGGAGAGGGAACATTCCAAATCAGAGGTCCTCAGCCCTCCGAGGGGTCAGGGCAGGAACTCCATTGGCTAACGTGATGGAAACCAGGGCACCTCTCCCTTTCGAAATTATAGGTAATGAAGTCTTTCCAGTTTGCCTATAATATCAGGGGACCCCCAAGCCTTCTGAATATGATTACGAAATTTTTAGGGGTACATGTATCCCAGGTTAAGGACACTTTTCAATGTTTACTTAGGAAACAATTTCATAAAGGAACAGCATCCCTAACCCTCTTCACTTATACCCTGCAAGGCCTCTTTATATTAATAAACCGCTCTTCCCCACTGAGCTCCTTCGATGATTGCACTTTGCAGCTGAACAAAGTAGGGGGTGGGGCACCGACCCCTGTGCAGACCCCCCATATATAAAATTTGACTCCCCAGAAAGTTAACCACTAGCAGCCTGCTTTGACAGGAAACCTTACTAATAGCATAAGTAGTCGATTAACACATATTTTGTATGTTATGTGTATTATGCATTGGATTCCTTCAATAAAGTAAGAGAAAAGAAAATGTTAAGAAAATCATAAGGAAGAGCCCTGGCTGGTGTGGCTCAGTGGATGGAGCACCGGCCTGGGAACCGAAGGGTCGCCGGTTAGATTCCTAGTCAGGGCACACGCCTGGGTTGCACGCCAGGTCCCCAGTGGGGGGTGGTCAAGAGGCAATCACACGATGATGTTTCTCTCCCTCTTTCTCCCTCTCTTCCCTTCTTTCTAAAGATGAATAAATAACATATTTTTTTAAAGAAAGTCATAAGGAAGAGAAAATAATGTATAGTACTATATGTATTTGTGAAAAATATCTGCATATAAGTAGACCGCACAATTTGAACCCATGCTGTTCAAGGTTAGCCACATATATACGTACATGTGTGTGTATAACACCTTAGTGCGTTTTTTACATGTGAGGTATGTATAATCATCCTCCTTTGACAGAGAGAAAATTGGCACTCAGGGAAGTCCAGTAACTTGCCCAAGGCACACAGGCAGTAAGTGGTGGAGCCAGGGTTCAAACCCAGATTGGACTCACACTGCCAGCTCTTTCCACTCTGCCGCACTGCCAGTCTGGCTCGTGGGGCACACCCCTCCCTGCTGCCTCCCGCTCCCCAGTGCTGCTCAGGGCAGACATCAAGAGGCCAGGGCTGGTGTGGATGAGGGCCTTGGACGGGGAACCCCTGGCCTTACCTTCAGACAGCGGGGCAGACGCAGGAGGGGGTTTACGCCGAACTTCAAGTACAGAAAGTCCAAGGGCAGCAGGCAGAGGACATCCATCTGAAACCCCGGCGGGACACCGCGGCATGTAAAACGGGAAACGCCAGGGTTGTGGGACGGGGTGAGTGCGGGCCTCTGCCTTCGGTGGACAGAGGATGCCCCAGGAGGGCCCAAAAGTGAGCGGAAGACATCCCACCCACAGGCTCGGCCTGACCGCCCCGCCAGTGCCCGTCCTGGGGGAGCCAGGTCACGCTGGCCCCAAAGCGCCCAGGGTCCCCAGAGACACCACCTTTCGAGACCCTGCGGGCACTTGCATCCCTGGCAAACACACCTTGAAGCGGGGAGACTTCAGGTAGTTATTCCGCATCTCCTTTTTGTCTGTCTGGAAGAAAACGGAATAATGACCCCATTGTGAAATGGCCGAAGAGCTTAATCCCTGACCCCAGCAGAGCAGAGATGGAAATCCGTAAAGACCCTCTGCCTTCCTGCCAGAGTCGTAGCCCCCCTAGAGGAGGAGGAGCCGGAGTGGAGCAGCTGAGCGCAGGTGAAAGCCTTGGGGTTTGCAGGTGGAGAGGCGGAGCCCCCAGCCCCGAGCTGGGAGGGAGCTGTCCAAGGTCGCCCAGCCAGATTCCTACTTCTAGGAAGAAAGGCGAGGCTACGGAGCGCGTTTGCTCAGCACGTTGGTCTTACCTGAACCATTTGCAGCCTTGTTGACTGAGGAGCTGGCAACGGCTCTGATCAGGCCAGGAAAGAGACTGCCTGGCAAATGCTTTTTGTTTTAAAAGCACAACCTCAGCTTGTCTGCACACAGGGAAGCAGTCGCTGCCAGTGTGGAATTTTGGAAAGGTCTGCTCAGGGACACGGGGACCCTGCCTCTTGCTTCTGCCAAGTCACAATCAGGACTTCAGTCCCCTCCCCAGTAATGAGGCCTGTGCCACCAGAGCACAGAGTCTCAAAGGGGCCCAAGGGGCGTGCTCTTTGCAGGACCCCCAGGAAACGGCGATCGCCAGCAGAGAGCGGTGCAGAGCCCTGTTGCCTGTATTATCTCAGTCAGTCCTCACAGTCAGTCCTCGCAATGCCGTGAGGTGGGGGCAGTTACTATCCCCACTCTGCAAGCGTGGAAACTGAGGCTCAGAGAGGTGACACAGCCAGTGGCGGCGGAGCTGGGACTTGACCCAGGTCCACCTGCACTCAAGGCCGTTCTCTGGACCCCTTCTCCATCTCTAACCCTATCAGGTGGTCCAAGAACCATTTCACCCATGAACAATAGTTGAATATATCAAAGATGTACAACCTAAGCAACCGCACTGTTGTACAAGCAGGGGCGGACGTTCCTGAGACTCCCTTGTTTGTTTACCTTGTTGTCTACAGAAGCACCAGGGGTCGGTCCCCCAAAGGCTCCGGCTGCAGAGTCTGCCCCCAGCCACCCACCCCACCTGCCTGGGACTCACAATGATGTCCCCTCCTCTGACAAACTGCAGGCGCATCTGGAACACGGTGATGTCCAGCAAGTAGATGAGGTCGCACAGGTAATCCATCAGCAGCCAGAGGTGGAGGTTGCCTGGCGTCTGGTAGGGGAAGGCCCACCGCACAGGGATCAGCCAGCAGTTCCAGTTCCAGGCCATCACCACGAAGAAGAGCCACAGGATGTACATCAGGTCTGCAGAGGGGAGGGGCAGGCACGTGGCGGAACCTCAGCCGGGGCAGGGCTCTTGGCGTCTGCGCTTTCCTACCAGCACCGCGCATGACACTCCTGTACTTGGAGTGGGTAAAACTATCTTGGAGTTAAACGCAAATCACTGCTAGGCCCTAATAAATCAAGTACCCCGGGGAGGAGACACGGGGGTGTTATTGGATAATACACAGCTAACTAGAAACACCTTTGCTTTCATTCTTGTTGAAATTTTTCCAAAAATCTATTTCCTGCCTCAGTAAATACATAATGGTAAGTGATGCAGAGAAGATGGACAGATGGAGGCACAGACATGTGGAAGGATGGACGGATGGATGGATGGACACTGTAGGTCACCTGACCATTTCAGAGACCCAGTGCACACCAAGGTAGGAGGTCTGTCCCCCAAATGACTGCTTGTGTGACCTTGGGAAAGTCCCTCTGTGGCACCTGCTCTGCCTCCTCAGAGAAGTCAGAGGGGATGTCAGATAAGAAAGGCAGGGAGATTCTTTGTAAACTATTAGGGGCTGTGCACTTGTGAAGGGTTGTTGTTCCTGAGGAATATACAGTGGGCTAAAAGGGAAGGAAGAGGGAATTCACTGTAGACGTTGGAGGAACCTCTTCCCTTCTCTGCTCCGAACAGCACCTCCAGGAAGGAGCCAGCAGGAGGAGAGCAGAAAGACGTGGCCAGGACTCAGGGGTCCTACTCTGCCACTAACTAGCGTGTTCACGCCGCTCATCTCCTCTGGGCTTTCGTTTCCTTGTTGGTAAGATGGGTGTGATCTTGTGTTCTTATTCCAGGGATTTGTTTGTTTGTTTGTTTGTTTGTTTGTTTGTTTTGAGAGTCACAAACCGAGGATGTCCACGGCCTCCCAGCCCACCTCTGGCACAGCGCAAACACGCCCCCCCACCCTCCTGCCCTCTCACGTCACGTGGGACGCACTGGTCAGCGGGTCGATGCTCTTGGGGAACTGGTACTTCTTCCAGGGCCGGCGTTTGAACTTGCAGCAGAGCATGTTGCAGTAGTGCTCCTCCTCCACCTGCCCCGCTTCAGCTGGCTTCGTGTCTGGGGCCGGCTCCGGGGCTTTCTTGGCTGGAGCTATGGGATGACACGGTGACCACCTGACCCAGCCCCAAGGCTCAGGCAGAGGATGCAGAGAGAAGGTTCCCAGCGGCAGACCCTGGAACTGGAGCTAAGAGGACCCTGGCACCATCCCACAATCTGCTTGCTACGAGCTCTGTGTGCAGAAACCAGGATGCCCTCTGGGAGGACTCCCATCCCCCGGCTCCCTCTTTTACAGTGACCAGGGCACCTAGTCACAAACTCTCACCAGCTACTAATCTGAAACTGCCCAAAATGAGGTGTCACTGGGCAACTTAGATGTCTCTGTGGAGTGCCTGTTTGTGTGTCTGTGTTTGGGCCCCTTTGGCTCCCTCTATAAGGCTGGGAGCACCTTGTACCCAAGGCTTCTACCCCCAGGGTCAGAAGTCAGGGCAACATTGCTCTAGATTTCTCAGAGCAGCTCCTTCACCTCTAAAACAAGATGCCAATGGGAGCACGGCCTTGCTCCGCATCTATGGTGATGCTGTGGACCTAGAGATTGGCTCTTATAGGTTCAGGATGGCTATGTTTCTAGCCTTAGGATTGTGAAGTCAGGCTCTGCTGGGGTCATTGTTGCCACCATGAGTCCTAAGGTGTGGTCCTCCTTTGGGAAGACCTAGAAATCTCTCCTTCTTCCCTCCTGACAACTGGCACCTTGAAAGTAGAAAACTTTTATGTAGTCCCATAAGAATATTGCAACTGAGGCATCTGAAAAAATAGGGCTGCCTAACTCCACAATGAGTTATAGACACCATCTGAATGTAAGACCATGAGATATGTCCCAGGGAGGGCCACCTGCCGGCCAGTGGGAAAAAGGCAGGGGGGGTCAATGAGGGTACTTACCCTGGTGGACAGAGAGCCAAGTACAACTACTTCACTGGTCAGACTATGACCTTCTTCCCTCCCCTGGGTATATAGCTAAACCTGTGCACACAGGACCCAAAAATGCAGACAGTGGGGATCTGGGCTTCTCTCAAACACTTCGATCGCTTTAGGGGACTGCCCTCACCATGAGTTGGCAGGGGCTTTGGGGGTCCTACCCCACCCCCGGCCGGGGGGACCATCCCCAGCTATTGACTCACAGGGCTTGGGGCTCTCCTCATCGGAGGTGACATCTGGGTCGATGAGCTTCTCCTTCACCTTCTCCGTCCGCTCCTTGAAGAGCTTCACCAGCTCCTGGAGCCGGGCATCAATGACAGCGCTGTTCTGGCTGGCCGTAGAGGAGGCACGGTCCTGGACCCTGTGGGAACGCCGCCCGTGGCAGAGCGGGCTGCGTGGGCAGGGAAGCCAGGGCCCCACCCAAGAGCCCCATCCCACCCGGCCTGCAGCAGGAGAACACTGCCCCAGCTTCCTTTGGACATCAGAAACATCAGAGCCACTTTACTATGTCCTAGGGGGAAGTTCAGTCCAGGGGATCACGCCCCAGGCCCCGCTTTGGGGAAAGGTACCAAGCAGGCTCTGATTCAGATGGGCTGCTCTGAAAAACCTTTGATTCCACTTGTGATGTAGGGGAAACTCAGTTCAGGGCTATTGGTCCCCATGTGGGGTTCACATGAGATACGTGTCTGGGACAGGTATCTCAAAGAGGAGGCAGGGCTACTTATTTAGGCTTCAGAAATAGCTGGTGGGGGGAAAATACAGTGCAGATATGTTATACATCCTTTTAACATACAGGTATTTAAACTATGAACTCACAGCAAGAGAGGGAGAATGAATGAATGGATGGATGGATGGATGGATGGATGGATGGATGGATGGATGGATGAACACTAGTCTGCCTGACATCCCACTCAGTTTTTGGCCAGTGCCCTGGGTAAGTTGACACAGGCCACATCCATCAGCTCTCTTCTGAGTGGTTCCCTATGTTCACCTCACTGAGCTGGTGTAACACTGGTGTTTTCAGACCTTTTCCCCTCATATATTAAAGCACCAAACTCAAGCCAGCTCCTCCTCTTGTGCTCGGCTGAGGAAGCCAGACTGGAAACAACCAGCGTGGGACCCTAATGAGAAGTGGACGTGGGCGTGGCGGAGACACCAGCTGCTTGCCCACAGCCGTCCTTTCCCGTGGGAGTGGTCGCTGGCACGTAGACACCCAGCCAATGATCACATTCCCCGGGGGTGGCCACGTGAGAGCTCACATGGGATGTAAGCAGACGTGTTCGATGCAATCGAGACCTCCTTGTCGGAGAACAGCGGGCATTCTCCCTTTCTAGTGGTGGCCAGTGAGATCTTGGGAGCCACTGCCAGCTGGGTCCCTAATGAATGCATGGAGCAGAGCCTTCCACTGACCTGGAACAGGCAACTAGTGACATGGTTATGATACCTGAGACACCTTGCTCCCTAAGCCACTGAGTCTTTGGGGTCTATTTGTTACAGTAACTTAACCTAACTGGCTAATACATGATAGGCTTCTAAAGTGTTCTGGACCCCCTTAAGAGTTTTCAAGGGTAATTTTTATTATTATGCCTGATTTCTGTCTTACTTTCTGATATTAATCCCTGACCCAAGCCCTACCCTACTGCCTGAGATGTGACTCCATCATATACTAAAATGCACCACTGAAATATGGGTAAGGTTTGGGTTTTGGGGGCTTTTTTTCCTGCTTCTTTAACTACTCTAAAGTTTCCACAACCGATAAACTCCAAAAGTTACGGATAGGAAAAAAGCCGGGAAGAAGAGCCCCGTGTCTCCCATGGCCGCTCCTGGAGCTGCGGCCAGGAGGGTGTGCACCACCAACCAGGTTACTTTCACATGGAAACGTCTCCCGCCGCCCCCCCCCCAACCTTGGGGGTAGTTGGAGGTGAAAGACGCAGGTCCTGACACCCTCCCAGCTGCCTCCAAACGTTGTTCCTTCCACAGGCCAGCCGTGGCTGAGTCCCCCGGGAGCTTGTAAAGGTGGAGTCCCCGAGGCCCCCTGACAGAGGTCCTGACCCAGCAGGTCTGGATGGACTGGGAGTCTGTATTTTTTATGAGCCCCCAGGGTTGGGATCCTCCTGGTCCTTCCTCTCCCCTCTGACCCTCCCGGGGTCATGTGAGGAGCCAGCCCCTGCCTGTGCCCCACCCCCGAGCCTCTCCTTAACAACAGAGCCCCTGCCCAGGGACCTCCCTCCCTGAGCACGGCTGGCCGTGGATGCAGCTGCACCCAGAGTCGGAGCCCGTTTTCCAGATTTTGCAGAACCACCAGGCCCCAGCCAGGAGCAGTCTGGGCAGGAGATGCAGCTGTACCTCCCTCCTCGGAAGTCCCGGGCAGGGTCTGCCTTGTGGTGGGGGCTCGAAAAACATCCAGGGTCCCCCCATTTACTGTCCACCCATCTCCACCCAACCTTCGGACTCTCTGAGACCCCAGAGGTGGCCCCCACTCACTCAGTGTCCTGCGGGGTGTCTGACCAGGCCATCATGGGGGCCTCCTCTGGGGACAGCACCTTGAGCTCCTCAGCTTCATCATCCTGAGAGGGCAGCCTCTTCCTATGGGGACATAGACAGGGAAGGGGACTTCAGGGAGGGCAGGGGCCCTGGTGAAGGGGGCCAGCTTTGACCTTGCAGATCACCCAGAGCCAGACCCTGGGTGGGGGTGGGGCGGGGAGGATGCTGCCAGGGGCCCTCACTTGCCTGCAGGGGACCAGAGGGAGAAGAGAGGGCCGCAGCTGCTCTCCGGACCTCGGCCTCTGCATCTGCTCGACGGCCGAGCATCAAAGCAATGGCATTGACTTGGTCTTGGGCGAGCCTGAGCCTGCGTCCAGCCCTGCTTCTTACCAGTGTGCCACCTTGGCAAGTTACTTTAACTCTCTGAGCCGCCTCAGTTTCCCCTTCTGTAAAATGGGACTAAATCTACCCAACTCAGTGAGATACTTATCTCTCAGTAGGGCCTCAGCTTAAACGTCCCCCTCCCTTCCCCCTCCCAGCCTGAAGTTGCTGCCCTCCCCAGCTGCCCCCACCCCATTCTCTGTCACAGCCCCTCTCAGCTGCCTTGAAGTCCAGGGGGCTCCTACTGCATCTGGCTAACTCTCCCAGAAACTCAACCTCCCCGCCTTTGCAGACATCCCCAGCTGGGAAAGTTGGCGCTGTGGAGTGCAGTTTCCAGATTACAAGGTGGCCTGGGGCAGGCCCCTCCCACCTGGAGCTCCAGGTTCCTTATCTGAAGAATAAAGACTAATTCTCCCCCATCTTCCGGTCCAAGTCATCACACGTGGGGCCTCTGGGGTCTCAGCCGATAGTGTCCAGGTATGACTCCACCTGGAACTCCTCCATCCTCAGCCCTGGGCCTCTCGATTTTACCAGTGGGGCTCTGAGAGGGACACACTAGGAGGGCTCTGAAACTGTCCTGTTACCTTCTACCAACTCGCCTAGGATGCAAAACTCATGAATGACCACATTAACACTCTAATTAAGAGGATGGTCACACTCATGAGAAGACTGAGGCCAAAGTCCCCCGGCGGAGACCCACACTCGGTCCTCTTGCACGCAGCCAGGCGCCCTCCCCTGAGCCTGGAGAGCACGGGCGGACCCCCTTTAGCTTTACTCTCGTCATTCACAAAACACTGCACAGCACTTCACATGCTGTGCTATGAGGACCTGTCTCAGTGAGCTGGCTCTGGTTGTCCAAAACCAACTCTAACCTCGCAGCCACACATCCATCTCAAGAGGCATAGAAACATCTGCGGCCTTGACCAGGAATCCACACGTGAGAAAGGAGCCCACAGACTGAGGGCAGAAGACCAGAGAGTTCATAGTGCCATCATGGACAGTGACCAATAAGAGGGGGTTGACGTCCACTCTGGTGCATTGAACTGGAGAAATGTCACAAAACCATTATAAATGAGTGCTAAGGAGACAGCCTAGCAAAATGTGAAGGGGATCATTAAAGGAAATGTACTCCAAATCACTCCTCCAAATAAAAGCATGCAAAGGCATGGGCCCATAAGCAAGGCGTGGAAGAGAAAACACAAATAAAACACCGTCTAATGTGGCAGGATTATGGATGATGATTTTCCTAGCGTTCCTTGGTGTTTCCATTGCATTATTTCATAATACAACGGGGCTGGAATTCAGCCTTGTCACATCTTCTGCCCCCTTCTTACATACAGCTGTGGGTGTTTAAGTCAGGGCTTCCCTGGACAGTTCCTTAGGGAGCCCCACGCCAGGAATTAGGGGGGCCAGGGAGGGCGGGCACAGCCCCAGTCCCAACCCCAACTCGCCGAGTGACCTCAGGCCAGCTGCTTCCCTCTCTGGCCTCTGCCTCCTCATCTGCGCCAAGCACAGGTGGCACAGTGCTTGGAGCAGATTAAAAGCCTAAGAGAAGCATGAAAGGTGACCTGCGGGTCCCTGCGGCTGATCCCGGGACCGTGAGGGTGTCGGATCTGGCAGGAGAAGGTGGCAGCGGCTCTGGTGAGGGTGGCTTGTCCTCCACAATGACAGGGTGGCTGTCGGTATCCGTGTCTTCCACCTGCACTTCTGGGTGCTCTTTTGTGGCAGGCACTTGGGGAGAGGAAGGAGGGAACAGTCAGAGAGAGGGAGAGAAGCCAGGCCCCGGGGCCTGGCCGTGTTCTTCAAGGAAGCCACAGAAAGCAGGTTTGGAGCAGCCACTGGCAGCCACCCCCCGCCCCCTGATGGGGCCCACAGGGCATTCCATGCAGGACGTGCAAAAACGCGGAGCTCTGATGGCCACGCAACCCTGGCCACCAGTCCAGGGCCCACGAAAGAAGCCACGATGCCGCCAGAGCCTCGGGAGTTCCCAGACACAGCCTGGTGCCCAGGTCTCCAAAGCCCCGCCTGCATTCCCTGGGCCTGGGGAAGCATCAAGGACCAGGGGTTGTGGACAATGGGAGGGGGCGTCAGCTCTCGGAGGAGGCCTGGGCGACGGGGGGTGCCCAAGTCCGAGGGCTCAGCCTGGCCCCGCCTGGCTCAGCTGCTTCCCTTCTCTGGGCCTCAGTGTCCCCAGCCCAAGAAAGGGGTGATGGTGCCTTCCCGGCCGGGCCTGGGGTGGGGGCAGAAGGCACGTGGCCTCACTCTCTTGAAGGGCTTCAAACGGAGACATTTGGAAGCTTCCTCCTGTCAGGGGTAATGGCGTGTCTTTGTAGCGAGTGTTAGCCCTGTTTAGGGACCCGTTTTGGTATTTCCTCGCTTCTGTACATGCCAGGAGCCCCCAAACTTCATCACCCCAACTCCTCTCCAGACCTCTAAGAGGCCTGGGGCAACATTCCACACCCTGAGAATCTGGTCCTCACCCAGGAGCCTGGGCGTGGCCCCGCCTGAGGCCCATTCGCCACCGCAGGGACTTGGGACCAGGTCCGCTCCGAGGTGGAGCTTGGAGGATGCTGAGGGGTGGAGAGAGCACCCCCTCGCCCCAGCACACCTGGGCAGGGAGGTCCCCAGAGCAGCCGGGCGCAGGCCTGGGCACCAGCCCGGCAGGGACACATCTCCAGATGGGGGAGGGGAACATTTTGAAAACATTCAAAATGTGACTTCTTTTTTAATGCCACCACAGGGAAAGCCAGCACTTTGCAGAGTTCGGTGGAAAGAACCCAAGCAGGACTCAGGACTTCGGGGCGTTTGTTTTACTGGGCCCCATGCTCCCAGAAGGAGAGGATGAGCAGGAATCAAGACTTTTCTAAAATGCAAGAAGTGTCACCAGACTAACAAGAGATGTCCCGGGCTGTGGAAAGAAGGAAAGAGCGTGAGCAAAGGGGGCGGGGGGGCGGGGCTACGGAGGCAGCCAGGACAAGGGCCCCGCCCTGGCCTCCGCACCCAGGAGTCTGTCCCAGGGAGCCTGGGGGCAGGGGCAGGTGCTCCGCTGCCCCCGAGTGAGACCTGCTGCCTCTATCGCCCCAGAGGAGGGAGGAGACCCTTAAGCCTGGCATTTCCATTTCTCAAACAGTGGGAACTCGAATAGGAATTACATTGGTTTATATGATAGTGATTTCTAGAACAAGAATAATATTATTATGAATACAAGGAACCGTATTTATAATTATTGAGAGAATAATAATATTTACTCTTTGGCACTTTTGATGTGCCTGCCAGGCGTTTGTTATACTGAACTCCAAGTGCTTTACACATTCATTTTTTCCCCTTCCTGGCCACTCTGTGAGGGAGTTCTTATTGTCGTCCCCATTTTGCAGACCCAGGTAGCTTAAACTCTTACCCCATCCTGAGGCTGGGGACCAGCACACGTGGAGTCTCCATTTAAACAGCCTCACTGGGTGCCAGGCAGCATCACTGATAATGTTCTCACCACATGCTGTCCTTACTTTGCCGCATCTAAAATCATGGGTCTTACCACAGCCGGTTCAGTCCACTGTCCCCATGTGACCCTGCAAATATTTCTCAAAGTGTGGGGCTCCCAGGGACCAGGGAGGACACAAGGTAATTTTAGGTGGCACAGAGCAGGCAAGGACAACACAGAATGAGAACATTCCTCTCAATTCAAGTCTCTAGACCCTGAATGGATAGAGAGGAAGTTTCAGGCTTGTGTTCCAGGGCTGTAACATCTCTGTGACCCGCTCTTGTTCCTTTGCGGCTAGGACAGCAGGTCTCAGCTGTGAACCTTTGGCTGGCCCTCCTGTTTCACTACAAATTATCAACGTAACTTTGTTTTCAGTGTCTTTGTGGTTATTTCTATTTATGGAAAGCCAGGCCAGTTTTCATTTGAATAGTCAAGGCAAGTTTCCTGCTTGAATAGATTTCATTAAATAAAAAAGCACATCCATTGAAAGAAAAATCATAAGCAAGTAAAAATAGAGTTGGTACAGACTAAAAATCCTGGAGCAGAGGTCGGGGACCCTGCAGAGGGCGCTCATTTAGGGCTTGCCTGGAAGGCGGGGCCTGGGTTCCATCCCTTGTCCTGTGATGGCTGCGTGCCACTCGGCCCACTCTGTGCCCACCCCAAGCTGGGAAAGGAAGAGAAGGACAACAGAGCCTTCCCTGTCAGGAAACGTCCAGCTCTACCTGCTGGCTGATGTCAGAGGCGACCTTGTGCAGTGTCATCCAAAAATAAACGGATCAAAAGGGAAAGTAGGCAGGTCTGGCTTGAGTTAAGGCAGAAAATGACAGGGGTTGGTCCAGAGGTCCCCATGTGTCCCTGAGAGCCTTGTCATCAGGCAGCAAGCCTGAAGGCCATAGAGGGGACCTTGTCACAGTTAAACAGATCCAGGCAGGCCTGGCCCCTGAGGATGCCCCTCCCCCTGCTCTGCCCGTCCGCCTCCACGGCCTCTCTTTTCCCGAAATGGAAGTTGCTGGGCAGATAGCAACAGTCCTCAGAGATTCCAGCTCCCAGCAAACCCTCAAGGTCAGAAGGTTCTGTCTGAAATGGACCCCCACATTCCTCTTCTGTTTTGTTCCTCCCCATTTATTCTCTTCCCCCACCCAGCTGCCTGCCCCAAGCCTCTTGGCCTGGAGAGCTGAGTGACTTGTTTACACTAGGGTGTGAGTGACTACAGGAATAAAAAATGATGATCTGCAGAGAGCCATGTTTAACCCAAAGAAATGAATTGCTAATTGTGGAATCTTAGGCACAGAGAGCAAGGGACTAATGACCCTCAAGTCACCGCAAAGCACGGCAAAAGCATTGACAGCAGAGGAAGAAAGTGTGGTTTTCCATAACCCCAACTCTTGTTCCCACACCCTGACCACAGCAGCACACTGGGGAACAGCCTCAGCCATGCAGAAGCACACAGCCAGGCGCGAGCATGCTGGGTGGCGAGGTCACGCTACCTAGGCGGCGGACGGAGCTCCTGGTCACCTTGGCGAAGCTGGAGTTGGACAAGGTCGTCCTCCGGGAGATGAGGACAGGGATGCGGGTGATGGGGGGGTGGTAGCTGGGCACATTCGGGAGGTGCTCCGCCAGGCTTGGGGGTGCAAGCCCGGGGGTCGCCTGGCCAGGTGGCTGGTCCTGGACCAGGTGATTCAGCTCCATGTCCCGGCCTGGGTCAGCCATGGTGCTGGGACCAGGGGGGTCTCAGGCAGAGGCGGGACTCTGGGGACTGCAATGGGCACAGAGTCAGGAAGGCGGGCCGACACAGGCCAGCCCGGTACCCGCCTGCACCTGCAGCGGCCACACGCAAAGTCTGGGGCACCGCTCTTGTCCCTGGAATCCGACGTCAAGTGTATCACCACGTTATGAGGCTGGTCTGCCCGAGAGCTCTGAGGACCAGCCCGGAGCGCCAACCCCCTCCCACCGTGCTCTCTCTGTTAACCAACCACCGGTAGCATTGCCCACCTGAGACTCAAAAAAAGTTAAAATCAAAGAACCTAGAACTCTCAGACCGTTAGACTCACGGACTCGAGACTCAAACATCCTTAGCCCGGTAGGATTTTCCATCCCAAAGACAGAAACCCTGGAGTTCAGTTAATTCCACTTCCAACTTTTCCTAGGGCCTCGGTTCCCAGCTGGGCTGTACATCAAATCACCCGGGGATGTTCGGAAATAGCCCACGCCCAGGTCCGTCCCAGAGATTCTCATTTAATAGCCTGGGGTCCAGCTGGACGCCAGGATTTTAAATCCCCAAATGATTTCCGTGTGCAGTCCTGACTGAGAACCAGGGTTCAAGGACATTGCAGATTAATCACCAGGGTGCTTGTTCCAATGCGGACTCTGGTTCAGCAGGTCTGGGTGGGGCCAGGGTTTTGCATTTTCAACCTGCTCCCAGGCGACGCCAGCGCTGTTAGTTCTAGGGCCACACTCTTGAGAAGCAGCAGGCAAATGGCCGTACCCCAGTGTTTCTGAGTGTGGCTCCCAGACCACCAGCTTCCAAATGACCTGGGGACCCTGCTCCGGGTAAGCCTGGTCTTGTTCATCTATGTGGATGCAGACTTAGAGGTTTTCTACGGATAGGTGTTGATGTTGACAGGGAACGTTTTTGAAAGATCAGGCAGGGCACGAGCTCGGGACACCAGGGTGAGGACACGTGACTCCAGTCCCACCTCGTCGCTGGCTGGCTGCGACACCTGAACCGCTCTGACCTCCTCCCTCCATGCTGGGTGCCTTCAGGGCACCGTGGCCCCTGCTCAGCCCAGTGACCCTGTGCGGTAGGTACTACTGTTGTTGTGACATTCTTGATTTGGGAGCCACAGTTAAGCGAAGTCACAGAGCTCTGAGTCACACAGTGAGGACGAGGGAGGGGCCAGGAGGGACACGCAGGCCAGTGCCCTTGATCACGTGGCCCAATGCTGCCCACACGGAGCCTCAGCTTTCTCGTCTGTAAAGTGGTCTGTCTGCCTCACGGGGCGGTGGAGCACCCGTGGCCTGAGCAACGGCGGGGCTCGTAAGGCCAGGGCTCAGTGTCCACACATCCTCAGACGCCTAGACTCTGTCCCCACAGTCCCTGGGTGGGAGGGGACATGCTGGGTCCAGCCTGGAGGCCTTAGCAGCAACAAGAAGCTCATCAGGAGACATGGAATCTAGGATGCGCCCTTTGCAAGCTCTGGTCCCGATTTTCACTATGATATGTTACCTCTGAGCCAAACACCCACCGGGTGCTGGCCAAGGGAGCCATGTTCTCAGTGAGGGAGGGGCAGGGTGGGAGGCGGAGCCGGCGGAGAGCAGAGGTTCCGAGGCCTGCTGGAGTCCTGGGGCCTCCGCGCAGTCCCCCTGGGCTCTTTGAAATACCTCACCCGGCTCCAGTAATGTGGCCCCAAGAGGCAGAGGATGGTTTTGCCTGAGGGTGGGCAGGTGGAGGGGGAGGGGGATGGTACGGAGGCACGGAGAGGAGGTGGGGGGCCGCTGCACCCAGGCTGCCCCCAGCCTGAAAGTGCCCCGGACATTCTCTGTAACCCTCCACCCCCACCACACACGTACCTCCTGAGCTGGCGGCTGCGGCCCCCTCCTGAAAAAATAAAGGGGAAACAGAAGCTGTGACCACCAAGGACCCCTGCCCTGTGCAGCCCCCCTTCTGGGGCCTCAGGGAGGCGGCCTCCCCCAGGAGAGGGCAGTGCATAGGGGGGCCCCAGGCCCTACCCCCACTCGTCACACAGAACAAGAGGGTCTTCTCATGCAGCTGCACATGCAGGAACGAAGCAGCGAGAACGGCCCCCGCAGCCCTCGCCCCGGGCACCGCACCTCACAGTGCACAGCTGTGCACCGCTCCCGGGGGAAAGGCTGTCCATTTTACAAAGGTGGCCGCTGGGGCGCAGTGGGGTGGTGACTTGTCCAGGGCCACAGCCATGTGAGGGCCAGCAGCTCCCCACCCGCTGTCTCCTCAGGCCCCTCCTAACACCGTCGGACTCCTGGTACAAGCAGGACATTGCAGCCCACTACCCTGCTCCCCTCCGTCCGGTGGGCACCTCACAAGACCTTGTCCCCTGTAAGTAAAGTGGACAAGATCCCAGCCCCTTCCACCGAAGCCGGGCCAAGCCTCAGGGAGGGTGGTCCAGGCCTGGCGCTGTTCCTACCTGGCATGAGGCCCTCCTGGTGGCCGTCCTGTCTGTTCTGCTTGGGTCTTTGCCGGCCTCTGACACCAGACAGCTATCCAGCAGGAGGACACTAGGACCCAGAGGGGGTGGAGGAAAGGGTAGGGTTAGGGGGGTCCAATGTTTCTTGAACCTGATGAGTGCCAGCCCGTGCCAGGAGCTGGGGCACCAAGATGCCCTGGAATAGGTCCCCCCATCCTGAGGCTCCCAGCACAGGGAGGGCGGCAGGCCACGTGGCCTGCTAACAGTCTCCCAGCCTGAGACACGTGCTGGCACAAGGGGCTGTGAAGGGCACAGCCCCAGTTCCGCCTAGGAAGGAGGGCTTCCCAGAGGAGGTGGCCTGTGAGCTGGGCCTCGAGGATAATGAGCTGACCCACCAGGACGAGGTGGGGAAGGGCGTCCAGGAAGGGGGAACAGCATGTGCAAAGAAGGACGTGGAGGGCAGTTAGAGGAAATGCCCCCTGGGGTGTGATCAAAGGGCACTGTATGGCGTTCAAAATACACGCCCAGCATTTCCCCTCCGTGAGTGTCTGGCAACTTTGGTGACTGTGCAGACAGCACAGGGGGGCGGGGAAAGTGAGGCCCAGAGAGGCGGACTCACCTGGCCAAAGTCACACAGCACGTTGTCACATACCACACAAACCCTGAAACACAGGCCCTGCGTTTCTTTCCTCGCACGGGAGCAGGGCCACAGTGCAACTGCTGAAGCTCCCAGGGGCCCCTGGCCCAGGCCCGGGCCTGCATGAGTGACAGGGACCAGGGGTGAGGCTATAGGGAGCAGAGGGAACTACGGCAAATCAGAGAACCCACGGCCCCCTGAGTCGGCAACCCCACTCCGCTTGGAATGGGGTCTCAGTGGCCAGATCTTCTGATTTTCTAGAGAAGCCTAAACTATACTTTTTAAGGTGGAATCTCCTGATGCTGATAATTAATCCAAATTAATCTATCTATATATTAATATGTAGACATTCAAAAGAGCCTGTCTCCAGGCTAAATTGGGGCCTCAGATGCCCACGTGTGATCTCTGGGTTAACATGTGACTCAGAACGGGGCTAATGGGATGTTTGTAGCTAGAATTAGATCTTGCTTCCCACCAGACCCCTCCCCCCACAGACCCATCAGCCAGGGGCTCACGGAGGATGATCTGCTGTGAACCTGGACTCGCCATCCTCGGTCCTCCCAAGGCTGGGGGTGGGGGGAGGCAGATGGCAGCCCCAGTCAGTTCGGAGCCGGCAGCCTGGGAGCAGGACCAGCGGGGCGATCATACCGTCACAACGGTTCCCACGGGCTGCGTGCCAGGCGCTGGGCCCGGCACTTGGCACGCCCAGTGTCTCCCCGAATCCTCCCCCATGTAACCCTGCGAGGCCAGGCCTGCGAGTGAGCCTATTCCAGTTTAGGAACCCAGCTCAGGAATCCAGCTCCAAGAGGTGGCCCATCCACAGTCACGCAGCCTGTGCAAGGCAAGTCCGGATAAAATACGGCGTCTCTGACCCCAGGGCCACGTATGTAACACTCTGCTGCCCACCTCTGAGTGTCTACACGACCCCACGTCACGAGGGGAGTGCGGTGAGTGTCGGCGGGATCCAAGGACCCAACTCGCTTTATTTCTCTTCATCGTGTGGCTATTTCCACCAGGAGGGGCCTGACATCGGTGCCGCACTTCCCACTCTGCCCAGGAAGAAAGGGATTTCCTTAAAGAGACCCCAGGCACAAAAGCAAGGGCACATTATGGCGTGCATGGAGCCTGGCACCTCAGTGGTCGCAGGCCACTTCCTCCGAAAAAATTACATTAAAAATTACATTTTGCAACTGCATTTATATGAAGCTTCATTTGTTAATATTACATATTAAAACATTGTCTTCCATCTCAAAGTTTCATTTTTGGTCTGATTTTAAAAGAAATTAAAAAGTCCTTGTGGGCCCCTAAAAGCATTGTGGGAACTAGGCCCTCCTCGGTTCTCAGAGCACAAAGCTCCCAGAAACGAGCTTCCCACGGTCCCGTGAGAGGCTGCCCAGGGAATTGACCACTCTGGAATCAGGCCAGGAAGGCACTAGGTGGCCATGGGCAAGTTACTGGGAAGCCCTCGGCCTGCCTCTGTCTGCTCACCTGTCAAATGGGTAGGACTTGCCCAGCCTGTACCATCCGACTTATTTTGGTGAGGTCAGAGGGCCACCTGGAATCTCTTGGAAAACTCAGCCTCGGCTGGTGCAGCTCAGTGGATTGAGTGCCGGACCGCGAACCAAAGGGTCACCAGTTCGGCTCCCAGTCAGGGCACATGCCTGGGTTGCTGGCCAGGTCCCCAGTAGGGGGCACATGAGAGGCAACCACACACTGATGATTCTCTCCTCCTCTACCTCCCTCCCTTCCCCTCTCTCTAAAAATAAATAAATAAAATCTTTAAACAAAAAGAAAAGTCATAAAAGACCCCCCATGTCAGGGTCATTCTCAATACACCATCTCTAACGACTGATCAGCAGCGTTCCTTGTCAGTGGTACCAAGGGTTGGATTTGGAGCCAGCCCGGCCTGGGACAGAAGGCCAGCTCTGTACCTGCAGGCAGACGCCCCATCCCTGAGCCTCCGACTGCCCATCTGTGAAATGGGATTACCAGCAGGTGCCGTGGCACAGTGCCGGACACAGAAAACAAGTGCTCATCACGTAACAGCTGTTCCTAGGACCGTTCTTGTCATCATTGTTATTAATCCCAGAGGAGGCAGCACTCTCCAGGGCTATGGATCACCCACGTGGACTGGGAAACGTTTTGCACAAACATCTCCCACTATTGAGATGCCTCACCAGCCCTACTATGGCCCGGTCAGCACCGCCGAGGGCTGTTTTGGGACTTATGTACCTAAAGTGATGTTTGCCTCTGCTCAGCAGTGTGCCCAGTGTCAGCCGAGACCCCGCTCTTGCCTGGCCCAGAAGCAGCAGGCCATCCACAGAAGGTTCCCAAATCCCAGGGAATTCCCAGTGGAGGACCAGCCAGACTGGCTGAGGGGGGCCTCCCAGAGGAGCCCCCCGCCCCCGCCCGGCCCCGGGCTCCCCAAAGGGTTAAAGGTGCAGGGAGGAGCTGCGGCAGCCAGCTGGCCCAGGCTGGCCAGCCCACTCTTCCTCCCGCGAGTCACCCAGCAGGCTGTGCCCCCAAATTAAAGTCCTCACAGTCACCTTCAGCACACTCTTCACCTGGCACCCTAACCCCAAAGAAGGGAGGAGGGGAACCCTGAGGGAGAAAAAGCCACCTACTTGGGTCTCGCTGTCTTTGTTGAGAAGGACGCCCATGGTGCAGGAGCTCAGCTGGGACCGATGACAATCATCCCAAGGCCCTGGACAGCGCATGCGATTGGAGAATTTGCAGCACCTACCCAGCCCTGAGCCTGCAAGGCCGGCTCTGCAGCCAGTGTGACTCAGGTGGTGGACGAGCCACGGATTCTTCCCGCCCCTAATCAGATTGAGGAGATGTGCGGGGAATTCTGCAGAACCTCCCCCGGGGAGGCCAGGTGGGGACCAAAGGCTGCGGTTGCTAGGAAAAGCCAAGCTGTTGCCCACAGAGACCTGGTCGCTAGGTGACCATCTGCCAGCGTCATCAGTAACTCCTGTGCCTCCACACAGCTGGCTAAGAGCATCCTTCCCCAGCAGTGACAGCGGCCCCTTGCCCACCCTGGAACCCTCTGGCCCTGGCTCTGCGGTCACACTCTCTCACCACAGAGCCCCTGTCCCTGCCTGGGGCCCCGGGCTCGAAACGTCCCTGAGTTGGAAACTCAGTAAACCTTTGTGGGAGTGTGTGCGTGCCTGCGGCATCTGCAGGTAGCGGAACGCACATGTTTGTGTGCCCGAGCGTGCGTGCAGGGTGTAGTGTGTGTGTCTGCAAGTGCATATGTGTGTGCGTGTGGCTGTGTGTGTGCCTAACCCGCGTGCATGCCTGTGCCTGTGCACTGGTGTGTCTATGGCAGCGCAGGTGTGTTTGTACCCGTGTGCACTGTGCGCAGAGAACACAAGGAGTTAGTGTGCGTGCACGTGTGTGAGAGCATTGGACCACTGGCCTTCAGGAGAGGTTTGGCGCAGGAGCAGGGCATGGAAAGGGGTTTTCAGGCCTTGGTGCTGGGCACACAGGTGTAGTGGGGGAACAGCTCCCCCGATACGCTCTACACAGAGGCGAGTGGAAAGCAGACAGCAAACCAGGCTGCGCTAAGGAAGCTGGCAGCACTGCAGGTCCTCGCCGAAGTGAAGCGCAGCCACCCATCAATGAGAGCAGACAGCCTCGGGGGGAGGGGCGGGGGCCCAGAGGGCAGAGGCGGCCTGGGTCCCAGAAACCATAAGGAAGAGCCTTCATGTTAAGGGAAGAAATAATCTCATAAGTTGGAGGTCCATGTGAATGGAATGGACAGCCTTTGAGAGGTGAGCTCCCCATCAATGGAGGGAAGCAAACAGCTGCATGGCCTCTTGCCAGGGATGGAAAAGGTCAATGTGACCCGGGCAAGGGTGGACAACAAGCCGGTGACACTGAGCAGGCTTCCAGCCCTGAAATCCTGTGTTGGTCTCATCGGTTTAACTCTTTCCGGGTAAGGACTAAACACAGCCCTCAGTGGGGATTCGAACATCAGGGACCTTCTCGGTGGGGCACGTGCTCCAGCCCAGGTCTGGTAGGTCACCCATGGTCACAGCTGGGCCCATGACCACTTTGCCGCGGGCCATTGCTGTCGCCCCCGTTCACAGGTGCGGGGGTGGAGGCTTTGTGCAGGTGTGCCGCTTGCCCAGGCCTCTCTGCTAAGAGGACCAGAGCCTGTATTCCCAACACTCGTGGCGCTACCCGGCCCTGGGGCCACGGCCAGAGGGGCAGGTCGGGACGAAGGACGTGGGCCGGCGCATGCCACGGAGGGCAGAGTGACAGGGGATAATGCGAGGGGTGGAGCAAAGGGGCCCATTCAGTCTGGCCCTATCGCACCAGCAGCTTCCTCCCTGCTCTCTCTGCCTCAGTCTCCTCACAAAGCCGGCGCCAGATTGTGCCACTGCCCTGCTCACAAACCTTCAGTGGCTCCCCGGTGCTCCCGGGAAATCCAGTTCAAGACCTTTACAACGTGGCCCCTCTGCTTCTGAAAAATCACCGTCCACCGACCGCTTCCATGGCCACGTGGTCACTGTCCCCGGGACCTGCCGGCTGCTTTTTTTTTTTAAGTGAAATCTATTTGACATAACATTGTGTGAATGTCAGGTTGATTTGTTAATGTTAATATAAATATTAATATAACATTTATATATTGAGGCTGCCGTTGTAAGGACAACTAGCACCTCTATCACATCACCTACTATTCCTTTTTAGTGGTTGGAATAATTAAGATATTGTTTCTTAGCAAGTTTGATGATTCTAATTTTTAGTGGTTTCCCATCTCCATTCTTTAACCTCTATCTTAACTCTTCTGTGTGTGTTACTGTTGAGATCTTTGTGGGTGTAGGTGGAAAATCAGCCTTTAACGGTGGTGGAGCGGAATCCACGGCAGCCTTACTGGGCGCAGAGGCGGCCGCGGACTGGCCGCTGGGGGCGCTGTGCGGGAGGGAGACCGCCTGGTGCGTGGGCTTGGCTAATTACTGGGGAGAACGGAGAACGGGGAGGCCACGGCTGCGTCCGCTCGTTCATCCATGCGCGTACTCAGACAACACCGATTTGGTGCCCACTGTGCCAGGCGCTGTTCTGGGCCCTGAGGGCATGGCCGTGAACACAATAAACAAAATCCTCCCCTCCATGGGGGTTGCATTCTCATGTTTGTTTGCATCTATGTGTGGGGTGGGATTGGGGGGTTGGTGGGTGGTGGGTACTATGAGTCCCAGGTCATGACAAGCACAGTGGGTGGGGGACCCCCAGCTTCCCCAGCCTCTCTGGTCTGCGCCCAGCAGCACCCAATACAGAAGAAAGGAAAGCACTCAGAAGCCTGGCGCCCCTCCCTGTAACCCCACCTCCCTGGGCCACCCCTTAGCCAAGGCGTAAGTGCCTTACTCAGACTCCTCCTCTTCCTGCTCTTCCTCTTCCTCCTCATCTCCATCCACCTCAGCTTCTTTCTCCTCTTGAATCCAGGGACGCTCCCTGAAATGAGGTCAGAGGCAAGAGGTGAGCTCTCTGCTGGGCCCCCCCGAGCCCACCTCCCTCCCCATTTTCAGTAAGATGTCCTGTGACCGCCCCCTGAGGCCAGACCTGAACCCCTCAGCCAAGAATCATCTTGGGGACCGCCACCTGAGTATCCCTGGGGTCTCTCTAGCAGCAAGGCCTCTTCACGGCCTAAGGCCCCGATAGGAACCTGAGGTCAGCCCCTGACCCTCTCTGGGCCTCAGTTTCCCCATCTTTGCCACGTAGGCTTTGGACCTGAGGACCTGAGACCTCCCACGATGCACTCACAGGCATGTGCAAGAGTGTTTGTTGCAGAATTATTTACAAAAACAAATTTTTGGAATCAACCTAAATGTCCATTAATATTAGACCGGTTAAACAAATTCTGGCACATCCATATGATAGAATACAATGCAGTTGTAAAAAAAAAAAATGTGCAAATGATCTCTATATACTGAAGGTGGAAAATTCTCCATCTATTGCTAAATGAATATCACAAGGTGCAGATAGGAAGGTGCATGTGATAGGCCATGTTTTGTGCAGAGATAAAAGAGGGGAGTTCCTGCTCAGGGGGGTCCCTGGAATGGCACAGGAGAACCTGGCAGCCACTGGGCCCGTGGAGAAGGGATGGGTGCCTGGGGAGGGGGGGAGGGAGAGGCAGGCTTGGTTCACCCCCAGGCCCTTGCATGCCTTCGAGGCTCCGTGCCATGTGCCTTGCATCTCCCTTGTCCCTGATCAGGCTCTTCTCTGGCTCCCACCTGGGCGTCTCTTCCATGGCCTCCCGCTCCCTTTCATAAGCTGAAGCCACCGCCTCTGAGCCCTGCGGGCTGGTGCTGCCCTCTGGATGCGCGACCTCCTCCCAGTGAGGGCCAGCCTCTTCCAGCACGAGATCGGGCTCCTCTTGCCGTTGGGGCAGGATCCTGACTGCAGGGGACACAGGGGAGAGCGGGCTTGGGGCTCTGAGTCCCCGATCCCACAGGGGCCTCGGCCATCGCCAGTCATGCAGCAGCCCTCAGCCGACCCTGGCCACAGCACCGTCAGCAGCGCGAAAGTGACGGGCTGATGCCCCCGATCATTCACCCTGTCTCCTTCCTTTCATTTCCCCCTCTTTTCTGCTTGAGACAGAGCTTCCATTACAGTGAGTCCTTGTTTCTCCTCGGGGCCTCCTTCTTGGAGTTTGCGTGGAAGCAGAAACTGCTCCTGACCGCAGTATTGCAAGTGATGCCAAAAGACCCAGGCTCGAGGTCCACCTGCCACATCCAGGGGCACGGTGGCTCAGAATGTCCCAACAGATGCAGAGAGAGCGTACCCACTGCCTGCTTTTAGTTGCCACCCCCAGGTGACAACGTGCTACATGCCCGTAATCTCAGCGCCTGCTTCAGGGAGCCTTTTTCTCCTTGGTGGACCTAGAGGTTCGACCCACCAAGAGGTCAACTCTCTCATGGAGGTGGTCCCAGCTGCAGAGAAGAGTCTGTGAGTTTCAACAATTCTCCATGTGCCCTGGTCCCTGACCATGAAAACACTGTGGTGTTGTGAGCTTGGCAGAAGTGCATGTAGGGAAGACTGATCAGGAAGCTAAGCCCACCCCCAAGCAGGAGAAAAGGGGAGAAATAGGGAATTACCTGGATACCAGGTGTTTCCAAAAAGGTCTAGGGATCTAGGTGGCCCTCAAATCAGGCACAAATTACTAATGGTGACTTTAAAGGGGAGCTCGCCTCCAGTCTTACCCTGTGACTTTGGAAGTTATTATATGTTATTCTATATCACAAACAATAACGACAACAGTTACTAGTGCCAGGCCTTGTGCTAAGTGAATTACATGCATTAGTTCAATGAGTCCTTCCATCAACCTTTTGACATGGGAACAATTATTATTCCCATTTTATTTTTCATCTAATATATGTTATTCCCCATTCTATAGATGAGCAAACTGAGACACAGATTAACACCTTTTTTTGAGGGGGTGCTTCTCACATGCTAGGGGCTGAATACCTCCCAAGAGCCACCCCGCTCCCTGCTCCCGTCCCCTGGCCCCCAGGTGCCGATGTTGCCCTTCCTCACAGGGGAGCGCCTGCTTGCCCCCCAGGGAAGCCCTGAACAACCTCTTCCATGGCTTGTCCCCGCCCCTCCAGCTGTGCAAGCGGCCCTGGCAGTCTCTTCCAAGTGTGGCCCCAAATCCAGTGATGGGATGCATCACATGTGTCATTCTATGTTTCTATGCAGCAATGGTGCGGGGTCTCTACCCCAAGCAGCCACTGGGCGCAAGTTCCTTCCGGACAGAGCAGGGGACGGCCAGGGGCAGAGCAGCCCCTGGCCTGTGAGCTCAGCTTTCATGGCAGCCCTGCAGGGCGAGAACAGTACTCTCCCATTTCCCAGGCCAGAGAGCCGGCTCCGAGAGGCGGTGTGACATGTCCGCGCCCACACAGGCTGGCGGAGGCAGTGCCAGGTCTCCTGACTCCCGTCTCCCTGGTGGACTGTCCCAGGTGATCAATGTGCCCCATGAGGGCCTCCCTGGTGTCCTGAAGAGTCCGGGCGTCCTTGTTCGCATCCCTGCTTCCCTGTCATTAACCTTTTCTCTAAGGTGCTGTTTAGGGAGTAAGCATTTTACAGGTACTTCCCCCTCCTGCTCTATGCCAGGCCTGCTAGGCACGCCCTAAGCTGCCCCCCACTTACAACCGAAGATTCTACAATGGGGAGAGGACGGTGCCCCAGGTACCAACCAGGAAGGGCGGGCACGGGGCACTCTGCCACACTGATCATGGGGCAGGGCCCGGAGCAGACCTGGGGAAGGAGCCGCTGTCCCCGCCTCCAGAGCTCTGAGCCCCTCTCTGCAGGCAAAGGATTCACAGCTGTCCCCACGGGGCCACACTGGGTGCTCAAGCTCACATGGAGACTGCTGCTTCTGCTGGGGCTCACCCTCCACCCCTGGAGTCCCGCATGGCCATGCCACCTCCTGGCCAGCATCCTCTCTGCCAGCCTAGGGTGTCACTCAGTGGAGCTCTGACTCCAGCCATGGAGCTCGTCAGCCTCCTCTGAGGAAGGAGCTCCTGTTTCCAGGACCAGCAGACGGGACCAGTGGGCATGAAGGCCCCCACCTGGACCCTGGGCTTCTGGCAAAGCCCGAGCCCTGGCTCCAAGCCCCCGTCCTCTCTGGCAGGCTCGGGTCCTGGATGCTTCGGATGGGGCCCAGAGCGCGATGCTTGCTGAACCATGGCGTTCTTTTTGAAGGCTCTCGCCTGCTCAGCCACCTTCAGTGGCTCCCCATTGTCACCACCTAGTCCCTTAAACAGAGTCGCTAACTTTTCTAGTTTTGCCTTCTGCCTCGAGGACTTGGGATTAGCTCTCCCTCCCCTTCTACCGCCAGTTTGAGACCTCCGGGGCCTCATACCCAAAGGCCTACCCGCCAGGCAGATGGTATATGTGGGTGAAGTGGTGTCTATAACGTGGGCCTGTTACAGCTGGGTCTTCCCAGGTTCCAGGAGAAGCCAGCCTTCCTCTACAGAGAGCTGCCTGCTTTTTAGATGTTGACACCTGATTCTAATTTTTAAAACCACTCCTTGCCCCAAACACAGACACCCGTGGGCCAGCGGGGACCCAGCGCAAGCCGCTGGGGGCTGTGGCTCACTCCTCCTCCTGCCGGCCCCCGCTGCAGGCTGCCCTGAATCCACCCACCCTTCAAACCTGACCACGCGTTTCAGCCTTGTCTGAAGTAATCACATTACGCAATCGCAGGTTCCGTGTGCTGACTTATGCTCTTTAATGTCAATAAAAGCATCTGTTGCTGTCCGTTCACCGACCCCCAAAGGGAGGGAATGGGGCCAAGCCTAAGAGGAATCTCTTCTGGGAAAACCCGTGTCCCATGGGGACACCAACTGTGTGGCAGGCACCATGCTGAGGGCTGGGCACGTATCCACTCAAAGACAGTCCTTGCAGGGCTTTCCCAGTGGGAAGTCCTTCTGCTGTCTAGCCTCAGGGCCACAGGCTGCCCCAAGCTGACCTCCCCCTCGCTCTGGGGGAAAAGGGCCAGTCTTGGTCCCCGAGAGGCGGCTCTGGGGCAGTGGAAGGGACTCTGACTCCCCCTTGTCCTGCCTGGGAGTGTGGGGCGGGCCAGGGGTCACTGTTTAAGGAGGCTGGAGGGTCGGCCACCACTCCGTCCCCCCTTCCCTGTAGGTCTTCTCTTCACGACACCCTTCTTCCCTTGCATCCATCTGTCCGTTTGTCCATCTGTGCTCTCCCAGGCTCCCTTCTCCCTTGTTTCAGAGGCCTCCAGCTGCTGACACCCCTGAAACAAAGGAGAAGACAGAAGGGTGGGTGGCTCGGTGGACCGGCGGAGGGACAGAATGGGTGGGTGCCCGAGTGAGTGAGGATGGGGAGGCTGGGGAACAGAGTGGGGAACAGAGTGGGGAACAGAGGGACTCATCCCCCAGCTTCTCAGGATCACCCCACCTAGTGGGTTGAATAGTGTACCCCCAAATATAACCCAAGTCCTAACTCCTGTAACCTATGAAGGTGACCTTGTTTGGAAATAGGGCCTTTACAGATGGCATTAGTTAGGGATCTCAGGATGGAATCATCCTGGATTTAGGGTAGGTCCTAAATCCAAGGACTAGTATCCTTATAAGAGAAAAAAGAAGAAGATTTGCCAGGCACAGGCGGAGGTCAGGAGGCAGCTAGAGACTTGGGGCACCGGGGATTGCCCGCAGCCACCGGAAGCCAGGAGAGAGGCGTGTGCTGCCCTCAGAGCCCTGGGAGGAGCCAACCTTGCCCGCACTTGCATTTGGGACGCCTGGCCTCCTGATCGGCTGGAGGGTGCGCTTCTGCCCTTCAGAGGCACCAGTCTGTGGTCCACGGTTATGGCAGCCCCAGGAAACTAATGCCTGGTTCCTGGCCGGGGTGTTGACTCACCCCATTGCTGCTCTATGCCTGTCCCTGACCCCTGACCCCTGACCCTCAAGCTCCAGCACAGGGAGGCTCTAACTACAACTGGCTGAGAGTCCTGCCTCCCTCCAGAGGAACAGAGACAGGCTCAGGGGAGCCTGGGCTCCGTCCCTCAACCCTCCCAGCAACCCCTGGGGGCCGCTCTGTCCCCCGAAACTTTCCCTTAACCTCAGCCCAACAGGCAAAGTGCCGCCAGGCCAAGCGGACTCCAGCCTCCACTCCATGAGAACTTGCTCTGCGACCTTGGGCACGTCACTGCCTGCCCCAGCGGCCTGGGGAGTCCCTGTTCTGTGCCCTGCAGGGTGGCCATGAGCTCCATGAGACGGAGCGAGGAGCCCTGCTCTGCCCTCACAATGGCGTCACCATTGCACAGACCCCATCGCCTCCCACAGGCGCTGTCAGACCCGAGCTGCCTGGCCAGCTGGCCTGGCTGCGCTCCAGCCCACGGTCCCATAAGGATCACCATCAGCCCAGGGGCACTGGGGTTGTCCGCAGCCTCGCAGACACGGTGGGAGGCAGCCCTGGGAGGCCCGCAGTCCAGGGCCCGTGTCCCAGGTGGTACAGGGCCACCGCGGCCAGGGGCCTGAACTCCGCTTTGCCCACCTGCAGCACTCACCACAGGCCGGCACAGAGCAGGGAGGGACGGATGGATGTATGGATGGATGGATGGATGGATGGAAGGACAGATGGACAGACGGATGGATGCCCTGTCTGCCTCATGCCTCTCCAAAGGCCATGAAATGAAAGAAGGGCGGATTTTGGACCCTAACCCGCCCCTCCTGGTCTCAGTCTGTCCCCCAGTCCTGCAGCAGGTCTGGGATAAAAGGCAATACACTCACCTGCTCGACCTGGCCACCGGTCAGGGGAGCTGGAGTCTGTGGGGTCCAGTTCCCTGTCCGCCCATCCACCCTCACCCCTCAGCCAGGGCCCCAGCTCAGCCAAACCCACAAACAAGCCCAGCGGCTGGGGCAGCGGGAGCTCCCTCTGGGTGTTCCCCCTGCTTGGCCTCAGAGCTCTCTCCTCAGCATGGAGTCTGGAAGGCAGGCCACGTGCGCCTGCCCCCCCCCCGCCCCGCCCATCCCCTCGCCTCCAGCAGGGGCCTCCCGCCACCACCTGCTTCCCAGCCAGGCTGCCCTGAGGTGGGGCCTCCAGAGCTCGGGCTCCTTCAGCTGCTGGTCAGCAGACCCTGACTGTGCGCCCCCAAGTGAGTCAGGCCTGGCAAGGGACCGCCCCATTGTCCACATGCGCTCCAACCAAGCAACCCTCCCAGAGATGCACGCGAGGACCCACCAGCGTGCCACTTACTGGTCTGCACGTCACATGTCACAGGGGAGTGGTCCAGCTCCTGCACAGGGAGGAAGGGGCAAGGACTGCTGTGGCCTCCTCGCCGGCTTCCCTGCGTCCGCCGTCCCTCCCAGCCCACGCAGGGGCGGGAGGGTTCCCCCTTGTCCCCACTAGGACACGGTCAGAAGACCCCTCGAGTGGGGCCCCACTCCTCCCTGCTTCCGCTCCCCTGCCTCTGAGGGGGCCTTTGGCTCCAGCCGCTCTCCCGCCAGGGTCGCTGCCTGGTCCCACCTCAGCCCCTCTGCCCAGGCTGGGCCCCCTGCCTGGAGCGCCCTCTCGTTGGTTCTCTGTGTATGGAAAGCCCTGGAGGGTTGTCTCAAAGCTCCGTCTGCCCCAAGTCCTCTCCGCACGCCAGCACCATGCCTTCCCTGTCCCCTATTCCATCCTCAGGGGCCCCTGCTCTCTGTAAGGGCATCTTCAATGTCTAACTGTTTCTGCCACCAGGCCCCCTTCCCTTCTCTTGGGAAACGCCAAAGCGACGCCTCCTCTGTCACCCAGAGGCCGCACGGAGCCCGAGGGGACACTGTCTTCCCCCTACTGCAGCAGGACTCAGACCCGGGCCCCTGCCTCCCAGTTCCAGGTGCTTCTGTGAAGATGGTCATTGGCTCCCAGAAAGAAGGGCCAAGGACCGAGTTCCTGGACGGCAGGAGGTGACAGAGGCCCTGCTGGAGCCCTGGGCCTGCAGGAGGGCACACAGAGCCACTGGCTTCCTTAGAGCCCTGGCTTCTTCCCAGAACGTTCCCGTCCTCTCTCATGTCTGGCCCTCTGTCTGGAGGGCCCTTTCAAAACCACCCACATTCACTTTCACCCACTCACTTCCTGCTCCTCCTCCAGGTCTCAGCTTGCAGGCCACCTCCACCAGGAAGCCTTCCCTGATGCTCCCCGGAGGCTCCTCCTCTACACCCCACACCCTGTCTGCTCCAGCATGGACGGAACTCCCCCACAGCTGGGACCACCGGGCAGGCAGGGCTGAACTAGCCCGCTCAGCCCTGCAGGCGTGGTGCCCCAGAGAGTGGGCAGAATGACTGAGCAGTACGGACAGGCAGGCTGGCTGGGCTGGGCTCCCACTGAAGTGTCCCTTCCCACTCTTGCCTGAGCTCCCAAGAGCCCTCCTGCCCCCATCCAGGGCCCTCACTCCCCTCACCCAGCTCCCACCTGCTCCTCAGCCTTCCCACGGAGCACCGGCTGCGGCAGGGCCATCTCCAGTCTATGTAGGAGCCACGCCACCAACCTGTGGGTGCGAGAGAGCAGCATGTCCAGGTGCAAAAGCGACAGGAGAGTCTGATCATCCCCAACCCACGGCAGACGGCAAACCTGCACGGAGCCAGGCCAGAACCCAGGTCTCCAGCCCCAAAGACCATTGTCCCTCTCCCTGGCCTCTTTAGGCAAGCCTGTAACTAACGGTCAGGCCCCAGCAGGTAGCTCGGGCTGCCCCCACCCCCAGCCATACCCCTCAGGCCCCTTGCCCATTGCCCGGAGGGTGGGGGCAGAGCATTGTCAGTACCTATCCCGATTTTAAGCGTACATATCCTTTGGCTCAGCAACTTCGTTTCCTACAGTTTATCCTACAGATTTGCTTGCATGTGGCAACATGATGCCTGTACAAGGCTATAGCTTGCAGGAAAAGAGTGAAAACAAATGAAATGTCTACCACGTGGTTAAATGAAAGCTGATATATCCATATAATGGAGTACTATGCAGCCATGGGAAGAATGAAGCGGACCTAAATGTATAAAACCACTTCAAAGAGACATTTTGGGGTGAAAAAAACAAGGGACAGAACAGTATATACAGCTTGCTATTGCCATGTGGGTGTATTTAAAAGTGAAACCTATTCAAAAGCTTGTCTGTGCCTAGAAAACGTTGGGAAGGCGGAGAAGCTGTGGATGCAGCTGCCCTGCAAAGGAGCCCTGGAAACTCCTTTGAATTTTCTCCCAGGAGCATGTGTTACTTTTATAATTTAAAGAAAGAGTTTGGCGAAGGCTGGGTGTTGGGCTGCTCCCGGGGGAGGTATGGCATTGAGCGGGGCTCACCTGGTAGGGTCCGTGGGGGGCGGCAGCGGGGAAGCCGGGAAGCCAGGCTTGGGCTCTGGAGTCACCTTCTCCGTGGGCTCGGCGGGGCCCGGGGTGGCCAGGGGGTGACTCTCTGCGGCCTGCAGAGTGGACTCTGTTTCCAAGAGGTGTCCTGGGGGCTCTAAGTGGCAGGGAGAGCAGGAGACTAAGATGATGTGGCCAGGCTCCATGCAGCCCTTTAAGGGCACAGGGGGCCAGATTCGAGAGGCCAACATGACTGAGTGGGAGCCCCTTGTGGTCACCCTATCACCAGACAGACGTGGGACCGAGGCCTGGAGTGTGGAAGGGACTTGTCTAAGACCTCACAAGGCTGTCCCAGGCCACTGGCTTCCCAGCCTGGGCTGAGGAGAGGGGGTTCTAGTGCACCCCACAATAGACCTCTCCCAGCAAGCCCTGAACCCCTCCCTAGCATGGACAAAAGCTACGGTCCTCCCCTGGGATCCCTCGGGCCCCAGCCATACCCCTAACCCAGCCTGTGACCATCTCAGTCAGCCCCTTCCCAGGTCCCGTCCCTGTACCTGGGCCCAAGGCAGCGTCTGCGGGCCCGTGTGCGGGCTCATGCGGGGGCTCGTCTGCAGGCACGTCTCTGCAGCCCTGGAGTGCAAGCAGGGAGAGAGGGCTTAGAGCAAAGCAAGCCCTGCGCACTCCCTCCCCTGGCCAGCCATGCGCTAGCCTGTCCTTCCCCTGAATCCTCTGTGCTCCATGCAGAAACTGCCCCCATCCAGGACCCTCCAGGGAGGGGGAGAGCAGGCTGCCGGAGTAGAAGCGCCCTTCCTGACACCACCAGAAACCTTCCCAGGTGGTCCGCTTCCTGCTTCCCCTTCTCCTCCACTTACCTCGGGGGTTTTTGGAGGTTGAGGCAGCACTTTCTCCAGGTTCTGCTCAAGCCACCTGAGCAACCAGGGCCTGGGTCTGCAGAGGGGCCGGTGGTCAGCCGGGCGGCCTAAGGAGTGGCCAGCCACACTGTTCTGACCCCCCGGCTGGGGTCCCAGGCCTCACCCAGCCCTTCCTAGCCCTGGGCTCCCATTCCGCACAATGGAAGCCTTATATTGGATACTCTGAAAGGACCTCAGGTGGTGAGGGAAACCCGCCAATTCTGGCCCAGAGCCGGACCAGGCTCTCGCCCAGCAGGCCCAGCCTTGGCCTCCTGGGCTGCAGTGAGGGGTCGGGGCTGCTTGGGGACCTGGATGCAGCAGTGGGCTCCCTGCAACAGGGACAGGTAGGTCTGGCTTCATGGGGATGTGATCAGTACAGTCACACATGGCCCCGTGCTTAGAAGGGCCCATTTTTTATTTAATGTTCTGTCATCGCAGTCTTAAACGCTTAATAATTTTTTTCTTAGATTTTATTTATTTATCTTTAGAAAGAGGGGAAAGGAGGCAGAAAGAGAGGGAGAAAAATATTGATGTTTCTCTTACTGGTATCTCTTCTCTAGAGGCAAGAGATATATCAATATGTTGCCTCTCACATACCCCTGACTGGGGACCTGGCCTGCAACCCATGCATATGCCCTGCCTGGGAATCGAACTGGTGACCTTTCAGTTCACATGTCAGCGCTCAATCCACTGAGCTATGCCAGCCAGGGTTTAACAATATTTTAAAAGGAGTCCTGCATTTGTATGTTGCACTGGGCCTCACAAATTATTTAGCTGTCCTGGGGTAAACGTCGGGTCCCAAACCAGTGCTCAGGGATGGGGACTCACCCAGTGTCCCCGGCCCGGGAGACCTGATTGACTCCATCTGCAGAAGAAAGTATGGCGGTCAGCAGCCAGGGGCCCGCCCAGAGACCCCAGTCAGCCCAACTCAGAACCGGGTCTGAACCCAAGGCCAGTCAAGTGAGACACTCGACCCATGGGCTCTCCCCACGGGCCAGGCCCACGCCAATTCCCCCTCAGCCCCAGCTCTGTAAAGCCTTCCCACCTCATGGCCTTACCCGAGCCCCCCGTGCTGCGGTGCCCAAGGATCTGTGCTCCCGCCTGCCAGGACAGACAGACAGAGAGGAGTGAGCAGAAAGCCTGGAAGCGCCAGACTCCCACAGCCCCTCCTGCCTCCCACCCTCTGCAGCTCCCCACCCCAGCAGTACCTGATCCGGGCCCGCCAGGCCGGCTGCTGTGCTCTGGGCTGGCCCGCTGCTGGGGACAGCCTGCGGGACAACCTTCTCCACACCCTTCCTGAGCCAGCTCAGCACCCAGGTACCAGGACTGCAGAGGGATAGAGATACCGGTCCGGGTCAGAGGGGCCATCTGCAGCAAAAGGTCTCAGTTTTTCAACCTAAAGAAGTTGGCTGGGATGGCCAACCTCTATCTCCCTGCTGTGAGACTTCAGACCCAGCGTCCTCTCCCCCGAGCCATGTGTCCCTCTCTGGAAAGTGGGGGACACCAAGTCTTTGTGAGTCAGGTATGCCCAGCGCCATCCTGGGCCCACCCCCATCAGGAGCTTGGGAGCAGTTCTCTCCATCACCCTGCCTCCCCGCCCCCAGCCCGGTTCCAGGGGTCCCCATCCTGCACTCGGCACACGCTCTGTGCTCCAGTAGCATTGTGGGATGCCTGAGGGGTGTTTCCTTGTGGTTGAGGCTGGTCCTCCTAAACACGAGGGCTGTAGGCTCACTGCCTGGGCCAGCCCCAGCCACAGATGTGCTCTCTGGGATCAGCACCACGGGTCTAAACTGTGTGAGCCAACCAGGAGACTCCCTGGATTTCTGGCATCCTGGGAAAGTCAGAAGCTGCAGCCACTCTGGGCCTGCATCTCACCCAGGTGCTGAGAAACCTCTGGCCCCGCCCTTCACTTCTCTTGGCCAGCTTGCCCCTTCGGCCCAGGAGACCCTCACGATCTGCCCGAGGCTACCTTCAGCCCCTTCCCCAAATGTCCCAACATTTGCCTGGGAGTAACTGTGGGCCTGAGAGTAGTGCTGGTCTCTACCCGCCCCCCCGCCCCCCCCACTGGCTTCCTAGCTTGGACCAGGGGCTGGCCGTGTGGAGAGCAGAGGTGTTACAGTACCCGTTCACTTCCGGAACCACAGCAACCTGGGCCTGGAGGCTTGTGGGCAGAGCGGTGGCAGCCTTCTGGATCTCTGCAAAAAAGTCCCTCACACTTGAGACCTGGAGCCTCAAAGAGCCCATTTCCACCTTGTTGGGGAGGTCAAGTTAGAGACATGGGAGAGGGGAGGCCCCAAGGGGTCAGAAATCCCAGATTTCAGCTCAGCTCAGCTAAAAAGTCCCCAAGAGCCGACCCTGAGTCTCTTCGAGCCTCAGCTCCCTCATCTGGGAAGCGGGCTGGCCAGCCTCATGGTTCTTCGACAGGGCTCTGAGGGGAGAACATGGCCCCTCACACCCCACCCCCCACACGCACCGCCCTGCCATCCTGGGCTTCCAGCACTCACCCTGAGGCTTTCCGTCAGCCACAGCTGCTTCCTCCCCTCCAAATGGCTCCTCGGAGGGCTGGAGGGTTCAAACAGAACCATGTAAGCCCTCAGAGAGGCCAGCCTAGTTCAGGCAGGGGTAACCCCCGACTCACCCATAAGGAACCCTTCCTCCCCCCACAGGACCAAACACTTCTATTCTCATAGTTGTCTCTGTAAATCCTGGTGGCCTTGCCTTCCACCTGGGATACTCCCTTCCTCCCAGCCCCAGGGTCCTCTCCTCTACAGAGGGGCCCTCACACCCCCTCCATGGTGGTCCCCAAGCCTATCCCGAAGCCCAGGAAGCTGCCCCACTTCAGGGGCCTGGGAAGAAGGGGAACGTTGTATGAAGCCTTGGAGCAAACTGAGGGGAAGAAGGAGGTGAAAAGAGCCCCCCACCCAGCTCCCGGTCAGGGCTCTCCCTCTCCTTCTGGGCCAAACCTTCCATCCCCTCCAGCAGCCAATAGGGGTCCCGCCACTGCCACCTGCCCCCACCTGCCTCTGCAGCAGCGCCTCCTGTTGCGTGTGCACCCATGTGTATGCACAGCGAACACAGGCACAGGCACATAAGTGTGTGCACACTTACTCTCACATGCATTCACATGCACACAGAGACATATGTGAGCACACATGTATACACATGGAGACATGCAAGCACGTATCTGTGCATGTGTGTATATGCACGTGTGCATGCGTGCACATGTGCAAAACAAGTATATGATGTGTCTCACACGTGTGCACATGCAAGACATAAGACAGGTGTGTGTACATTTGTGTTGCATGTCCCAGCAAGCACACGTGTGCAACCATGTGTGTATACACATGTGTATGCATGCAGGTGTACACGTATGCATATATCTGGAGCACAAAACCAAATACACAAGGACACTACACAGACACACAAACATGCACAGACATGCTAATGTATTCACAGATTCAGAAGCATGTGCAAGTACATGTGTATACACACTAGCATGCCACATGGAGCTACATGAAACTACAGACACACTAAAGTGTGTGCATGCATGTGTGTGTTCGCCTGCTCATGCATACACATGCATGCACGTAGTCCCTGATTTTCAAGCACATGTGTATATACAAACACTGCTAAGGACACACAGAGTATACTTCTGTGCACATACAGCAAACACATACACGCGCAAGCCCTATACCTGGGTAGCTCACTGTTTCCTAACACGCCTGCACTCCCCCGTAATAACCTTTCTCTCTGGAGCGCTTCCCCTCTTTGCCTCCTCCCCTTGCAATTCAGTCCAGCCCTCTGTGTCTCAGACGCACTCACCTGCCAGCTTCCAATGTCCCAAAATGACTCTCTCCTTATCCTGACCGCCCGTCACGCTCAGTCTGATACCCTTATCTGGCCTCCCAGGCGGGTGGAGCTGAGGCCCATGTCGGAGTACTCCGCATTGCCTCCTCACCTCCGTCTCCGTGCAGAGTGACCAGGGCAGGTACCTGTCTCCTGACCCCCGGGGGCAGTGCTGTATTCATCATGAGGCTCTCAGCACTGCCCCCAGAGCCTGAAACCCATGAAGCTAAATCACAGTTGTTCAAGTGAGCTTCTGCCCTGGCTGGCGTGGCTCAGAGGATTGAGCACCAGCCTGCAAACCAAGGGGTTGCTGATTCAATTCCTAGTCAGGGCGCCTGCCTGGGTTGCTGGCCAGGTCCGCAGCAGGGGGTGCTTGAGAGGCAACCACACATTCATGTTTCTCTCCCTCTTTCTCCCTCCCTTCCCCTCTCTCTAAAAATAAAATAAATAAAATCTTTCAAAGAAAAGGTGAGCTTCTGAATCAGTTGTCACCAGGCTCCTGAATGAATGAGATGCAGACTGGCCGGTTTTGATGTGCTCGAAGGAAAGTTCTAGAGCAGCTAGAAGTGTAGTCCATGAACCCCTGTCAGTCTGTGAACTGTTACTGGTCCATAGTGACTATGGGCAGTTTGCACTGTAACGTTTATGAGCACATCACTCCCTTCGCTGAGAAAGCCTTACCGCAGAACAAATACCAGCAGAACTAAGCAGTGTGCCTGGTTACATAGTAGATTTACCCCCTAGCAAGCTCCTAATCTCATCGTGGCCTCGTCACTAACAGTTCACGCACTGGCTACTTTGAGTAGCTCTGTTCTAGACTCTAAAGGTTGGCAAACAAGGGCCATGGGCCAAACCCAGTATGCCGTTCATTTTATAAATAAGGTTTTATTGGAACACAGCCATGCTCATTTGTTTACATATTGTCTATGGCTGTTTTCACGTGCCAATGATAGAGTTAAGTAATTAACAGGGGTGGCATGACCCACAAAGCCTAAAATATTTACTACCCAGCATGCCCTTCCTCACCCTCCGCTTCTTACCAGGGACGCATCTTCTAGTTTGGCCTCCTGGGGAGCTGTTTCAGGCTCTGGCTCTGGTTCTGCCCCCTCCTCCTCCTCCACCTTGGTCTTCTGAGGGGTCCCTGGGGGCTGAGGCAGCACCCTCTGGACCCAGCCCAACATCCTGACACCTGTGGGGGACAGAGTCCTTAGGCCTCCCCAGGGCGCTCACAGTTGCTCCCACCATTAGAGGCCACTTGTGTAGATTACACTTTTCTCTTTCCTCTCATATTTTTGCAATTATACCTCCAAGGAGAAATACCCAAGCCCACAAACGTGTGTATAGAGAGACTGATCACAACAGTATTGCAGCAAAAGAGGAAAACCATTCAAATATCCATCAGGCCCATCCTGCAAACCCTTCGCCAGCAGCCAGCAATTGACCCGTGTTTCTGAACCTTCTGGAAAGGGCTAGGGGAGCCTGCCTCACTCCCAGTTTTTCTTCTCCCCCCGGACTCAGCCCTTTCCTCCCACGTGGACACTTTTGCAGCCCCTTCTATCTTTTGGCCACATCCCTGCCCACTCCACTTTGATGACAGAAGCTCAGATGGGAAGGGGGACCTGAGGGTGGCAGCCTGGGACAACAGTGGTGCTTGAACCACCAGCCTTTCAGAACCTACTGGGAAGCTGGTAAAAATACAGGCTCCCAGACCCCTCCAAACCCCCTGCAGGACCTAGAACCTGCATTTCACGAGCTGCCCCTGAGCCACCTGGGGAGGGAGGGGTGAGGGAAGCCCCAGGGTTTTCAGCCTCGCCTGCTTCTTCATGTCTAAACGCCTTGCTAGAAGGACAGCGTGACAATCCCGCCGGTAGTCCCACCGCCACCAAGCCACCACGTCATCCTGAGTTACCTGCTCAGATGCCGACTGCCAGCCAGGAATCACCTTCTCCCTTCTGCTCCCAGCTGGCCTCGCAAGCACCGGGGGATTAATTGGCAGCACTGGGGCCGTGTGCAAAGGATTAGCAGGTGCCGGACGGGGGTGGGGAGGTGGTGGTGGAAGAGAGGCTGATGCCCAGGGCGCTGACAGCAACCGCCTGAGGCCAGCAGAGATCGCGGTCCAGGGAAGAAGCGCCAGGTGGCCCAGGCTTGGGCACCATGAGTTCCTGGGGGACCTGCCCAGGTTCCAGCAGCCTGGCTCCCCACATACCTTGGGCAAGCTGCAGAGTGGCTGGTGGGAGAATGACCGCGTGAAGTCCCCGTGTGATTCTGGGAGACTCCTCAAAGTGGCAGCGGCTTGTCCACTCTCAGTGAGCTGTGGCAACACGCCCCAGCCCTGCAGCCCCACTGCCAGACTCGGGCTGACTCTCTCCGTCCGGAGTCCTCGCAGCTGGGGCAGGGCCCCAGCAGCCCCCGCCTTGGGCTCTGCCTGAACGGCTGTGGTCCCGGGGCTGGGCCTTTCGGAAGGACCCCGGGACTGGTGGGTGACCAACTGCGGAGGAGCTGGCTCCCAGAACTGCGGTCGGACCCTGGAAGGGAGACAGGTCTAGGGGAAGGGGACAAGCAGGGCAGAGGCCCAGTGAAGAGGGGCTCAGCGAGGTGACAATCTGGGTGGGGGGTGGGATAGAGGGGTGTTCAGCAAAGGGGCAGGAACCTGACTTGATCGCAACATTCCTCAAGCTCTTTGTAAGTGCCTGACAGTGTGCCAACCTTGGCACATGGATCGACACACATGGGCCCTGATTGGTGCGGCTCAGTCAGTTGGGCATCGCCCAGCAAACTGAAAGGTTGCCGGTTCGATTCCTAGTCAGGGTACATGCCTGGGTTGTGGCTTCAGTCCATGGTCAGGGCATGTTAACATACGAGAGGCTACCAATTAATGTTTATCACATCGATGTGTCTCTCCCTCTCTTCCCCTCTCTCTCAAAGTAGAATCAATAAAAAAATTTTTTTTAAAGGCAGACACACAACCTTTCCTCGTGGAGCTTATAGTCAATGGAAGAAGTGGAAATAAAACAGATTAAGGACAAATAAAGAGATATTGCAAATTACGCTGAGTTGCATGAAAGGAACAAACAGGGCAGAGACGAGCATGGCGGTGGGGAGTAGGGAGGTGGATAATTGAGCTTAGATGGGTGGGGCAAGAGCTGAGTGAGGGCTGTTCCAGGCAGAGGGCACCACACAGGTCAGGCCCTGAGGCCGGGAGGAGCGTGGATGCACCGGAGGAACAGAGGGGGTCGGGCGGCCGGTGGCTCAGTGGGTGTAGGGGAGAGTAGGGGAGAGCAGAGGCGAGTGGCCCGAGAGGAGGCCCAGAGACTGGCCAGGACAGATCCTGCAGGGCCTGCAAGCCACAGCTACACGTGGGGCTTTAGCTGATGGACCACGGAAGGCCGTGATGGTCTTGAACAGAAGCCACACGTGATCTGTGCAGCTGTTGAGTAGCAGGCAGGGGTGGAAGCAGGAAGCTGGTCAGGAGGCTGCCCGGTGACCAGCCAGTGTGACTGGGTGACCCCTGGGCTCTCCTTCCCATGCCAGGCCTCTGAGACGCAGCTCCCTAAGGCAACTGCCAGGAGAAGACTCTTTCTGCCAGCGAGGCTGAAACCAGGAGCAAAGCTCAAGGTGGCACCGGCCCTCCTCTGTGAATGCACCAGGCTGCTGCAGAGGACCCCCAGCCAGGACACCTCCACCGTGGCGTCGGTGACATTCACCTTTCCTTTGGCTTGACAGAGGCCAATGCAGACATGACAGGGCTTGGACAAGGTGGATGGCGATAGAGAGAGAGGAGAGGGGGAGGGGAAAGAAAAGGAATTGTGTTGGGGGTCTCCGCTTGGGCAACCAGGTAGGAGGTGGTGCCATCTACCAAAAAGGGGCAGCCTGGGGCTGGGGAGAGGAAGAGTTTTGGGGGGAATGATGAACTCTGCCTCGATTCGATGTCTGGGAGGCGTCCGTGTGGAAGTGTGCAGTAGGTGGCACGGGGCTGGTGCATGGGGTGGGGTGGCGTAGACGGGAGACGGAAGCGTTGGAGGCATCAGCTCAGCTTGCAGAGGACCACAGGACTCACTGAGGTCACTTGGGGAATCCAGCCTGAAGAAGGGGACCAGGATGGTGCCTGGAACATTCTGGCACATTTCGAGGTTGGGAAAAGGTGGAGGAGCTAGGATAGGAGACTGAAGGAGCTGCTAGTGAGAAAGAAGGAGAACCCAGAAGCGGCATGTGCTGCAAGCCAAGAGGGGTGGGCGTGTGGAGGGGGAGGAGCAGTCTCAGGGGACCACTGCGTGAGCAGCCTGCATGGAGACTTGACATGTGTCCCCTGGGCTGGAAACCCTGGGGAGCAGGCAAAGTCAGGTCGGCTCTAGGACAAGGAAAGTAAACAACGCTCAGCCACACCCTAGCCTGGAGGGTTCTCACGGGCCTGTAGGTGGAGGAAAAGGATAAAACTCAAAGACCCCAGGAGTCCCTGCATACAAAGTTCAAAAGGGCCAGATTAGCCTGTCTCATCTCTGGCTGGGGACACAGGCAATAAAATTATAAAGAAAAGCAGCGGCTATTCTCTGCAGCAGAAGCACTGGTTAATTACTTGTAGGGAGTCGGGGCTGTGATGGGGAAGGGTGGTGGAAGATTCTAGGGGCTTGCCGGGCCCTGTTTCTTGCTTTCTTTAGTTGGCATCTATTTTTTAAAAAAACTTTATTGAGCCCTGACTGGTGTGGCTCAGCAGGTTGGGCGTCATCCCGCGAACCGAAGGGTTGCTGGTTTGATTCTTAGTCGGGGCAGGTGCCTGGAGTGCGGGCCAGGTCCCTGGTTGAGGGGTGCGGCGTGGGAGAGACAACCAATCGATGTTTCTCTCTCACATCAATATTTCTCCTTCTCTTTCTAAAAATAAATAAATAAAATATTTAAAAATAAAATAAAACAACTTTGTTTTCTTATTTTATTTAAATAATAGGTATAATTTACATGCCATAAAATTCACCCGTTAAAAGTGTCCAACTCAATGATTTTTAAGCAAATTGCCTGAGCTGGGCAACGAGCACCCTCTCATTTCAGAACATTTCCATCATCCGTCACCCTACAAGCTCCCTTGCACCCCATGACAATCACTCTCCACTCGCCCACCCCCCAACAATCACTAATCTGCCTCCTGTCTCTAAGGATTTGCCCTTTGTGAACAGTTTATGTGAATGGATAGCACCATACATGGAGCGAGTTTGTATCTGATTTCTTTCACTTAGCATAACGTTTGTGAGGATCATCCACACGATAGCACGTGTCTGTTCTTCATCTCTTTTTCATTCTCAAAAGTATTCCGTGGCATAGATATACCACAGTCTGTTTATCTGTTCACTGGTCAACGGACGCTTGAATCCTTTCCATTTTTTGGCCACTATAAAGAATGCTGCTATGAACATGGCGTGCAAGTCTTTGTGTGGACGTATAATTTCATTTCTCTTAGGAAGGTTTCTAGAGGTAGAATTGCTGAGTCATATAGTCAATGAATGTTTTACTTTTTAAGAAACTGCTAAACTGTTCTTGCAAAGTCCACATCTTGACTTGAGTTGGTAGTTAGTTACATGGGGTCTCCCTTTATAAACTATTAGTTATGTTATTTATGCACTTCCTGTATTTTGTTGTATTTTACAGCTTTAAAAGAGTTTAAAAATAAATGTGGGGGGTGGTGAATGGAATCAGCTCTGGAGTTTCCCGTGAGCAGGGCCCTGGGAGCCTTGCCGGGGCGGGAAGGGGCACCTGGGCAGCCACACCCTGCAGGGTCCCACGGGCTCAGCCCCCGGCCGGTGTATGCAAAGCCCGTGCAGATATATGCAAATAAGCTAGGCTCTCCCAGAGTTCCCTTGCGTGGAGGGTCTGTGTCCGGTAGTTGTGACCAGGGTGGTGGGGAGGCCCAAGGGCTTTGCGGTGCTGGGCTTAGACACGCATGACCTTGCTTTCTGGGGAAAAGGGAGGGAGGCTGTAGGCCTGCAGGGCCTGGGGGTGATGTCTCACCTGCTAATCCCTATCCTGCTGAGGCCACCACTCTCCCTGATCCCCTTACGCTGACCCTGGGTACTGGCCACCACTAATCTCCAGCCCTGGAGCCCCAAGAGCTGGCAGGCAGGAGGGCGCCCTCGTTCCTGAGGTCTCCCAGGTCACAAACACCCGCATGGCAGGGCCGAGGGCCCTTGCCGAGCACAGAGCGGAGCCGTGAGGCCCAGAGAGAGACAGTAACTCGGCCAGGGCCACACAGCCTGCCCTGGCCAGCGCTGGCATGCCCAGCCCCAGAGAGCCCTGCTCCCCGTCTATTTCCCAGCATGCCTGGCCTGCGCTGGGGCCCGGGGACAGCAACCTCCGGGGAGGCTGAAGCCGGGCAGCGCACAGGACTCCCGGCAGCCTGTGGTTGCCAGGGTTGCGGAGGAGTGGGTGCCCTCACAATCACATGGCAATGGGCATTGTCTGCAGAACATTCTTTATTCTCCTGCCACATGCTGAGGCACTGGGGCCTGGCCCATCTCCCTGCCTCCCCTCCCCACTGTGCAGCTGGAAGAGCAGAAAATCCTCATACCCTCGTGCACCTGAGGCCTGTGCCCTGCTGATCGGGTAGCCACTGCCGGTGGGTCAGGGGCAAGGAGTCCTCCCTTCCCTCCTCTCCCCGTTCCACTGCCTGCGGCCTCTCCCTGCTCCTCCAGGGCCCTAGGTCCTCGTCCCCTGCCCACCTACCACCCACCTGCCCCTCTCACCCCTCATGGGGCTCAGGAAGGAACCAAGCTGGGTCAACAAATTCTCACTAAAATCGACAGGGCTGAACAGCTCCTGGGAATACCCGTGCTTTACAGGGAGGCCCTGCCTCGCCAGCAATGTTTTCCTAGTTGGTACCTCTTGTGTCTCTCCCCTTCTTGAAAACGTTTTGCTCTCCCTGTAGAATTTTGAGTAAATGCCAGGGACCTTAACTAAGGCCAAAAGCCCATAATTAGTTACCCAGAGGCATCTGAGCTAAATCTGAACCCACTTGCTGCTGCGGCTTCCTGCTTGTTATTTAAGAATAGACTCGATGCCGCCCCTTTTAGATCATGCCCTGAACGCCGTGGCCCCCAGCCTCCGCGGACACACACACCCTGCCCTCACCTCGGTCGGAGCCCTTAGCACACCCTGTGTGTGTGTGCGCGCGCGTCCTGTTGTCTGACTGTCCCCGCCACATGGAAGATCCTGAAAAAACAAGATCTGGCATCCAGTGTGTGCCCAATAAACGTGGGACGGTAGACGAATCAGCCCTGGCCAAGGCCGTGTTCCCGCGGGGGAGGGTGTCTGGCTGGCCAGACCCCAGGGTGAACCCCTTTGTGCCCTTGGCTTCCCAGCGATGGCCCGCATCATCGACCTGGTGCCCTGGGAGGACGGCTCCACCCATGTGTACGCGTCCCCAGCCATCCTGCTCCCGATGGAGAGGAAGAGAAACCAGCTGGCCGGCGTGAAGCAGCAGCTGTACCACCCGGCCCTGCCCAGCCTGCGGCGCATGGACATGGACTCCACCAGGGCCTGTCTGTCGGACGAGCACTGCCGGTCCTCCACCTACTGCCGCAAAGGTCAGGCCGCCTGGCCTGCTGCCCCCGCTGCCGGGGCCCCGGGGCCCTTGGGAAAGGACTCCGTGGTTTGAAGGAGGGAGATCTGGGAGTGAAAGGCCACGAGTGAGGGTGAAAGCAGTCAAGGGGCTAGTCCCAGCTCTGCCACTTCCTACCCAGGGGACCTCGCCAGGTCTGAGCCTCTGTTTCCTTGTTGGTAAAATGGGCATGACAATGCGGCCCGCCTCCCACAGCTGGTGGGAGGTTAAGATGAGATAAGGCAGGAAGAGTAGTGCCTGGCGCCTACCAGGTGCTCAACGAATTGAGCACATCGTTGTCGTTGATATTACTATTGTTAATGGCAAGTAGTTGGAGGTCAGTAGTTGCCGCAGTAGGAGTAATAATAATAGCAATAGTAACAGCTCTGTCCAGTCACCTGTCTATCTGGAAAAGGAAGAGAGACCTCCCCACGCATCCCATGAAGGAGAGGAGCACAAGGCCCAGGGGAGAACTCTTCGTGGACCAGAAACTTGGGTGTGGAGGTGGGGCTGCCATATGCGTTCACTTGTTTAGCACCTCATTCGTGCCGGGCGCCGTGCTGAGTCCCCAGGAAACGCGGGGCGTTGCAGCTAGAGGCCTGGAAGGGGAAAGTTGCACAGGGTACGGGGGCATGGTAGCGCTGGAGGAAAAGGTCTGTGGGGGAAGCAGGAGCAGTGGCTGGGGACGAGGGCACAGCTCAGGAGGGGCCCAGGTGCTGAGCTCAGGGGCCTGGGCTTTCTCAGGAGGGAAACACGAACCTCTGAAGACTTCAAGCAGAAAAGAGGTCTGAGCGTTGTGAGGGAGGAGGTGGAGGAGGGCCCAGAGGGAAGAGAAGTGGATAATGGGAGAGAGGTGGTTAGGGCACTGGGAGGGACCACAGTCTTTAGAAGGAGTGAAGTGTCTTTGCCACTGGCAAGCGTTTTGGAGGGTATTTAGGAGATAAAAATAACAGGATTTGGTACCAGTGAGGGTAGAGGGACAAGGTGGGGGAAACCAGGACAATATCCTGGTCCCACGCATATCAGAGACTGCATGGCCATCAGCAGAGGTCCCACAGAGATCCCTGCAGGGCCAAGGTGGGAACGGGAAAGGTGAAGTGAAGCCCCTCCACAAGGGAGCAGCACTGGGCTCCCCCACCCCCTGCTGCGTAGGAGGCACCGTGCACCTGTCGGACCTTCCAATTTCCAGGCTTCTCTTGGAATCTGGGTTTTTAGGGAAAGCTCACTCTTGGTTTAGATATGTATTTATTGCAAGTATATGCTTCAAGTCACAGGTTTAAAATTCAAAATGCTGCAACAAGGTACATTTTAACAAGCCTCACTTCTCCCCTCCTCCCACATCCACCTGCAGGTAATGACTCTTGGTTTGAAACATATCCTCTCATTGTTTACTACTGCAAATACAAACATGTATTATTTTACTCGCCTGCTTTTTATTATGAACATATTCAAACATAGAGAAAAGATGAAAGAATAATGCCATAAACACCCATTAGCTTCCACCTGCTTTAATTAATGTTTTCCCGTATTCTCTCTCTCTCTCTCTCTCTCTCACACACACACATTCACACATGCAACATCCTACACAATACAACACCATTATCAGATGTAAGAAAGTTAACAATGCCATAACATTCAGTCCATATTAAAAAGCCTTCAATTATCGCCTAAACATGTCTCGTAGAGCTTAATTTTTTTTCATGGGCGGGGAGCAGGATTCTATATAAGATTGTGCATTGCAATTGGTTGTGATGTCTCTTAGGCTAAAACAGTCTCCCCAGTTTCTGTTATTCTTTCAAAACAGTTTTGTTGTAGACAGTCCCACACTGTGAACTTGACGAGTCCTTCCTTATGGTGTCCTTTATCCTGGTCATGTATTTTCTGCAAACTAAAAGCAAGGTGTAGAGACTTCATTAGCCAGGTAGAACATTGCTGGCCAGAGTCGTTCACAGGTGATGGATGCTGTGTTTGCCATAATGTTTCGGCAGGAGGCACAGAATGCCATTGTCCCACGATTCACGATGCTGTGTTTGATGACGTGGTTATAGTCGTAACCTGAATGTATATTCTTTTCAACCTCCAATCGTCTTAGTTTTAGGCATTAAAGCAAAACGTAGCATACGATGTACGATCTTCTGTATTTTGGCAGTCCCGTATGAAGAACTTTATTTACTTTTGATAGCTGCATAGTGTGGGTGTCTCATAGTTTATTTGATCAGTTCTTTCATGGCAGACATTTGAGTTGATTCCATTCATTTGCTATTACAAACAATGCTGGCATAGATAAACATTCTCCCCACATTATTTCCCAGTCATGCAGTTGTAAAGTTGAAAAATTCCCAGAAGCAGTACTGTGGGATCAAAAGGTGTATATTTTTATAATTCTGATAGATATTGCCAATTGCTTTCTATAAGCTCAAGTCAATTTATACCCCCTCTGGCAATGTGTAGCTATGCCCCTGTTTCTGATAACTGAGCTAACTTTTGGCTTGTTTCTAATCTGACAGACAAAAATTAGAATCTTAATGTACCTTGAATATATATGCATTCATCTTATTATGAGTGATATTGAGAGTCTTTTTATATGTTTAGGGGCCATATGTATGTCTTATGTTGGTGTGTGAACTACCTGTGCATGTTAGTCACTCATTTTTCTTTTCTTTTTCTATCTTTTTTGCTTTTTTGGTCTTAACTTCTAGGAGTGCTTTCAGTAATAGGGAAATGGAAAATCATCTGTAAAATAAGTGAAATTTTTTTTCCATTTGCCTTTTGAGTTCTCATGTTGTTTCTTGCAATGCAAAAGGTAATTTTTATGAAGCCAAAGTTACCAATCTTTTCTTCAAGGTTCCTGGATTTTGATTTGGTACAGCCTTCCCCACCCCAAGGTTAAAAAGAAATTCACCCATGTTTTCTTCTAGTACTTCTATGATTTCATTTTTTTTTAATATTGACATGTTTGACCAATTTGGAGTTTATTCTATTGTAAGCCATGTTAAGTAAAAATCTATATTTTTAAAAGTTGTCAAAAAAAATTTTTTTAATTTAAAGCAGTGAGGGCCAAACCCCTCCTGGGCGGGCCCGTGCCCGCTGGTGTTCACGGCATGGGCATCTCTCCTCCCTTCCTCTTCCTTCTTCAGATGACTTTGACAACGCCTACTTCACACTCCTTGGTGTCCCCAACAAACCCCTGCAGTGCCTGGTGAGTGCCCTTTGCCCCTGGCCCTGGGCTCGCTCAGGAGAAAGGGGCAAAGGCCCTGCCTGCATCCAGCCCGGAGCACCTCTGGTCTTGGGCTCTACTCCATGTACTTCCTTAGCTTCCCCCTTGGGACCCCGGTCCCCTTTCCAGCTCCATCAGGGGCTCTAGGTGCCCCTCGGTTAGATGAGCCAAGTGTCAGCTCCGCCCTCCGGGGTGGTTTGGAGCAGACTCCCAGGCCTTTGCATCTGCCTCAGGGGCCCTGACTCCCACCGTCCTGGCAGGACGTCACCGCGACCGGCCAGAGGCTCCGCAACAGGTGCCGCGAGGGAAAGCTGGCGCCCATCGCGCCGGGCATCAACCGGGTGGACTGGCCCTGCTTCACGCGCGCCATCGAGGACTGGTCCCGTTTCGTGTCCTCTGCGGGAGAGTTCAAGCTGCCCTGCCCGAGCAAGAGGGGTCAGTCTACCGGGGGTGGCCGCCCTGGGCGGGAAGGCAGGCAAGCAGTGGGGACCTTGGAGTCGGGCCCTGGAGCGCTGGCTGCGGACCGGGGACATCGGGGCGGAGGTGCGGGCTCCAGCAAGGACAGGGCGGGGAAGCTGGGGAGCAGTGGGGGCCCTTAGGGAAGAGCTGAGGCGGACTGAGGGACACGGAGGAGGGACTCGTCTCGGGGACAGGGTGGGAGCCAGGTTCGGGCCCGGAGCCACCGGGGCTGAGGCTGAGCGCAGGGTTGGTCCCGCCACCCACGAGGCACGGTCCAGAGGTGGGGCTTCTTCTGGCCGGGCAGTTGAGGAGGGACAGTCCAGGTGCGGTGTGGGCGGGGCTTTACCCAGGGGCGGGGCTTGTTCCGGGGTGGGCGGTGCCAGGGGCGGGAAGATGGCACTGTCTCCGCAGTCCAGAGTTTCAGCGGCTACGCGGTGCGGCACTTGAAGCCCGAGGCGACACAGAACTGGCGGGTAGGGAGGGCTGTGTACCATCCGTCCCTGGGGCCCCCGCAGGGTGACGGGGAGCAGCCTCTAGCCCGGGACGGGTGTGCGGGGAGGGAGAGGAGACCGACCTCGGGGTCCCGCGGCCCCAGGGCTAAGATCGCCCGCGGAGAGAGCTGGGCTGGGGGGAGGGGGGACGTGGGCTCACGGACGCCCCTTCCGTCCCCCTGGCCCGCCCCAGTACTGTCTCAACCAGAACCCCAGCCTGGACCGGTACGGACAGAAGCCCTTGCCTTTCGATTCCCTGTAAGTGAGGTCGCGGGCCCCGACCCCCTGAGAGACCTGGGAAAAACTGGTTGGCTCCAATACGCCACAGTAAAATAGCCATTTCGAAATGAATTAATTGTTTACCTCCGGCCCCTGGCAACCTCACCCTTCGGGGGTGGAGGCACTCAGGTGCAGCTAACCCTTCTGGGGGCATGGCGCCTCCCGAGATGGGAGTGAGGGTCCCCGAGACGAGGGTGCGCCTCCCCGCCTCGGTTCACCCTCCTCCCTCTTCTGCAGGAACGCTTTCCGCAGCTTCGGGTCCCACTACAGGTAGGGCCGACCCCGCCCCCACCCTGCCCCACACCTGGCCCCGCCACCCTCACTGCCTCAGGCGCCTGGGATTCTCAGACCCCTGCTCGGCCTTCCACCGGGGCCTGACAAGGAAGGCTCCAAAGGATTGCTAGCCCCCAGGATGGGGGCGAGGGGGGCGGAGAGATATGCGCCCCTCCTGCGCAGCCCACCGGGAGACAGAGGGAGCCGACTGCTTGTCCCACCCAATTTGTCCTTGAGGAGGCCAAGGGTGGGGGCGGGGCAGTTACCTGGAAGGGGAGGCGGGGGCAAAAGAGCAAAGAGACAAAAGAAACTTAATGGAAAGAGCCAAGACCCCACCTTCCAGGTGGCCGAGAGGTGCTAACAGCCGCAGCTAGGGCTTCTCAGCTGGAGCGAGCAAGACGTTCCAGCGTCTCCCTAATGTGGCCACCCCCACCCCTCCAGCCCCATTCCCTACATTTCAGCAGCCTCCTGGGTGTGACCCAAACCACCAGCACGAACCAGCACTCCACCCCAGAGCTCTTCCCTAGCTGAAGAGCTCCTCTTCAGTCGTCAAAGCCCTGCCCACAGGTCCCATCCTTGAAGTCTTCCCTGACCCTCTGCCTCTCCTCTCCAGCTCAGACCCCTCCAGTTGGCCACCACGCAAGTGTACCCCTATCTGATGGCACACAGACTATTGCCTTATGATTATTGATGCAAAGCTTGCCTCCCTTCACCCACCCTGTGCACACCCAAGGGAACACTGGCTTTTTTTTTTCATTACTATATAATGCCTGCCAGAGGAGGTTCACTAAAAGATTGAGAATGAGTAAAGCAGTGCCTGGTTGGGGATCCCAGGGAGATAAAGATGAGGCAAACTGGAAGGGAGGGGGCTTAGAAGTCAAGCAGAGCAACTGAAAATATACAAAAGGAACTAGGGAGGCATTAAAGGTTCTTGAGCCAGAGAGAAACAGGGTGGGAGCTGTGTTTTCAGAGCTTTGAGGGCAGGAGGGCGGGTTTTGGGGGGTGGCCTAGGGAAGGACAGCCCACTTTTTCCCCTAGAGACCCCCCCCACCTCACCCCCTGGTTCTCTCCGCAGCCGTGTCAACTACCTAATCCCCTGGCGCTAAGCTGTGGGAAGAGGCCGGTTCCCCAGGCTGCCGGACCCTGCCTCCCCAGGCTCCCCAGCAGGACAGAGGGTGAACGGTGGCGTGCCCCATCTCCCCAGGAGTTCAGCCTTTCCAGAAATAAACCTGATGCTCCCACTGGGAGGTGCCAGGCCCGTGTCGTGTGTGTATGAGACACTCAGGACCTGTCTCCTGCTGTACTGTCATCAGAGCCCCTACTCCAGACAAAGCGATGGACACCATGGTCCCTCGCCGTGCTGGAGACAGACACTCTTCCTTAGCCTCTGTGAGCGGGGTATTCCGGACGCGGCCCAGGAGCCTCCACGGCCGTCCGCAGGATGGCGCGCCCTCCTTGCTGTCGGTTGCTGGGCAGATCAGGGCTAGTCCAGGAGACCCACGGTCTCCTCCAGGCCTCCCTATTCTACAGATGGGAAAACTGAGGCCCCGATCAGGGAGACAGTTAGCCTCTGGTCAAACCCAGAACCCGGGACTCAAAGCAAGTACCAGCACTTGACACAATATAGTTGATGCCCAATACTTGTAAAAAAGTTATTTCCCAGAATGGGGATATTTTGTTTACAGGTGTGCTATTGTCTGGCAGGCAGACAAAGCCTACCTTAGAGACTTGAGGCTGATTTTCATTTCTGTTAGAGGTGGAGACGGTGATCGTTGCCCTTACACCAAGCTGAGGGGCCATGGTGTCCCTCTCTTTGTCCTGAGCAGGGGGCTCTGACGATAACAGGGCAGAAGACAGGAGAGCGGGGAGGGGCAGACAGGAAATGGTAAGCAGGTCCCAGAGCCCTTCCTCCTCCGAGCCCTCTCAAGAGGGTAGCCCGCCTCCCCCGATTTCACGCAGGAAGAAGCCCTTTTTCTCCAAGACCAGCTGACAGTCAACCTGGCTGCGACCTTGGGACGTTCCCAAGGTTCTTCCTTGGGCAGAGCCCCATGGGGTGTCAAGGCCCCATTCTGCAGCCCTGAGCACCCCTCCAATATCCCAGTGCAGAGAAGAGGTTCGCCCAACTAAGGCTCACAGCGGGGGTGCTGGAGTCCCCACTTGCGTGAAACTGGGAACATGCAGAGACCAGGCAGGAGCATGCCAGGGGCAATCAAGTGCCTGGGGCTTTTCCTGGCCCTGCTTCCCTGACACTGAGTGACTGGGCAAGTCCCTCCAGGAATTTGATCCAGCAGACGTGTGAGGCCTTGCCAGGTCCTGCGGTGGGTGGCGGAGGGACGCAGCCCAGATACCATCTGCCTTTGAAGCACTTCCAGTCCGGTGGGAGAGAGGCAGGCCCAGCGTGTTCAGGGCTGAAAGCAGAAGGTGAGAATGTGGGCGCACCGGGGCCACGTTGCTCAGGCCCAAGAGCTGTGAATGGGAACCCACACTGGCAATCTGAACAGGTCCTTGCCCACCAGGTGTACATTGAATCCTCATGTCACAGGTGTGAAAATGTGTGCCCAGGAATAAAGGAAATGTGGGGCAGATGAGCATTAACAAGCCTGATTTAGCAGGCGCTTTCCATTTTTTAGGTGCAAGGTAATGGATTAAGCCCTTTGCAGGCCCCATGAGGTGGGTAATTATATACCCATTTTACAGATGATGAAAAGGTTGGGGAGAGGAAGCGACTGGCCTGAGATCGCAGAGCTGGTCGTTGGTAGAGCCGGGAATTGAAGGCAGCCTGCCTGACCCCTGAGCCTGTGGCCACCACAATCTACTGCCTTCCTGCTTTAAGAGAGATGCAAGCCAAGAGTGAGGAGAAAAGCAGACGGGACTTCCTGGAGGCAGGGACACTTGGCCAGGCCTTGGAAGGAGGAGCTCGCTCACCAGAAAGCTCTCTTGGAGTTGCTGGCAGTGATGATTGAATCTGCAGGTTAAAAATCCCACCCAGAGGCCAAGAAATGGAAAGCCCTGCCCCCACCCCGCTGGGCCACTCTCCCCTGGCCAAGAAGTCCCCTCAGCCTCAGCCTTCTATGTGCTCATTGTAAATAGATTACATTAGAAATCTTCCCTGCATCAAGGCAGCCCAGCCTCCATGCCTCAACTCCAGGCCCTCCTGGCCCAACCCCAGTCTATTACCCAGGCCCTGGCCCTGCCATACTACCCAGCACACACCCCACCACTGGCCTCCTGGCTGCTCCGAACACCCCAGGCTCTAGCCTGCTTCCTGACCTTTGCTCAAAGCCTTCCTTGCCCCTGCAATGTGCTTTCCCCATCTTTCTCTCTGAATCCCACCCTTTCTTCCAGGCAGGCCTCTCTCAATCCCTTCGCCCTCTCCTGATTCGCCCTCCCCTCATTCACCACCGCCCCCCCCCCACAAAGTCTAGGAGGACAGGGACCGGAGCTGATTCAGAGAGACTAACTCCTAGCCTCTGGCTCTCAGGAAATACTGATCTTGCCAGCTTCCCTTATCTCCCCAAGTGGACCTGGGGCTCAGGAATGGGGCCTGGGGCCTCCCAGATCAAAGACACAGATCTGGACTAACCGAAACCGCTGCTACACCGTAATCATTGTTGGTGTTGACACTCACTCGAGCTTACATCCCTACTGGCCCAGGGCTGGCAGTGGGGGAGGATCAGGGTCCAGCTGAGGGAGGGGTGGGGTGAGGGCCAGGGAGAGCTCTCCCAGGGAATATTTTGTACTGAATATCAGCAGCTTTGACATTTCTGATCCCACCCTTTGACACGTGAAAACCTCAAAACTCTCTCCTCCGAAGTTCTTGCTTCACTAGCTCAGTGCCTGGCAAACAGCAACACCGGTGGATGAGCAAAGGCAGGAACACATACCGGGGTGGGGAGGGGCACACACAAAAGGGAGACCCCACAGGCCCTTTCCCACCCAGGCTCTCCCTTTGACCTTTTTCTGGCCCCAAGGAGACCCGGCATTCCAGCTGGAATCTGTGAATCTGTGGAAGATCAGCAGCATCCCAGGCTTTTCCTGGAGGCCTGACCTTCAAGAAACAAAGCCGCCAGCGAGGATGGGATGAGGATGGGATGCAGAGCTCACCACAGGCAGCCTGGCCCAGGCTGGGAGGCCCCGCACAAAGCTACAAGGCCTGGGCAGTCCCTGGCCTGTCTGAGGTCTGCTCTGAAGGAGGGAAGGGGTGGCGGGTGGTCTGAGAGGTCCGGATGGAGGACTGGAGACAAAGGCCGTCCGCAAGGCACCTGCGGAGGCCTAGGCTCTCTGTAAAGCTGGCTCCGCACAGATGGGAAGTCAGAGCACAGCGGCTTCATGCCCTCAAGGAAACAGGCCAGAGGGAAGGGCTTCCCTCCTTTGCTGGCCAGACCCAGCGCCAGCACGAGCCCCGGTCATTGTTCCGGCTTCCTGGTCAGCGAGGAGAGGGATGGAACGGGAGCCCCAGGCTTGCGGCTGGAGCTGGAGACCTGTGAGGTTCAGGGCTCACGGCTGTCCTGCCCCGCTGCCTGTCCCCTGCCTGGCCAGGCCCGCAGTTCTAGGCCACTTTCATCACTGACTGCATGGCTTCAGGCAGCCCCGGGACATCTCAAGGGTTGGGCCTGGCCGGCTGGTCTCACAGGCCGTACGAGGCTCGGGCCAGCCAGCGGACGTGAAAGGTCTTGGGGACAGGGTGTCGGAGGGGGTGAGGCAGCCCTGACATTCAGACGGGAGGGCTCGGCTGGGTCCCTCACACCCGTGCCCGCGCACCGCTCTGCTCTCCTGAGCGCCCGCCCCGCGCCTAGCACTCCACGCAGGCCACCTCGCTGCGCTCTCGCCTGGAGCCCAGAGCCGAGCGTTCCTGGCTCCATCTCACAGGTGAGGAAAATGGGGCTCAGAGAAGCCCAACAACCTGCCCAGCGCCTTGTCACTGATGAGCGGCAGAGGCAGGACAGGACACTAGCCAGTTCGGGCTGGAGCGCTCTTACCCACACCACCACGCCACTGCCACCGTGGTTCCTGAGCTCCACCCCAGCACAGGGTACCCTCCCGCTGTGCTCCTGCAGGGCCGAGCAGAGCCAGCCACACCGCTGACACAGCTGCCAGGAGGATGGGCTCCCAAGGGAAGTGGTCTTTGGTGCCTGTCCTGCCCTGGCTACCTGACCTCGTGGAACCTGAGAGAGTGCCCCCCGCCCTCACCCAGAGCAGCGCCGCCTCCCACAGCTGCCAGGGACCAGACCGCTAAGGCGTCAGACCTCTGTCAGCACCTCCCTCTCGCTCCACCCAGCTCTGGCTGTCATCCCAGTGTCACCCCTCATGCCAAGGGACCATCCTTTTGTCACACTGTCAGTGGTTGGGGCAAAGGGAAGGATTGCCCAGAGACTAAAGAAGATGGCACTAGTCACAATGTCTGAGGTTTCCCCCATGAAAATGCTGTGTTCGAAGAGAAGAGAGCCGCTTCGGGCAAGGGACAGGGGAGAGAGGTACCCGGGTGTGGCCAGGCGCACTGCGCAGCTGCTTACGCGTTTGTGCGGTTCCTGTCACAACCAAGAGAGACCGGACTGAAACGGGACGGCAGCAGGCGGGGGGCCAGGAAAGATAAGGCAGGGAACGGGAGCCACAGGTGGATGCGGTCACCTTCCCAGAATCAGAGCCTCAGGGCTCTAAGCACCCAGAGATCAGGGATCAAGGCCTGTGCTCCAGATGGAGAACTGAGGGGCAGAGACATGCCTGCATCACTTGTTACCAAGGGGTAGGACTTGAAACAGAGCATCCGGGCTCCCAGGCCAGGGTTCCACTCACGGCCCTGGTTGGGGCCCAGGCTGGAGTGCGGAGGCTGAGGGCCAAGGGGGAGCTGTGGGGACTCACTGCTGAGTGAGGGGAAGAAGACGACAAAAAAAGAAAAGGTCATTGCAGGCTCCATGTGAGCTCAGCCATCCCCCGCCAGGGCTGCCCCTACCCACGCAGACCACTCAGGAGGGGCAACCGGAGGCCGTAAAGCCCCAAACACACGCCAGTGCTTTCCAGGCGTCCCAATGAGCTGAGGTCACTCAGCAAGAAGGGAAGCCAGACCTGGCACAGCTGCAAAGAGCCCTGGGAACCCCCTTGGCTGAGCGGTGGCCGCCTGCAGGAAAGAGTCTCACAGCTCCTCAAGGGCAGGGCCTCCCCTTGCCACACGCAGAGGGGTAAGTGTGGGGTCCGGAGCATATCTGGGGTCCCCCGGCCATTCCACTAAGCCTTTTGCCCCCATTTTTGAGCCCCGGCATCATGGGCAGCTCCCTGTCCTCTTTGACTTTCTACCCTTAGCCGTCGCCCCCACCCCCAGGACAGGGTGTCCCTGCTGGCCGTCCTCCACCGGCCCTCAGATGCCCAGAGCTGGGGAGGCTGTTTCTCCCTCTCCCCAGCCCCACTCTTGCCTGTGAGAAGCGGAAGGAGGCCGAGGTGCAGTTGGCCTGCCGGCCCGGAGACAAGGACGGGGTACCGCAGGGGAGTGTAGGAGGAGGGCTGAGAGGGCAGGCAGCTGGGCTGGGCATGCGGGGGGTCGCTGTGCCACAGGGCGAGTGGCAGCGGGCGAGAGCAGGCCACCCTCCGGGCCAGGGCCTGGCGGGCCCCACTGCTGCCCCAGGCAGGCCCTGAGCAGACTCCCACGCTTACCAGGCCCGGCTCCCGGCTCCGGCTTCTGACCTTCGTCAGCTGCTGACCCCTCACAGCCCAGCTCCCTTTGCGGGGGCCACGGTTAAACCCGAAGGAGGTCAGCAGGCTGCAGGGCCATTTCTGAGGTGTCCGCGGCCGGCACTCTCAGCGTCTTCACAGCTTCCCCACCAGGGCCTCCCTACACCTGTCCATTTAATTCTCACAGCAGCCAAGCAAAGGAAGGGTTAACCTCCCCATTTTACAGATGAGGCCACTGGGAGTTCCCACACTGACTTGCCTAGAGTCACACAAACTGAACTTTCAACAATCAGGATCTGAACCCAGCCCGTGCCCCAAGCTCACGCCTGCACCCTGGCCTGCCCAGCTCTCCCCACTCCGCGACCCGCTGTGCCCTGTGGAAGAACGACCAGAACACGCAGGGCTTTCGTCTGTGATGGTCAATGTCTTTACTTCTAAAGCATACATTGGACTCACTATATATTAACATCAAAAGGGGCTATCTAAAATGGAGTCATTCTTTTTAAAAACCCAAATTCTCACATTTTTATAGAAGATCCAAAATGGCATGAAATTAAACTATACAATGTTATGAATAGTGTAACAACTGCTTTAGAAAGCAAAATGAAAATAAAAAATTAGCAATTGGGACTGTTGTCAGCCTGGAATCAATGTCTTTGAGGAGCTGTGGCTGAGAGCTAGCCCTGAGGGGCTGGATGGGCCAGCCCCTCTGGGGCGCGGGGGGGTCAGGGAAGCCCCAGGGAACCCGTCAGATGGAGATCGCGTGCCCTTTTCAGACCTGTGTAGGGGAGAGCAGGACAAGGTGGGGCTCCCTGCTCTTCGGGGTCCTTGCTGCACTAAGTCAAGTCTTCTCTAAGGCCCACAACCAGGGAAGGGGCTGGAAGGGGGCGAGGGCAAAACTGGGGTCAATATAATCACTTGGATAATAAAGGTCCTCTGGACCTCCCCAAGGCCTCGGACGTCCAGTGACATCGCTGGACTCCACCTGCCTACTGATTTCCTTAGCATCGCCCTTCTCTGCCTGCTCCCTGCGCCAACACCCTCGGCTGGACAAGCCCTGTGGGAAGCCAGAGACATGGGAGATACCAGCAGGGCCCAAGGGAGAGCTCTCGGCCTTGGGAAGAGCTGGATGTCACCCGGGGCATCGCCGGGGGCCGGGCCAGCAGCGAGCCTGATGGGGGAGGGCTCCCATGGGCTGGGAGGGCTTTGCGCCATTGGAGGCCATTCACACAGTCCTCTCACCTACCCCACCCTGGGTACACAGGACGGTCTTGGCCCTGAAGAGGGCTGGGAGCTGACTGAGGCCCCACCCTTGACACTTTGGTTCGCACAATTCAAGGCGGAGAACACTCCTTCACAACCACTGGCTTGGCCCGGCTTCCTCCCGAGTACCAGGCTGTCTAACAATCCGCCTTTTTCACACTGCAGTTCATTCAGCGTGGCTGAGAGCACTTTCCCCACCAGAGCCTGGAGCCCTGCTGCAAAAGTGGGAGGGGCACTTCCAAAACATCAGTATTAGACCTCCTTGCAAAGGCCGCCCTTCCTCCTTTCCCTCTGGACAGCACTGACCTGGGCACTGTCCCAGGCTGAGTGTTCTCCCTGGAGAACTTCTCTGCCTTCTCCCTTCTGGCTACGCTGACTGCGCTCCAGGCAGAGCCAGCCCACAGGTGCGCAGCCCTCTCTCACACCCCCGTCAGAAGCCCGGAGGATGCCTCACCCCTGGCCGCAGCAGGCAGGCCTGTGGCTCCCGGCGTGCCCTCCTGGTACCCGAGACTACACCACGAAGCCGGCCTTCTCCCGCAGACAGCAACTCAAAGGGGGATACCCTACACCCAGCCCGCCTTTGGAGTCCAGCCCTTCCCCCAGACCCTACCATGACCTTCTCTTTCCTAACCACCTGGTTTCTAATTAGGCTAAAGGGTTTGGGAAGATTGGGCTGGCACCAACCCCTCCTTGGGGTGGAGAGAGGCCACCTGACTTCCAGTCTGGTTCCAGGCTCCCAAAGGCAAGGGAGGTGGATGGCTCTCAGGAAAACGAATCCTATAATGGGAAAGAGGTTTGTAGAACCATGGCAATCTGGCTCCCCCACCTCCAGGCAGGTGCCAGGCGTGCCAGGCCCTTCCACCTGCCCAGTGCTCTCCTGTCCTCATGCCCAGGGACTCTGAACACGGCGCTGTGGGGGGAGCCTCCGTACAAGGAGGCTGGACCCGGCCTGGTGGGGGCCGCGGCAGGGACTCAGGGCAGGCAGGCAGCTACCTGGTAGGCGCCCTCAGCTGCAGCGGCCGCAGCGCTGTGTTGCGCGCTGTGCTCCTGCAGCAGGGCCACGTCCAGGAAGCGCTCGCCACACCACACACACTTGAACTGCTGCTCACGGGCGTGCACGCCCTGGTGCTTGTTGAGATGCTCGCGTTGCTTAAAGGCCTTGTCGCAGTTGGGGCACTTGTAGGGCTTCTCACCGGTGTGCACACGCCGGTGCCGCTGCAGGTCTGACGCGTATTTGAAGCGCTTCTCGCAGTCCGGGCACTTGAGTGGCTTCTCACGAGCTGGGTCGCAGCGGTGCTGCACGAACTCTGAGGACGAGAAGAAGCGGCGCTCGCACAGGGTGCAACGCAAGGGCTTCTCGGCTGGGGAGCAGTGGGCCAGCTGGTGCTTCTGCAGGGCCGACGCCCGCTTGTAGGCCTTGTTGCACACCGGGCACTTGAAGGGCCGCTCAGTTGTGCCCGGCAGGCACTTGTGCCGCAGCAGCTCGGCCGACTGGTCGAAGCCCTTCTGGCACACAGGGCACTTGAAGAGGGTCTCGAGGGTGTGCACGTGCTGGTGGTAGAGCAGGTGGCTGGGCTGCCCGAAGCCCTTCTCGCACAGACCGCACTTGAAGGGCTCCTCGGTCTTGTGCGTGCGCCGGTGCCGCATCAGTGCGTACTGCTGCTTGAAGCCCATGGGACACAGGTCGCACTTGAAGGGCCGCTCGGCGCTGTGTGTGCGCTCGTGCTGCCGCAGGTCCGATGGCCGCTTGAAGGCCTTCTGGCACTCGCCGCAGCGGAACGGCCGCTCGCCGCTGGGCGTGCATGGGTGCTGCAGCAGCTCCGACGACTCCTTGAAGTGCAGCTCGCACACGTTGCAGCGGAACAGGTGGTGCTCGCCCGAGTGCGCATACATGTGGCGCACCAGGTGGGAGCGGTGCTTGAAGGTCTTCTCACAGACCGAGCACTTGTAGGGCCGCTCAGAGCTGTGTGTGCGCTTGTGGTGCACTAGGTGTGACGACTGGCTGAAGCTCTTGTCGCACAGTGTGCACTTGTACGGCTTCTCACCTGTGTGGATCCGCTCATGCCGCGAGAGCTCCGACAGGTGCTTGAAGGGCTTCTGGCAGATGGGGCAACTGTACGGCTTCTCGGCCTGTTCAGCAGGGGTGACAGCAGGCGGTGGTGGGGGCGCTGGGGGCAGCGAGGGGGCAGCAGTGGCCGCTGGCTCGGCCGCCTCGCCAGGCTTGTAGGTCTTCTCACAGATGGAACATTTCACCAGGCCACCGGTGCCGCTGTGGGCACTGTGGTGCTGAGCCAGCGAGGTGAGCAGCGAGAAGCCCATCTTGCAGACGCCACAGACAAAAGGCTTCTGCTCGGCCTGCACACACTGGTGCTCCAGCAGGTCAGTAGCCTGGTGGAAGATCTTGAGACACTGTGTGCACTGGAAAGAACGGTCGTGGCCCGCCAGGCACTGGTGCTCATGCGGGCTAGACAGGTGCGCCAGGTCGTGACCACACACACCACACTTGGGGCCCGGCTCACCTGCTGCCTGCAGGGGCTCATGCTGTGGGGGCTGTAGGCCCGGGTCGGGCTGCAGGAGGATGCCATAGACGGCACAGCCCAGGGGGTTCTCAGCCGTGCCCGGAGGCAGCGAGTGCTCGGCTAGGGCTGGCGGCGGTTCTGCGTGATGCTGAGGCTGCGGTGGCTGCGGCTGCTGCGGCTGTGTCTGTGGCGGCTGCTGCCAGCTTTCCGACATGCTTGGGAAGATGAAACAGGGTTTGGAGAGTAATGGCTTCAGTTTCCCTGATTAAGATGACCCAACCCAGAGAGAGAAGCTGCCCGGGATCAGGGACGGACAAGGACCTGAGACAAGGCACAGAAGAGGGACTGGTCAGATGGCCCAAGTCATTAACCAAGACAGACTACAAGGCTCTGCCTACAGGACAGGGGGCTCTTCGAGGCAGGGTGCCAACAATGCCAGGGAGGCTCTGCCTTCCCCGATGACGGGTTCTGTAGAGAAGAGAGAAACTGTGAGACTGAATCTGGGACACACAGCAGGGCCCTCCTGTCCCTATTCCACCTGCCCGTGCCACATTGACATAAACCTCACCTGGAAAGGGAGAGGGGCTCAAGGCTGGGAGGTCTGCTCCCTTCACTGCCAGTGAAGTCTGCTGGCATCTCAGCTCCTCCTGCAAAGGGATGGTGGCGGTCTCCACCCCACCTGGGCCTGGGTGTCCCAGCCTCCCGAGTACTGCCAACCCTTTTAAATCAGCTGCCTCACAGGCAAGAGGTTGGGGTGCTCTGCCCACAATACAAAAAAGTCACAAACTCTGCTCATGCTCCAACACAAGACCGACCCGTTTGCACCATGGTGTCCAAAACAAAAATTTTAGCAGCATAACTTTTTTTGCAAACAGATTCTTAGTTGGAAGCCCAATATATACAAGACAGACAGAAGCAGAAAGGCTCTGGCTGAGGCCCCCCCGAGGCCAGACAGCTCCTCTCCCATCGCAGCCCTGATCTCAACTCAGGACACCACTGCTCAGGAGAACAGCCTGCTGGGTCGGAGAGGCCAGGCCTCCCAGACCTGAGGGCCCAACAGCAAACAGCCTCCATCAGTCAACATTTAAAACAACTGCATGGAACAAAAAGACCATCTCAAAAACCTTCACATCCCTCTCAGCTATCCCCCAGGCTCTCCAGCCCTCCTGTGCCTGCTCTCTCTCTCCACACGCACGTCGGAGGGTCCTGCAGGGGCCTGAGCCAATGCATGATGGGGGATGAATGATAGGTCCACAGCCCCACCCAGCTTCCGTAGCTACAGCAGAACTTCCCCACTCTAGCAATCTCCCAGAACACCAAAAAAGTGCTAAATCCTCTGATCTGACTGTCAAGGCCTGCAGGAAGATGAAAGCGATGGTGAGCCTGCCTCTGCCCTGCGGGGAGTGATCTGCTAACCACAGAGCACTGCTCCTCATCACCTTTCCCGAGATAATCCTGTTCCCTCGCTCCTCATCTGTAACTTTCCGAGTAATCATGGAAGGTAAAGACCACCCAGCCCAGGCAAATCTCTAACTCACCACTTTGTGGCAGCATAAGGTAATGACAGCGAGAGGGAGGAACTTTTAGAATTCGATATAACCCACTTTCAGGTTCCCAGTTCCTCTGTCTCTCACACTGAAAAGTTTCTAAGTTTCCTCCTGAGGGAAAGAGGAGAAGGAAGGGGGTGCCTTCACAGGCCAGTCTGGCCTCTAACTGTTCTGCTAAAAGCTGTCATCCTCCGCATCTTCCGGGAAGAAAGAAAGAAGCTGTTGCTTTGGGTGAAGGCAGCAGGTTGCATGAGCAAGCAGGTGCCAAAGCCTCCCCAGAAAAGAGGGAAGCGGGCTACTCCGACGGCGGTGTAGGTTAGGCTGCACCAACACAACTGTTTTCTCCAGCATGAATGGCTGCCAAACATAAGGTCCCTGGCCCGGGGCTCCCAGCTCTACTGCCCACCCACTCCAGGAAGGTGCAGCCATGAGGCCTCTCGGATCACTCCGCAGAGAGACTAGGGCAGGGAAGCAAGGGGAGGCCCACACCTGCGCCCCACCCCAGCTCTTCCTCCTCTCTGGGAAACCGAATGAAAGCCCATCACCTCCCCACCTGCGCTGCCCGCCGCTCCAGCTCAGCTGCCTCCTGTCAGCCCTCACTGGGTATGGCCAGGCCGCTGCAGTCCAAGCTCTGGCCCCGGGGCCGCAGGCCGGGCCCGGGAAGCGGCTGCGCCTCGAGGCCGGCCTGGGCCGCCCAGGAGCTCAGAGGCCGCCGGGTCGGGCCGGAGGGTAGTGGGGACGGCCGGGCCGGCTGGGGAAGGGGTGCGGCGGGCGCGGGAGTAGCCCCCAGACTCGGCCCCGGGCGCCCAGCCGCTCACCTGCTCCAGGCCGCCCGCGGCGTCGGGCGCGAGGCGAGTGGCGACCCGCTGCTCTCTCCACCGCCCCTTTATTCCGGCTCGGTCGGCCAAGGCGCGGCCTACGCGCTCTGCCAATCCCCGGCCTCGCGTAGCGGCTGCGGCCGGCCCGGGGGCGGGGAACGGGCTAGCGGCGGCCGGAACCGAGGAAGCGACGAGCGCGGCCGGGATAGCGGTTCGGGGAGGAGGAGCGCCAGGAGGGCGGGCGGACCGACCGACGGCCTTGCGGAGATCGGAGGACAGGCGGGCGCGCGGGGGCCAGGGAGGCGGGGCCGGAGGAGGAGCGGCAGCCGGGCGGCGGCGGCTGCGGGAAGGGCGGACTGTGCGGAGCGAGGCCGCCCCCTGCCGGGGACCCCGAGGCCCGGCCGGGCCGGACCGGGCCGGGCCGAACAGCCCGGAAGCGTGGGGCGGCTTTCCCTTCGCTCGGCCCGCACGCCTCAGCAGACTCAGGGAGGGGACTCCGCTTCCGACCACCCTGCTCAGCCTTAGGGGTGGGCGCTCCCAGGACCCGGCTCCCGGCGCGACCCCTGCACCTGAGAGGAGGGGCCTCCGACCCTCTGGTCTTCCGGAACGGACCAGCCGCTAACTGCTCAGCTTGCTCTAAGGGCAGGGGGCCCGGAGCTCCGACTTTGGGCCGGCTTGAATAGGGGGCTCCGGGACTTCCGAAGGGCAGGGATCTCCGCTCTGTCTAGTGCGCTGCGCGCTGACTTAGGGACCGTCCGTAGCTGGGAGGTCTGGTCCCGGTAGCTGCAGACCGAGCCCCAGATGATCTGTGAAATGGGCGCTGGAGTCTCGGGGCACCGCAGTACCCGGGTTGCCCGAAACAAGCAACGAGTGGCAGTCTCGGTGGGTGGTAGTCTTCGCCGGGTACCCCCGGGCCCGCCCCAGGCCCCGCCCAGAGGCGGTGCTAACACAGGCCCCGCCCCCGGCGAGCATTTCCGGCGCCGCGGAATTCCGGGTGCCGGGTGCGGCTGCTTGCTGGTCCGCCCGGTTGTGGCCGAGGAGATCCCATGAGCGCGGCTCCCTTGGTGGGCTACAGCAGCAGCGGCTCGGACGATGAGGATGAGGTCGAAGCCGGGGCTCAGGCCCTGCCGGGGGCTGGACGCCGCCCTCGGTGAGGAGCGAAGGAGCCTTTCTGGGGAGGGTGCGGGTTAACGCGAGACCCGGAGTGTCGCGGAAGGGTGGGACGGCGCGGCGGCTGGGGGGGGGGGGCGTCTAGGCAGGGAAGGAGAAGGGGCATGAGGGAGGGGGGGTTCCAGGGGATACCCCTGGACAGAGCCCCGGAGTGCTTCTCACCCCCAGCTGGGCCAGGGTTCGGAGGCAAGAAACCTGGGTTCGGATCAGCCTCTGCCACTGGCTCTCTCCTGGCGCGCGTCACTGTACCGCCCTAGGTCCGATTCCTCATTTAACACAGTTGCAGAGGAATAGCTAAAGCGCTGGAGAGTTTTTTCATTCATTCAATAAATATTCATTGAGCACCCACTCCGGGGACTGGGGACTCAGCAGTGAACAAAACTATCTACGTCTTGTCATGGAGCCTCGATTCTTAAGTGCTAGACCTGGGGCTTGCCGTGTGCTTTTCAAGCAGTATCTCAGTTGATCTCTCAATAGCAGCGTCAGGTAGAAGTGTACGTTACAGATGGGGAAACTGAGGCCCACAGAGGGCATATGACTGGCCCAAGGCCGCAGAGCTAGGAAGTGCTGCTACTCCAGCTCAGGCCTGTCCCTCTAAGGAAGGTGACCGCTGAACCACCCAAGGTCTGCCTCTCGGAGTCATTCCTGGACCCCAATGAGACAGTACTGGGGAAGGAGCCTTGTAGTTACCTTGAAGCTGGTGGGAAATAGATACAGAGTCACCCACCCTGTACAAGGGGTTACAACTTCCACTGTGTGTACGGAGGCAGAGGATGCTCAGAGGATACATGTGCTCATTTTCTTTCCTTCCCTTGCAGTGGCCAGAGCCCCCTTCCCAGCCAGCGGCTGCCAGTTCCGGACAGTGTGCTGCACATGTTCGCAGGCACTGATGAAAGGCCTGAAGATGACAGCGCAAAACATGGGGGCCGTGTGCGCACCTTTCCCCACGAGCGGGGCAACTGGGCCACCCACGTCTACGTGCCGTGTGAGTGAGTGATGTATGAAAGGCAAGTGGCTGAGGCCGATAGGTGCCTCTTGATGGGAGACGCTGAGTCCCACCAGGAGGAAGAAGCCAGAAGCCTCTGACGTTGCTGCGGGAAAGACTGACTCAGCAGAGACAACAAGGCTCAAGAATTGGGGGATTTTTCTGTCAACTTAGTTTCAGTTGTCAAATCATTGCCTGGAATCATTTTTAGTAGCCCTAGTATAGGATAGTGTCCTCTCTGCCCATGAGGAGGTGAGCAAGGGAGGCTGAGGGCAGCGTGTCAAGGCCATCCCAGGGTGCAGCTGCAGCTGGCACCTGATTTCTAAGAGGGCCTTGGGTGTGCTGGGTTCTAGTCCCACTCCCACCCTAGGAAGTGAGTGACAGGCAGAAAATAATAAGTGCTACCTCCCAGGTCAGTCCTTGCTTCATGACCCCCGACTCTAGGTGCCTTTTTGTAAGTTACTGGATTTCTCAGTTTCCTCACTTCTGAAATGGGGATGACAGGAATGCCTATCCTCTGGGACTTCTGTGAAGATTAGATCCGATAATCTAAGGCAAGTTCCCAGCACAATACACCGAGTCAGCGGTGGCTCGTATTATTATTTAGTGTTAAGTCACATAAACTCTTGGAGCCCGTTTCCGCATCGGCAGGATGGCAGTGATTCTCTGTGCTGCCTCCCAGCAGGGCGTTTGGGCAGATTGAGTAACACACTGGATCTTTTTTACTTTAATTATTTACAGTGAGCATATGTGTGTTACTTCTATCATCAGAAATATGTATTAAAATATTATTAAAGTACATAGACATAAGCTGCTGTCAAGGTAATTTTCTCCTAAAACCCAGAGTGAAAAAGGCCTTTGCCTTCTGGGCTTCTTCACGCAGCCATGCTGCTCTGGCTAAGAGTGGCCCACCCTCTTCGCTGTCCCCTCCAGATGAAGCCGGGGAGGAGTTCCTGGACCTGCTTGACGAACTGCTGCCCCGCGCCCAGAAGTACGTCCCCCGGCTGGTGAGGATGGAGGCCTTCCACCTCAGCCTGTCCCAGAGTGTGGTTCTGCGGCATCACTGGATCCTTCCCTTCGTGCAGGCCCTGAAGGACCGCGTGGCCTCCCGTCACAGGTGAGTGCCACGTGCTCCCTGCTGTCCCTCATCGCCCTCCCCTCCAAGGCTCCTCTTCCTGTCCTGAGCTGCCCTGGGCATGTGGTGGGGGGGAGGGTGTCTCACCCCAGCAAGCAGGCCAGACTTAAAGGTTAGAACGTCCGGAGCCGCCTGCTCTACACCTCACCCTGTGCGACCTAGGCCCGCCGCATAAGCCCCTGTGTGCCGGTCACGGAACGTGTGGTAGGGGCCTGGGGGAGTGAAATGAGGTCATGCGTGCCCTCAGCATGGCCCTTGGCAAAGGATCTGGACTGGATGCCACTTCTGGTTTTATCTGCCAGCCGAGGGCTTTTTTTCCCTTAACCATTTCATACATCTTCTTTCTACCAGCAGTGCCTTTCCTTCTCGGCTGGGCCAGCTCAAAGCCCTGCTCCTTCCTTGCTCTCCCAGTTGGAGCTTCTCCCAGCAGCCCTCAGTCCCGGGGATCTCCCATCCCGCGGCTGTTTACGCCCTGGCGCTTGTTTCACTCATCCTCATAGCCAGCCAGTCCCATGTCCCTTGGGAGCCAAAGTTCCTGTCGGCCCAGGAATGTAGCTCCTCTCTGAATGACCCCACCTTTTTTGCAGGTGCTTTGCTCACTGTAGGCATCAGTTGGACATACATTAAATGCTCAAGCAGCCAGAGAGAGCCCAGAATTCCTCCTCTGGATCCTCTGATGTTGTTCTAGATGAAGCCTAAGAAGCCACCCACGTGGTTTTATCAGCAGAACCCTTTCTTCAAGTGAGGTGTTACACGAAAGCCCAGATGTGCAGGATGTGAGAGGGAGAGAAACAGCATCTTCTAGTCAGAGCCCCGCCCACAGTTCAGGAAGCCTGAGGCCCACAGAGCTACTCCGCCAGCTGGAGAGCTGCGCATTGAGTTTGACCCCTTCCGAGGGGACAGGAGGAAAGGATCTGCCCCCATTCGGTCAGCCAGAGAACGAGGACTAAAACTCATCTCGCCATCTAATGCAGCCCCTGCCACCTTTTTTTTAATTGTCACTACCAAATTTATTGAATCACATGTATATCAGAAGCCTCTCTTTCTCTCTTTAAAATTTTATGTATTTATTTTTAGAGAGAGGGGAATGGAGGGAGAAAGAGAAGGGGAGAAACATCTATCGGCTGCCTCTTGCACGCCCACACCTGGGGACCTGGCCTGCAACCCAGGTATTTGCCCCAGTCAGGAATTGAATCCGTAGCCTTTTGGTTCACAGGCAAGCACTCGATCCACTGAGCCACACCAGCCAGGGCTAGGACTCTCTCGATGGTGCCAGAAATCCACCCCAACGTGGCTTAAACTGAGAAAAAATTTCTACAGGCTGGTGTAACTAAGAAGTTTAGAGGTAGCACGGGCTTCATGCATGAGTGGGTTGGGGTGGTCAGATATCAGGTGGCACCTGCCTCTCGCCACCTCTCAGCTCTGCCCCTGTCTGTGTGGGCTTCGTTCTCACGACAAAAACGAGGGCCACCAGCATCTCAAGGCTGTCCACCTACAGCCCTGAAGGACAGCTCTCTTTTCTAATAGCTTCAGCAAATGTCGCAGGAATGACTTTGGTTGGTCTGACTTAACTAACAGGCCCTCCACAATTCCAGAAAGACCCGAACCAATTCAGAAAACTCATCCTTAAAATTCTCCTCCTCAGAAACACTCTCAGCCAAAATCTGTAGTAGGGTTCTCCAGAGAAACAGGACCCACAGGGCACACATAGAGATAGAGGGAGAGAGAGAGAGGAGGAGATTTATTCTAGGAATTGGCCCCTGCAGTTATGGTCAAAAAGTCCCACTGTCTGCCGCCTGCGAGGTGGAGAACCAGGAAAGCCAGCGAGGTAAATTCAGTCCCGCGTTCAAAGGCCTGAGAATTAGGGGCACGGGTTGGGGAGACTGATGGCGTGAGTCCCCTCTTAGCCTGGAAGCCTAAGGAGCCGAAACTGGACTCCCAGGGCAGGCGAAGGTGGACGTCTCACCTCAAGCAGAGAGAGAATTCGCCCTCCCTCCACCTTTCTGTTCTGCTTCAGCCCGTGATGCCCACCGCACAGGGGAGGGCCGTCTGCCTTACCCAGTCTGGCAATTCAGATGCTGCTCTCTTGCAGAAATACCCTCACAGACACACTCAGAGAGAATGTTTTGCCAGCTCTCTGGGTATCTCTTAGCCCAATCAAGTTGACACATCAAATTAACCATCATACTGGGCAAAAACATTCAACATCCACTCCCGAATGTTTGTCAGGCACCTTGCAGAACCTTCCTAACCTCTGCATTTAACCAAGCTCCTGCTGGTTCCATTATCCCGGACATTTTCCCCAAAAGGGATGCACTGGGAGGCGGGGGGCTGACAGAGTAGCCAAAAGTTTCTACGCAGACGCTGGGGTGTTGCGTTCCCTCAGATGGGGTGGGACCTTGGCCAGGAGGCTGTGAAACAATCGTCTCCTGTAATGGGATTGGCCAAGTTAGCCCACGAGGGACAGCAAGCCAGCTGGGCCCTCCGGGGTCTCCTAGTGTCCCAGAGGATGCGGCGGGAGCCAGCCAAAGTCAAAGCACTCACCTGGCTGCAGCTGACGGTCCCTGAGTCACTGATCTGCGTGGTGGGTGGGTGGGTGTTTCTGCCCCACTTTCCCACCAACAGACACCCACGAAGGCATCGTAGGTGAGAGCAAGGACTTTGGAACCCGGCAGGCTGAGGTTCAAACTGTGGCTTATCAAATTCAGCCTTGCCGACTTCAGTTTTCGTGTCTAAAATGCACGTAATTATAGTGCCTGGCTCACGGGGAATGTTCTTGTCATTGCTTAGACTGGGCGAGAATTGTCTTTTTTAAAACTGCAAAGAACAAATTGTCCCTTAAGTGATCTATTATCCCCTACTTGATAAATGACACTTTCTCACTTCCTGTCAGTAAGTTGAGGTAGTCTCAAATTGTTTAATGGAATGAAGAGCTATTAATAAAGTACAGTTTTTGCTGGCGTCTGAGTGAAACTATGTGTTACTCGAACTGGGTGATTATTTGAGGCTTTGTCAAGCTCTAATATTTTAGGGCTCCACTTAACACCTGTATAGTAGGGTGACAATACTAAGTGTGAAATGAGTTAACTATATTTTCAAAGTGCTATTTTTTTATATCAGTTTTTTTTTTTCTGATTTTTTTCCTTCTTCCTGAAATGTGGTCTTTTCTTTTAAACTTCAGATTCTGCTTTACTGCCAACCAGGTAAAGATTTACACCAATCAAGAGAAAACCAGGTGGGTCTTCCCCATGGGCCCTGTCATTTCCAGAAGATTCTTCAGAGTAAAGATTGAGGGCTTGCTTTGCCTCTGGCCTTGTCTGTCAGTTATTCATTTGTTTGTGTTTTAACCAACTCTATGACTACAAAGGCAGTTGTTCCCAACTGTGAACCTTTCTTTAAGAGAAATAATAGAAGAACATGCAGCAGGGGCGGGGGGCGGCGGTGGATTAGGTTAGAGAAAGCATCTTGGCATATTCAAAACAGCCTGCAACTAAAAAAAACCTGGGTTCCTGCCCAGCTCTGTCCCCAATTTAACATGTAGCTCATATCTTCACCTCTGTGACCTTCCGGGTCTACGCCCTCACATGCCTGTCCTTGGAACAGTCGTCCCTGGGCCCTTGTGAGGCTCAAATGAGCCAAACAAGTTTTTGATGAGCATAAGAAGAAAGAAATCGTCATTATCACAGCTTCAAAGCAGGCCTCCCTATCTTGACCCAGTCCCTGAGCTGCCTTCCCCGAGCGCTTCCGAGAGGAGGGCTCATTCATTCTTTCCGTCTCTGCTGCTCACAGTCATTCAGCGCCCAGAGTCAGAGTGACAAGGTCGCATGGTCCCTGCCGGGAGGGACCTCACGTTCTGCAGGGGAGACAGATAATAAAGCAAAAGAGATCGCTCGTAACTATAATGTGAAATCAGAGTCAGGAGCAGATGGCCAAGGAGGGCACGAGGGAAGTCCCGGGGCGGTGGCATGTGCTGGCGACCTGAGGAGGAGCTGCTGCGAGAACTTCTCAGCAGAGGACACGGCACAGGAAGCGGCCCTGAGGCAGGGAGGAGCGTGGCAAGTCCGAGGAGGCCAGTGACGTGGAAGCCGGGGAGCAGGTGCGAGGGTGCTAAGTGACGAGTTGGGCAGGCTCAGCTCAAGCAGCACCCTCAAGGTCAAGGGAAGGAGTTTGGGTTTTCGGTGTAACGGAAGCCATCGGAGGGATGTGGACAAAGGAGACACAGGATGCGATCTATGCTGTAAATGTCAGCCTGACTAGATCGTGTCTGTGGCTACTGAGCAGAGGGGAGGGGTAGGAAGCAGGGCAGACGCGGGGAGAACAGCGGAGGCAGGTGTCGCTGTCCGGGTGAGGGGCCGGTGGCAGCCTGGATTGGGAGAGGGGAGTGAAAAGCCAAGAAATCGCCACATTCCCAATACTGGAGATGGGACCAACTGGAAGTACCCATGGGGTGGATCTGTGCAAAATAAGGGGAAGACTCAAAGTCGGTTCCCAGGTTTGGAGTTGGAAAAGCTGGGTAGATAATGGCCCCATTTTCTGTGATGGGAAACACCAGTGGGAAGCAAATCTAAAGTTCTGCTCTATGCCCGTGAGATTTTGCTGCCTATTAACCACCCACCCGCTGTGGAGCTGTCACATACACAGTTGTATTGTGCAGGAGGGGCCAGCTGCAGGTAGACATTGGGGAGCCAGGCGCCTGTGTGGTATTTAAAGCGGGGCTGGGCGCGATCGGACTGCTGGGAGAGTGCAGATGGAACAGGTCCGTGCACTGAGGGCGGACCTCTGCCGCCCTTGGCCGTGGAGGGGTTGGAAAGAAGAGAGGGGGGCAAGGGAGACGCAAGGAGGCCAGAGCGGGGATCAAGCCAGGACTGTATAGGGTCCGGTGTCTGGGAAGCCAGGAGGGAAAAGGGTTTCAGGGAGGGAGGCGTCAGCGGTGTCAGATACTGCTGAGCAGCCAAGACAGGGACAGAGAAGTATCCATCGGATTCGAATGGGAAGCTCCATGGCAGCTCGAATGAGCAGTTCCCGACCAAGTCGGCGGAGAATGGAAGGTGAGGAATTAGAGACTGTGAACGTAGACAGTTCGTCTAAAAGAAGTTTTACTCAGAATGGAGGGGAGGCTGGCTGAAGATGTGGGTTCCAAGGAGGGTTTAAAGATGTGAGAGAGGCCCTGCCCAGTGTGGCTCAGTTGGTTGGGTGTTGTCCTGCAAGCCAAAGGTCGCCGGCTCAGTTCCCAGTCAGGGCACATGTGCCTGGGTTGTGGGTTGCAGGTTCGGTCCTGGTCTGGGCACATACGCTGGGCATGTAGGAGAAGCAACTGATCAATGTTTCTCACATTGGTGTTTTCCTCTCTTTCTCCCTCCCTTCCCCCCTCTCTAAAAATAAATAATAAATTTAAAAAATGAAAGATGAGAGAGAGCATGTAGGAGTGTCGATGGGAGTGTAGCCGGCGCTTCCGAGCCAAGCCCTCGAGAAGGGGCCAGACTCCAAAGTCATGGTGGAGAGACGGGTGTAGGGGCTTCGGGGTGTGCAGCCTGGGCCGTGACAGATAGGAGTGCTCCTGCAACTGTTACTGGACCCTGGGGAGGAAGGGGCGGTGAGCGGTCAGGGTTAAGGAAGGAAGGAAGGTTTCCAGACAGAGCGGGGGAGGGCGAAGGAGCCGCTCGGAGAGCAGGAGAGCGAACTGCCCGGAGACGGGTGAGAAAGCACTCACGGCCCAGCGTGCTCGGCTTTCTGTCTGTCCTGTCCTCTGCCCCATCACAGGCGGTTCGTGTTCTCAGAGGCTGCGTCTCCACTTCTGTCTCCCGCCAGGACCTTTCTCGGGCTCGAGGTCACCTCCGGGCACGCCCAGTTCCTGGACCTGGTCTCAGAGGTAGACAGGGTCATGGAGGAATTCGACCTCACCCCTTTCTACCAGGTAATGAGCAGCTCTGGGCGGGGCCTTTTCTTCTCCGGTGGCCCAGCCATATCGTGAGGAAAGCCAGCCTTTACTCAGAGGCAAACTGGAGAGCCCTCCAGAATTTTCCCCTGGCAAGTGTCCCAAATGCCACCCTTCAGAGGACACACTCCATCCCTGGAGAGTGGAGAGGCCTGAGGTGCGGTCAGACGCAACCCAGCCAAAGTCTGACATCTCTTAGAGCTTCTTAGAATTCATTTTTATGCACTTTAAGTGTGCGCAAGAGGTGTGCCTTCTACTCCGTATTGTTTTCATGTCTATTTTTACATTTTTTTAAGAAGCAGTTTTCCCCAGTACTCTTTAGTAAAACTGGCAGCGCAAAGGGTGTAGCTGGACATACTTTCCCGCACCTTGCCCCGCGCCCCGCAAGGCTACTCAGACTCCAAGCTGAGTGTCAGGGTATTAAAGGGCCATTGGTTTTGCCTGATACATTCCTTTTAAACCATGCCGAGAGGTATATAAGTATGAATTTGAATGGAGACAATTTATCGTTTGCTCATAATTTTAGACATTTTGGTTTTTGTTCATCTTAAAAAGTCCGTCATCTGTTGAAATGTCTTAGATCAGAGAATAGACTGTGTGTCCCAGAGTTAGTGACGCACTACGATGCGCATAGGAAAGCCCCTGAGGACAGGACTGTCTCAGACTTGGGCCACCGTCACAAAATATCGTAGGCTGAGGGGCGTAGGCAACGCAATTTGTTTTCTCACAGTTCTGGAAGCCAGAAGTCCAAGGGCCAGGTGTGAGCATGGTCTCCCCCTTCCTTGTAGGCGGTCGTCTTCTCACTGTGACCTCGCATGGTGCGGAGAGGGAGGGAGCAAGCTCTCTGGTGTCCCTTCTCACACAGGCACGAGTCCCATCGCGAGGGCCCCACCCTCATGGCCTCCTCTAAACCTAATTGTCTCCCAAAGGCCCCCCCCTCCAAATGCCATCACATTGGAGGTTGGGGCTTCAACATACGAATTTGGGGGACACAGTTCAGTTCATAACAAGGACCAATCCAGGGGTATTTCGTCTACCTGTTCAGGGTACTCGGGATCCACACTGAGGCTCTAGGATCCATGGAGCCGTCCAGGGATCCAGCAAGGATGCCGGGACAGCTCTGTCACAGGTCTCTGCGATGCCTGGGCCCGCCATGGCACACGGGTGACCACCTTCGCCCTGCCGTTCCCCTGCAGGATCCTTCCTTCCACGTCAGCCTGGCCTGGTGTGTGGGTGATGCTCGGCTCCAGCTGGAAGGGCAGTGCCTGAGGGAGCTGCAGGTGAGGTCCCAGTGCGGGGTGCCGGGCACGGAGGGCGCCGAACTCCAGGGCGAGGGGACGTTGGGAGGTGCGAGGGGAGCTGACTTACCCTGGGGTTTAGGTGTGCAAACCTGAATCCCGGGGAAATCACTGACATGGCAGGAGACTGCCCCCGCCCCCACCCCCACCCCACCTTGGCCCTGGAAGTGCGGCTCTGGACGAGCAGCAGCAGCAGCAGCAGCAGCACCTGGGAGCCTATTAACACTACAGACTCTGAGGCCCCAACCCAGACCTAAGAAATCAGAACTGCACTTTAACAAGATCCCTGGGGGTCTGTGTGCACAATAAAACTTGAGAAGCACTGCCCTAGAGCACTGATCTGAGGCGATGCTGCGGGCCTTCCCAGAAGCCCCAGCCCCTTGCCCGGAGGTCAGAGGCTGGGGTGCCCATGGGGGCCTGGCCGATGTTGGGAATGCGTGAGACGCGCCGGGTGAGGAACACCCGCCTTCATAGCCTTTCCCGTACCGTGGTAAGTAGGTGAAGGTTTCGCTTTCCCGCCAGCCATGGGGAGGCTGCTGCACCCCCTCGGGTCAGGGAGACAGTGGCCGCGCAGGAATGCAGGCTTGTGTTGCTACCGCTCCTGTTTTTCCAGAGAAGCCAGGAATCCAGATGTTTATGTGTAATCTCCCTGTTTTCTAATCTTGGCAACCAATTTCTATTTTAAAAAAAAGAAGCATTTTGCAAACCAAACAAAATGTGCATGCCAGGCACGGCCCACGCACCACCACCAAGCCGCCTCGTCTGCCCCTGGCCTGGTCATGCCGGAGGGGGCAGAGACCTCTGGTGTGGGGCTCCCACAGACCAGGTCCCAATCCTGGTTTTACTAGATTCTGGAGCCCAGGGCTCTGAGCTGCCATTTCCTCCTTGCAACACTGGGACGGCAGGACCGACCTCCCGCGGTGGCAGAGCAGATCAGGCGGGATAACCGAGTGCAGGCCCTGGGGCCTGTGGGCCTTCGGTTTCCTTCGGCCAAGCCTAACCCCTGAAGGCCTTCCATGGGCTGGATGTGTCTGCAGCGCCCTCCAGGTCCCTGAGTCCCCTAAAGCGACTATCCTGGCTCCCGGTTTAAGGACGCTGTGGACCAGATGGAAGACGCCGAGCTGCTGCTGCGCATGCACGCCGAGCAGGTCCGCTGCAAGTCTGGGAACAAGTTCTTCTCGATGCCTCTGAAGTGAGCACCGAAGCCCTCCTCGTCCCAGGACTCGCCGCAGGAGCCACGGGAGGCCTGGTGGTCCAGGCCGCCGGCCGGCGGGTTCTCTCCTGGCCCTTTTGGGTTGCAGGACCCGCGCTGCTGCGTTGTGGTCATTCCCAAAGATCACCAGTAGAGGGCAGACTGGGCTCCCTTGTACTAGGTCTGATTTCTTCCACAAAGGCACACAAAATGGGGTCACTCAGTGAGCCCACCCGTACTTGCCAGTATCCCCACTGTAGTCCCTCCAACAAGCGGCCCCTCCCCACGCTCCCCCACGGCCCCTTCAGCTGTTTGCATCCTGATGCCATTGGCCTCCGACCAGCTCCAGCCAGGACGCGGGGTGCTTCAATGGGTCCGTCACCCTCCCTTGTTGAGGCTTGTCACTTTATTCCTAGTGTCACCTCTTCCTATGCCATCGGACGCCATTCCAGGGCCAAGGTACAGGGTGCTAATTGGAGGTTCAGCAGCAGTTTTCTCCATTCCTTCATCCCACTCGCCCCCCGCCAGGTGCCTGGGGAGACTTGAGCAGATGTTTCATTTTGGCCTCGCCGGTGGCTTTCCGCCAGGCCTCCAACGCTTTGTGACCTCTGGTTTCCCATCAGCTTTCCAAGAGGCTGAGAGGCACCTCCCCCCAACCCAGGCTCGCTTTCCACAGCCCCCAACAGCCTGCTCTGGCCTGCGGGCCTTCAGAGGGGACAAGGACGGGGGCCGGGCTGCACAGGCCTGCTACTCTGAGCCCTCACGAGAGCGAAGGACCAGTCCTCTCCAGTTGCCGTCCGGACTACTGGTGATGGATGAAGAGATAGTTTCATGTTAGAGTTTTAAATTATGTTCAACAAATAAAAATTAGTTTGTATTTTGGATTTTGTTTTGGACTTCTATCCAACTGGGCGAAAAGATGACTCTTCTCCACGCCGTCCTGTCAGTGCGCTTCGCAGCCGGGGCCCCGGGAATCTCCGTTTTGACTGCTAACGTGGCCGTTAGAGATGTTAACGTTGGGGTGGGGTCACCCAGCTGGCCAGGCCTGCACACCACGGAGGTTGCACACACATTTAGCCCGGAGCTGGGCGTGTGGCGGGGGTCGCCACCCTCATTCCTCATCAGTGTAAGACATTTAGACTCAGCACAATTTTCAAAGCCCCTTGTAGGACCTTGTCATCTGTTCCCCAATAACCCTGCCGAAAGGTGAACGAGGTAGGAATGATTATTCCACTTGCACACAGGTTCAATGACTACCCTGAAGTCACGTGAGAAATCGGGTAAGGCTCCACCTCCATGCTGACCTCAATCCTGCCTTGGCCAGGCCTGAGGGAAAGGCAGGGAACGAGGCGCTCCTCACCCTGGCTCCCACTCCGCCTCCCGCACCTGTGTGCTTCCGGGAGGCAGGCTCCCGGTTGCTGCGCGGAAGGTCCTGGGAGGTCACACGCTGTGCCTTGCTCCCCAGCCCCACCACACAGATCTGCTGATTCAACTCCGACCCGTCAGTTGGTTCTTCTGGCTTTTGAGGCCACGTTGGAGATGAAGACGAAGAAGCCGAGCATCCTTCCTGGCATGCAGGGAACGGCAATCCGGCTGTGCCGCCAGCACCGCCTGACGCCGCTCTGTGCCAGGCCCGAGCTGCACAGCCGGGCCAATCAGACTCCTCCAGGCCTCTGGCTGCTCGTACTGGGGAGGGGGCGGGAGGATGGCCACTGGCAGGCTGCACCAGGGAGGAGCCCCATGCCCAACTCTGTACCTCTCAGCCCCCCAACTCCCTTCATGGTCCAATTTCAGGATGGAAGCCAGCCTCCCACAAGGCAGGCTCTGCGAGCACAGACCACCTGGCTCTCCTCATCAGCGACACCAGCCTCCATCTTGGGTGTTCGCTCTTTCTGGGAGGGGGCCAAGTGTGCTGTAGCACCACCCTCCGCAACCCGCGAGGGCTGACCCCTGGTGCCCAGGGGGAAGGATGTGGCGTGGATGGAATTAGAGTGCGGCAACTTTGAGCAACGGGCCAAGATCAATAACCGGCTCTTCACTGGAGAATGGAAGGTGGTGATAGAGGAAGGAAGTAGGAGATTCGCTGGGGGGAGGGGCGGGGGCCGGGCTGGGCGGCAGGGGCTTGGCAGGCGCCCCGGCGTTGAGTGTGCCGCTGACAGTGCAGAAGCAGCTGGGGCTCTTCCTTAAGAGGCGATGTGCTCCGGACACGCTCAGGAGACAGAGGCACGATCAGGGCAGGCCGGTCCTCCCCAGGCAGCCTGACTCACCGAGTAAAGACAGGCCCTTGCGGGGATGTTATCACACAAGGGAGGGTGCAAAATCAACACATCTGGCCTCGGTGTCCTCAGATGTTCCCTGCAGGGCAGGGAAATGCTCAGCGGATCATCCCTCGGCCTCTTTGGCCCATTTCCACCTGGCACGCTCTGCTCTCCGCGGGCTCCGCTCTCCAGACCACCCGAGCTTTGTTTCCAGGGAAGGGGGAGATCACCTCGGCTTGTTTGTTTATTCCTTGTCTTGGTACCAGCAGCCCAAGCGCCAGCGGAGGGCAGCCCGGGGTGGGGGCAGGGGTCCTGGGCCTGCTTCCCATCCACAGTGCTTTTCCTTGACCAAACAAGGGGCCCCAGCCACTACCTGAGCCAGAACCTTCCTTCTGCAAATGAGGAGACAAACCCAAAGAAGGGAAATGACTTGCTCAAGAGTGCACAGTAAACGAGGGCTGGGGCCGCAGCGGCTGGAACCTCGTGGCGGGGCTGCTAATGCAGAACTGTTTGGACAACCCCTCACACCACATCAGGGTCTCAGAAGGAAGCTGTGCTGTGAAATGACGCATCTGGGCTTTCACTCAAAAGACTCCGAGGAGAAGCGGGTGGGGGAGGTTAGGGTCTAATGAAATGATCGTGGCGACATGCGGAGAAGGGGTAAAGCTGGCTGGCTCTGAAGGGCTACAGTTCGCACATTTCAGCCCCTTGGGTCTCCTCAGGGATCAGTAGAACCCCAGATCCCTGCGATGGATGGACGTGAGCTCCCTGTAGGAGCCAGAACCTATCACTAGGAACTTCAGCATCTGGGCACAGGGATGCCATGTCTTTCAGATGCACAGGATTTACCCCAAGAGAGGAAATTCCTACCAGGAGAAAAACAAGGACCAAACTCATCTTACCGTAGCCTCTGAGAGCATCGCTCATAGTTCTCAGGCACCCCTCTTTGCTGGATAGCACCCTAAACTCAGATTTCTTAAAACAGTGGCTGATTGGGAACAGACAGGGCGAAAGATGGCGAGGCGTTCCGTTAAAACGGGACAATGCTGTCGCCCGTTTCCAAAGTCCCCTATGCCTTTCCCAAAAGGAAACTTCAAAGCCAAAAATTCAGAAATCCAATTCCCAAAGGAGGGACCCCACAGAGAAAGTTTGTCGGTGGAAATGATGACATTGCCCCAACCTTGTCTGCAAACCCCAACTTCCTGTCCTGGAGGGCCCTCGGTCACATACCAGGTAGTGACCACCGATTGCTGGTGCCAACAAAGGTCCTTTGTTTGACCAAACTACTGCCACGCCCCCCCCACCCTCCACCCAACAAGGCCCATCCACGTACTTTCTTCTAGAATCCAGTTTTATCTAGAGCCCCACTAAGTCAGGTCGGTTATCTGATCCCCCGCCCCCCCCCCCCGCCACTGCCCCCCAGGGCTGGGGCGGGGTCCGACCACCCTGGCCCGCCTTCAGCCAGGATGCTGCCTGACCTGGCGTCTTGTCTGAGTGACTTTCCATTCACTACTGTCCCCGCCCCCGCCCCACCGCAATTTGCTCCTCAGTCATAAATCCCCACTTGCTGTGGTTCTATTTGGAACTGAACCCTATGCTATACTGGAGTGTCTCCCTATTGCAATGGTGTTTTGAGGAAAATCCACCGTGACCGCTCTGACATCTGTCCAACTCCAGTTCTCTTTAACAGTTCTTAGTGTCACAACTCAGATTGGGTCATAGCCACAACCAGCGCGACCTAGATGACCTAGATGACCTAGAGCTTTGTCTCCAGTCTGCTCACCCCTCCCCACGATTCCTCAATGTCACTCAAAGCCAAGAAGACTTGAGGGACTCCGCCCAATTATCCAAGGTTTGTTAGACAAAACATTTCTGATCCCCACTGACAGCCCATGCACTACTCTCCTCTTGGCTGTCGGAAAACCAAATAAGCAAGGATATGAGTTAGTCCAAGATCTTGAGATCTATCAATAAAATCGTTACACCCAGATTTACCTGGGTGCCTAATCCTAACACTATCCTGACTGCTGTTCCTCCCAACACCCAGCGTCCCACAGTCCTTGGTTTCTGTTCTGCCCGGTTTAGGGTCCCCCTTTGTAAGGAATCCCAATACCTGTTTGCCTTCCCCCGGGATAATCAACAATATGCACGGACTGTTATGCCCCAAGGATTTACAGAGGCTCCTACTTATACTTCTCGCACACCCTAATGGCCAACTGGAGGGAATTAAAATTCCCAGGAGGCTCTGCTTTAATCCAATATGTAGATAACCTCCTTCTGTGTCCTGACAGTTATGACAGCTCCTCTGGACACTGTGTACCTTCATAAGCCATGAGGGAGAAAGGGCCACAAGGTGACTACAGACAAAATTCAACTGCTCTCTCTGTGTGTCTGATATCTGGGTCATATTGCAGCTTCAGGTAAACCTGTATCCATAGACAGGGCTTATACAATTCAACATTCTCCTCTCGGTGACAGAAAACGACAACTGAGAAGGTGAGGTCTTGTGGGGACCTCATTTCTCCATGACTGCCTCACTCCTTATGCCATGACCAGGAAAGCATCCTAGCCAACAATGCTTTAAGAACCTAAAGAGCCCTGGCTGGTGTGGCTCAGTGGATTGAGTGCTGGTCTGTGAACTGAAAGGTCACTGGTTCGATTCCCTGTCAGGGCACAAGCCTGGGCTGCGGGCCAGCTTCCCAGGTGGGGAACCTATGAAAAGCAACCGATTGATGTTTCTCTCTCCTCTTTCTGAAAACAAAGTAAAATTAAAAAAATTAAATTAAATTTAAAAAAAAAACCTAACAGGCTCTCTCTTTTCACCTCCCATCCTTGAACCTCCCAATTATTCCCTGCCTTTCTCCTTGTTTGTGCATGAACCAGAGGGTCATGCTCTTGGAATGTCATCCCAGAAGCATAATGGATACAAAGACCTCTGGGATATTACATTTTGGCCTTCGACCCAAGGCCTATCCCCCTGTGAGCCGCGGCTGCAACCACCAGACTTGTCCAGGCCACCTCTGTCTTAGCATTAGGTCACCCACTTGCCATACGCATTCCTCAGGCCACGCAGACGCCATTGCTTAATGAAATTATGCAGCACTTTTCTGGGTCTCCACTTACTTTCTATGAAATATTACTCCTTCCTCCCTCTCCCATCACCATACATCACTGTCATAACCTTAACCCTGCCTTCCTTTACCCACCCACTGGACCGACGGCGCACGCTTCTGTCATTAGCACCAGGTCATTATCCTGTCCTAGGCTAGCTTCATCAGAAAACCCCTCCCCCAGGCTGACCTACCCTTCATATTGATGGCTCCTACCTCCTGAAGGCGGATGGGGCGCTCCAGGCTGGCTATGCCATTACAGCTCGCCATAAGCTTCTAGAATACTGAGCCCTGCAAAACGTCAAATGGGCCCACGTAACCGAGCTCACTACTCTAACTCGGGCTTCCGTAAACACAGAGGGAAGGTTAACATTTGCGCTGATGTCTGCTGTGCCTTTGAGGTGGAACACGGCTCGGGTATGTAATAGAAACACAGAGTTTTCTGTGTTATGTCCCCCAGTTTTAACTATAGTGATGTTTGGGGCCCATTGTTGGCTGGGGTGCCAGCTGCAGGCACGAATCCTCTGTGCCTCTGGTAGTTACCATCACCACTGGCCTTGACTTCGTGGCTCACCAGCCATGAGAAAACCAGCACGCTGTCCTCCACAGTGGCATCACCCTCCCTGTGGCCCTGGCTGTAGACAGGGCCACTAGCACAGTGACCGGAAGCAACTACTGCACCTTTGTCCCCCACAATCTACCTGCCGCCTTTGCCATAACCAGGATGGTTCGACAGGTGAACGGAGAAATGTGTGCATCATCGCCGTCGCGTTCACACCACTGAGGAAGGACAACAGGTCATGGACTTCTGGTCAACCCGTGAAGCTGGACACAGGGGTCGATTCAGCTTCTAGGCTTTGTCTTTCCGTTTACCTTCAGAGTATCTCATGAACTGTCTTGTGGGTCGTATAGTACAGCAATTATCCACCGTCACCAAGTCTCAACAGATGGTTCAGCTGGTTCTAAAGGACTCAAGGCAACCAAGTGAGAAAAGGATTTATGTGGTTCCGAGCAAAAAAGAATGGCTCTTCTCCCCTTGAACAAGAGGGGAGACTGACAAAGATTCTTTGCTTAACGAAACTTTAGCCTGGCTCCCTTGAACCCTCTCCCCAACAAGGCTCATGCCCGTGCTTCCCGTAGGATCCAGTGTGAGTGAGAAAACTTGCGAAGTCAGTTCGGTGAAATCCCCCACCCTTGGTATGTCTGGTTCATCTCCAGAACCCCACTGCCTCCCAGGTGACACCTGATCACCCGGGCCTGCCTTCAGCCCCGGACTTGATGTCTCCTGTTAGTCGTTTTCCATCCACCAACACCCTGCCCCCTTGCTGCTGAGCTATAAATCCCCACCTGTTACTGATTGTGTTGGGAATCGGGCCCAGTTCTATACAGAGTCTATTTTCCCCTGTTCCGATAGTTTTGTTTTTAAATAACATCTATCTTCATCGTTTTCCTTCTATCTGTTCTCTTTAACAGTACTTTTTTTTTCACCTGGCAAGTCAGTGAACAGGTCAATTAAAGCTGCCCATTTCCCATGTCTGGGAGGTGAGGCCAGCCGGGCAGGTTTCAAGAAGAATCTCCCTCTGGCAAGGAAAGCTCCCATTTCCGGGGCTGGGAGGTGGCAGGCGAGAGGGGAAGAGCTTTGTGTCCTCCTGCCCTCCGGGCGCCTTCGCCTTTGCATCCAGCCTCCTGCCACCCATCTGCTGGGCCAGTGCTGTCCCTGGTCTGGGCACACAGCCCTCGGCCCCCACGCCCCTCGCCTCAAGCCTTCTGCTTCCACACTGGCAGGATCTCAAGCTGATCCTGGAATAGATTCAGTCTAGCACTTTTAAACTCCACTCGGCAGGACGTTTTGCTACCCGCCCAGCATCCTTGTCAGGCCCGATTGTCACATTTCACTTGCGCAAAATAGTGTCCTCAACTTGGATACCTAATGTGTGCTAGGCCTGGCACCAGACGGACACACACCGAACCGTCACCTTTAACTTTTTGCCCCATGTTCCAGATAGGGCCATGGAGGCTCCGGAACGTTCAGTGACTTGCCCACCTCTGAGCGGCAGGTAGATGGCAGCTTGACTGCAGCTGGTCCGTCCTACACGCGTGCGTGGTCATACTGCAGGTGGACATGACTTACCCCTCACTCTGCCACTGAGGAAAGCCACTTGAGCCAAAGACTTGATGGGCTTTTGAGAAAAGAACACATCTCTAGATTTTTGTTTATCTTTGTTTTGTTTAAGCCTAAATGAGGACACTGGGATCCTTCCTCCTCCAGCCCTCCTTTCTGCGCACCTCTGCCTCAGTGTCCCCACCCACCTACCAGGAGGGAGAAAAAGGAGTCTCCATTTCTCCTTACTCTCTGTGTGTATGGTGGGCGAGAGGTCACTCTGGGGATTAACCCCACTCTCCAAAAGCACGGATGGGAGTGAAGGAAGTGGGCTGGTGAGGATTCCCGCCCTCTGGAAAGAGTAAAGGGGCGCCTGCCCGGCTGCACCGCCGGCACCTGCTACCGACAAGCCCCCGCCTAAGATACCGCCCCCGGCCCCCGCCCCTCACCCGCGGCCGCGCGCGGAGAGAGCGCTGGCCCTTTAAGAGCGGCGGCGACCGCGGCGCGGGAGGAGGGCTGGGAGCGCCCTGAGCTGCGCTAAACTCGCCGGGGACGTCGGGCGCCGGCTCCCTGGCTCCCTCACTCGCTCTGACCGGCTCCCAGCGCCTCCTCCCGGGACTGCGCGGGGACCCGGGCCCGATTGGGCGCGGGGCGAGCAGAGTCCCCGGGCGGGAGGCGCGCGCTCAGGGCAGCGCCCGGCCCCGGGCATGGACAGAGGGAGCTGGGCGCGCAGGGGGCGCCGCGGGACCGGGCGGCCGGAGCGCTGAGCCAGACAAAGGCTCAGGAGTTGCGCTTGCTCTCGGGAGCCGGGCCCCGGGCGGCCAGGCTGCGGGACCCGGCAGCCGGCGGCTCCGGCCGGCCCTCTCTCCCGTGGGCCGGCTCCGCGTGCCCGAACCTCCCCTGCCGGCTTCTCCGCGGGCGTGGGAATTTGCCGAGGGGACCTAAGCGGCTCCGGCGGGGACCGGGACCGGGAGGGCTGCCGCGCGCCCGCCGGGCGCGGAGCCAGGGAGCGTCGCAAGTTTCCAAGCCTCGTGCGGGAACCCGGCGCCGGAGAGCGGGCGAGCCCCGCGTGCAGCGCTCCCGACCAGGCTGGGCGCCGAGAGCATGGGCAGCGAACGGAGCGCACCCGGACGGCCGTGCTGGGCAGGCAGCCTCCTCGGCGGCCGGGAGGCGGCGGCGCAGCCGCGAGTGCTGCCGCTGCTGCTGCTGCTCCTGGGCTGCCTGGGCCGCAGCGCAGCGGCGGAGGACGCAGAAGTCAATGCCGAGGTAAGGACCCTCGCCGGGGGAACTGGGGACAGGGAAGGAGACACGCCTGCAGCCCAAGGCCCGGAGCCTGAGGGCGTAGAGACGAGCCCCCTGTGCCAGGGGAGGGGGCAGAAGGAAGGGTCCAGGCAGGCTGCCCCTCCCCGGCTATCCCTCTTGCCAAACCCTGGAGGGCGTAGGGCTCGCGCCCACTCTCTACCCATATAGTCCTGCCCTGGGCACTGATCCGCCCGCGCTCCCGTCCGGGAGCAGCTTCCGACGCCCCCAGCCCTTGCTTCGCTCCTTCCCTCCGACCCGGCGGCCGATTCCTCGAGAGCCCTGCGGGCGCTGTGACAATCTTTACAAGTGGGGTGGGGGGCTGCCCTGAGGGAACCACGGGCTGGGCGGGGAGCCCCACCCCTGTCTAGGTAACATCTGGTCTGGGTGACCCTGGGCCACGCGCGGCTGGCCAGGATAGGGGGAAGGGGTGCGAACCTCCGAGACAGCAGACTCGGGTGGCGGGGGCGCTTTGGCGACTTTCTTGGGCTCTTGCGCGGATACCGCGCCACGGCCAGGTGAGGTCCGAGAGAGACCCGGTCTCCCCGGCTCTTCCTCCCACCAGAGCTTTTGCGCCGGAGGCCCGGTGCACGGAGGACGAACTCCGCACATCTCTTCACCGGGAGCCCTCGTGACGTCCCTGCGGGGCCCCCTCTCTGGGTCGGTCCCATGGGTGATCAGGCGTGGCCTCCTGGCGCAGAGATGGGTCGAGCCAGTGCCCCGGCCCCATGGAGCCACCCAGCGCCGTCCTTCCGATTAGGGACAGTGAGAACACCCGCTCCGTTGCCCCTAAGCGGGGTCTACTCTTTCCCAACTTCTAAGACCCCGCTCCCGGCCGGGCCTAGGAGAGGAGAGTGGGTGGTGAGGGAAGACTGCCTCCTCGCTCCCCGGGTACGCTCGGGCCTTGGTGCCCTTGCGCCGGCCTGGAGCCTGCGGTGCCGGGCTGCTGCCGGCCTGAGCACCGTCCTTATAGGCTTTGGGGCCGATGCTCCCTCCCAGCCCCCAGTGGCTTCCCCACCTCCCCCTGCTGCCTGGGAGATTTTTCCGATGGAAGCCTGCCCTTCCCCGCCCTACTTTAATAAAAGCTTGGAGGAAGGGCAGGGAATTCCTCCCGGCTCAAGTTACACCTCTCCGCCAGCTCCCCACCTGCTCTCCCCTCCCTCCTCGCCTGGCCCGGGAGAGCTGCCGGGATCCAGGTCCTGGCAGAAGGTGGGGTAGGCGTCCAGCCCCTGCCCAGTCCAGCTGCGACCTCGCCATTCATTGCGCCTGCGAGCAGGGCCCTTCTGCTGATGGGGGTTGCCCCCTGGCCTGGGATCCAGGTACTAGTGACAGTGTTTGGGCCCACCTGCCCCTCTCGGGAGTGGAGTACCAAAGAACTGCAAGTCACAGACCTACCCTTGCGCAGTTTTTAATCTATTTAGGAATGGTATCTCTGCACAGGAAACAATTATGGACCAAGCTGGAATTTGGTGGCCATGCATTAGGAATTGTCATCTTAGATGGCCGGGAGCTGGGGGCACTGAGACCTGTGATCTGCGGGGCTTCATTCTCTTTCCTTTGCTTCTGCTTCTCCATCACCCTCTACTCTCCCAGGGCCTGCATTGGGGTCAGAGACCATGGCCCTAATAAGCCTTTGGTGGCACCAGATGGGGATCATGAGAATGACTTGCATCCTCTCTCCTGGGGGAAAATTTGGGCTGGACTGTTGCTGGAAGAGACTGTGGAAGATTTAGAGACCCTTGAATGTTGTAAACCACAGTAGATGGAGGGCTAAAGACACCCCTGTTCCTAGAATTGACTTGGGGGTGCAGGCTGTTTCTTGGAGTTTTGTCAAGTCTGGGCAGATCTAGGCCCAAAGAGTTGAAGGGCTTCAGCAGTCAGTGCATTTGCCGGGAGGCTGTGGGACCGTTCTCCCCAGGCCCATGTTCTCCAGGGACCAGCCTCAGAGACTCCTGGGCCTGCGCCCTGTGTCCAGAGCAGCTCCCACAGCTGCAGACCTCAGGTTAGGTCACGGCTGGGGCCTTCTCTGAGCATCCTGGTAGCGGAGCCAAGGCCGGCCCCTGTGCCTCCCAGAAACCACAGGAATTTCACTAGACTGAGGAATCGGGGAGTCTGGCATGTGCTAGGAGCTGGCAGACACCTGCAACCCGCCAAGCCCCTGCCTAGTAGCGGCCGTCTTCCCTGAAGAAGCCACCGTAGAGTTACTCTGCCCTGTCCCCGTCACTCGCTGGGATGTCAAGCCCTAGGCCCCAGCTGTTCTGGGCTGGAGCCCACACCCCTGCATAGGTGCTGGCCTCCCCCGCCCGAGAGTCAAGGCGCCCCCTCAGGTCTGTCCTGCTCTTGTTGGCTGCAGCGCCTAGCCCGCTTAAGCACCTTTGGTTTTCACCAGGGAAGCTGGGGTCTCTTCTTACCCTCCGTCCGCCCCAGGCCGGGCCTCAGCAAGCCCCACACAGGTGACTCGGGCTGCCAGAGTTCACAGGCGTGATGCGGCTGCCACGAAAGCGCGGGCACACTCACTTTCCCTGAACGGACCCCCGCATATCTTCCTTGTTCCCACCAGCTTTGCAGGATGAGCAAAAGGAAGGCTGGGGGGCAGCTTGAATTCTGATTTTCACCCTCGGATCTGACTGGGGAGCCATAGCCTTAGGCTTCCTTGTGCCCAGTGTCTGCGGGCACGTCCCTGCTGGCCACGCCCTCCCCAGAGCCCCCGCACCTGCACTCTGATCGGTACCCTGTCTTAAATACGGAGCAGAAACTCCAGACGCCCCACGCCCAGCCTGTTGCCAGGTCCCTGTGTTGGGCCACCCCGGGGTCCCATCTGTCAGCCACTTCCCTGCAGTGTGCGCTCCTTGTCTGAAGAGCGCACCTCTCTGACCTGCCTGTTCCAACCTTTGGACGAAAACACCTCACTGCGCCCCACCCAAAAAGGAAACAACATAGAAACACACCCAGGTCCCCCACCCCAAAGAAGCTGCCCGAGAAAGCTCCTTGCCCCTTCCACCGTGTGAAGACTCACAGTGAGAAGCTGGCAGTCTGCACCCAGGAAGAGGGCCTTGACCAGAACCTGAGCATGGAGGCACCCTGATCTTGGACTTCCGGCCTCCAGAACTGTGAGAAATAAATGCTTGTTGTTATAAGCCACCCAGTTTATGGTACTTCTGTTACAGCAGCCCGAATGGACTAAGGCAGTTGGCATCTTCAATATTGTCCTGAGATTTATGTGGCTCACCCAGCCAGCCACTCAGGCAGGGGCCGAGCCCCTTGGCCCATTCTGCCTCGGGCGTGGAGATGTGTTCCGAGTCAGCAGCAGCAGAGCGGGGCCAGGGGCCCTCTGCTGGGATCCTCCGCCATCACAGACTGGGTCCTGGGAGGACTCCACAGGTGAATGTGAAACCTGGGGCCCCGAAGGTGGCCGAACGCTGCAGGCCTGCAGCACACGACAGGTGCTTTCTGGCCACACTAGCTCATAGGAGACCACTCCCCAGAGAAACACTGGTTCCAGGGACGCTGGGACCCTTTGGGGAGGGAGCACAGGATTTGCAGCACCCGGCAGGCACAGCAGAGGTGTGCCAGCCGGCCGTGCGTCAGAGACAAGGAGGGATGCCTCGTGCCAGATCCCATTCCCCTCATGGGAACAGCAGGGAACAAGCAGAAAGACCCAACGCAACCTCCAGTATCTGGCCAGATGTGGACCTGGGTCCCGGCCATTCACCAGCCTTGGGAGGTACTCCGCACCCCGCCGCCATCCGATGGCTGAGCTGCAGGAGCCATGGCGCCTGGGGGCCAGGGTCTGGGTCAGCGCTCTGAGCTGGCCCTGAGCCCTGGGCACCACCCTGTCCTCCCAGGAACGACTGTCACCCTCGAGGGGTGAGAGCCCAGCTTCGTTTCATGTCCAGCACTTGTGGGTAGGGCACCTGGTACATAGGCCATGCCTGCAAAATGGTGGCAAAACACAGTGACAGCGAGGAGCAGATGGCATGCTGTGGGACAAGTCAGTCATTGAACCCATCTGGGTCTCAGTTTCCCTACCTACGAAGTGAGAACAGTAATAGCACCTACTGGATGGAGCCACTGGGGAGATTCAGTGCATGTATGTGAAATGCTGACCACTGTGCGCAGTGGCTCAGTAGGATCCGGCGCTGCTTTGACCACCTTCGACATGTTTGGTTCTCTCCTGGGCCCAGCCTTGGGGTGTTCTGTAAGCATTTTCATTCTAGTCCTGGTATTGACTCTGTAAGTGTAGGTGCTCTTGCTATCCCATTGTACAGAAGAGGAAACTGAGAATGAGGTGAGGGAACTTATCCCAAGTTCCCCAGCCGGGGGTGGCAGAGCTGGGATTCGAACCCAGGCAGCCTGAGCCCCGGCCCCACGCTGGGTTAAAGGCTGCAGGTCGGAGCCCAGTGTGTCATCCTGTGGAGCTGCCCAGGCAGGCGCAGGCTGGGTCTGGGCCAGGTGGCACGGAGCTGGTAGAGGTGCGGCCGGGCGAACCTAGAGCCCTCCCCTGGGCTCTCCAGCACCCCGGGCTCTGCCCTGTGGACACCCCCTTCTGGGAGACAATGCCTACGAGGTGAGGCCCCAGGCCTGGCCCCCAGGCATGCGGAAACCACTAGCAAACAGGGCTCTTGCACCCCGCCTTGCCTGCCCACGGGCTCCAGGACCGAACTGCTTTTCCTCCAGGTGAAGGCAGGCCAGGCAGGCTGGGGGGCCAGAAGGTAGAGAAGCGGCAGGAGCACAGGCTGCCCACCTGCTTCCTGCTTCCCTGGCTGCGCAACCACGCCCCCCGGAGCCCTCTGCCCCACCTGCAGCTTTCCCTTCCGCAAGGCCAGTTCTTCTAGAACTGCCTGACTATGGGCCATGCTGCCTCTGAAGGCAGTAAAAGGTCCACCAAGGACAGGTGGCCTGGCCCAGTGCCCCCTTTGCTCACGGGCCATGTCGCCTGTGCTGTCACCCTGTGCGGCAGTTGGGGAGTGAAAATTTTGACCCCAGTTTACAGAGGGGAATGGCCAGGGGCTCAGAGAAGTCGGCGTAGGCCTCTTCCCATTCTCAGGGCAAGCGGGCAGGACCAAGGGGCGGATGGCACTGGCAGGCAGATTTCTGCTCAGCCTGAGGGAGAGCTAACAGTCACGGCCGCCCAGAGAGGGGGTGGGCCGCCTTGGTGGCAGTGAGCCCCCCGTCTTTGCAAGAGTGCAGGCCTGATGGGCCCCCTGCCCACTGGTGGTCCATGGAGGCTTCTGTGAGGTAGCTGGAATTGATGGCTTTGAGGTCCCTTCCAGCCCGAGACTGGAGGAGCCTAGGCCCCTCAGGATCACCCAGCTGGTACAGGGGCTCCTGGCTCAGACCCCCAGGACGAGGTGGGCCCAGCGGGGCTGGCGGGCATGGCCTGCCACCGCAGTGTCTGTGGCTCCCCCAGACCCGTCCCGTTCACGCCCGCTCCGTGCCCGGCATGGCCTTGGCCTGCCTCCAAGGGCCCTCAGACCACGACCCGGCGGGGAGGTGGTCACAGTGTGGGCCTCACGGTGCCCTGAAAGGTCAGTTCGTCACCCGCAGGCCTGACAAGATGCCCTTTGTCTAGGCAGCCCTGCCAGGGCCTGCTTGCATGGCCCAGAGAGCTGTGGGGGGCAGAAGCTAAGCAGAGCCCAGCTGGGGTGTCTTATCACTCGGGCCTGATATGGCAGGTGGGAGGGGCTGGCGGAGGAGCTGTCTGTGGCGACAGCAGCGCCCTGGCCCCTGCCCCCACGGCTGTGCTTACTGCACCGTATTGATCCATCTGGAAGCTCCTCTCAGACACACCCTCCCCACGGGCCTGCCTTGGCCTTGTCTCGAGGGCCTGGGGGGCCAGCCCCAGAGCAGCCAGACATGGCCCAGCCCCAGAGCAGAGCAGCCAGAGAGGAAGAGCTCAGGAGGATGGGGGGCCCTCCTCCAGTGCTGTGCTGGGCACTGCTACTGAGAGGGTCCAGAGCCCGGGGTCCCCAGCCCCGGGCCACGAGGGACGGGTGCTACCTCACAAATAGCCGAGTGCAGGAGTGCTGCTGCGGGCTCCAGCTCTAGCCCGGCCAGCCCTGGTGGGCCCCTCGCCCTCTCCTGAGCATGGAACGGGATGACGAGGGGATGGCCAGGTTCTCAGCCCTCGGCTGCTGCATCTGTGGCGTCTCCCAGGGCCAGGGGGCCGGGGGTTCCCCCTTCGGACTCCCGAAGGCCCCACGTCTCCTTGCCTGGGACCAGCCACTAATCCGAAGCATCTATGTATACTTATGGTTCAAGAGAGAAATGGCTGAAAGAGCCAGGGTGGGCAGGGTCTCCTGGGTGGGCTGCAGGTAGGAGGGGCCCCCACGGCCCCAGCGCTCTCTTCAGAGCCTTCCCTGCCTCCCGCTGGACAGCGACCCCTGTGGAGGAGGTCCCCCTATTCCGCTGCTCACTGGCCTCCCCAAGCCAGTTTCTCCACTGGAGAAAGGAAGTTTCACCTCCCTGGCATCCACCCGCGAGACTAGGTGAGAGGGAGGCAAAGGAGGCCCCTTGTGTAAGGGACAGACTTTGCAGTCAGTCACCAGTAGGAGTGGCAGGAGCTTAAGCACGGCCCTTCCCCTACTTTGACACTAAGAGGCCAGTCATGGCATTGAAAATTGCTCCCCACTTGGGTCCCATGGCAGCAGAGCCCCTCAGGAAGCTGAGGCTTAGGGTGCACGCAGCCCCTCCCCCGTCCCATGCGGCCTTTCCCCTCCTGGGCTGGTTCTACCTAGCACAGCAGGAGGGCGTGAGAAACTCCCTCCTGGATGCTGAGGAAGGGAACAGCCCGCAGCCCTGGACGGGTGGCCAGCTGGCTCTGCCTCCTTCACCCTACCGTTCGGCAGTTCGGCAGCTCTGGGCCAGAACCGCGCTTCTGCTCACCCTCCCACGCCACCTGTCCTCAGCTCCTGCTTGGTGCCCTGGCAGTGGCCAGGAAGCGTTTGTCACAGGGACGCTGGGGTTGCAAGGCCCAGCTGGTACTGAGATGGAAGCTCTCAGCTTCCCTGAGACTCAGAGGATGCTCATCTGCGTGAAGGAGAGTCCACAGACGCCCTTGGGACCTTCCCGTCAGCCTCTGAACTGCCCCCAGAATTAAAGGGCCCCATGTCCTCTGCTGGGCTCTGGGGCTCTTCCCGGCAGACAGGCCCAGCTCCTTCCCCTCCCCTCCCCCACCCAGGGCCCCAGCCCGAGCCTCCTCCTCCCTGCCCTTCCCCTGTCACTCTGCAGACACTGCTAATCAGCCCTGTGGTGGCCTGTGATTGAGCTCCCTGAGATATTTTTACCTTATGCAAATAAGTGATGCCCTCATCTGTCAGCAGGCCGCCCCACCTCCTCCGGCTGGTCCCTCTCCCTGCCTGAGCTGGCTGAGCGTCACGCCTCGCCTTCTAGATCTCTCCAGGCTTCTTCAGGAAAAGCGCGTCTGCCCAGGGTGGTGGGCGTCCCCCCTCACACACACACAGGAACTCCAGGAAAGCTTCCTGAGCTTGGGAAGAGCAGGGGCGGCAGGAGGGTGCCCAGGACGGTGCCTGGGTCTGGTGGAGCGGAGGAATGTGCCCTGGGCCAGGCGGCTGAGCAGGGCTGGCAGCGAGGCCACCTGCCCTCCCCAAGGCGGCCACGGCCCTCAGGCCTGTTGACAGAGGCCAAAGTCTGCTGCTTCAGGGACAATCAGACAGCTTGCCCCCCTCCCCCACCCCCGGCAATAAATGCATGTCACTAATGATGCATTTATTGAGTGCATTCCCCTGCTCGGCACAATGCAAACGTGTGTGTGGACATTCCCATTTCGTCCCCACAGAAACCCGTGCTGTGAGGCAGGCCCTCGTATAACACAGCCACACCTCGGAAGTGGCGTAGCTGGATCTGTCCTCAGCCCTGTCTGTCACCATCTTTGTGGCTCTGTCTCCTTGCTCTGTGGCTGTTTCCGCCGGCCCTGAGAGGCCTCGCAGCTTGGCCCTGTCTCCGCACTGCGCTCTGGGGCTCAGCAGCCGCCCCCTCCAGTGGCAGCCGGGGTCCAGCTAAGCCGGGTGGGTGTGGCAGCCCCTCCGCGCCCGGGGCCTGGCTGGGTGCCAGGGCTGACAGTGGCACTGAGGGAGCAAGTACCTACAGAGTTGGCTGCGACACGGGTGGCAGACAGATGTGGGTATGGCCCTGGCCAGCTGACACATGGCCGTCAGCCCAGAGCAGCCACCATGTCCGGTCACCATCTCGCCCCAGGGACCAGGGAGGGCCAGCAGAGGTGCAGAGGACACACTTCCATGGGGCCAAGGCCCATGGAAGTCCCCGGCCTCTGTGCCAACAGCCTCTCACGTGGTCACTGTGCTCTCAAGGCCTTGGGGACATGAGGCAGTCAGGTCAGAGTCCCCTTCCTTACCGCAACTCAGCGTGGCTCACTGGGGATCCCCCCCCTTTCATCCTAGTAGGGGAGACAGACGATAAACCCCTAAGTGAAATATATGGTATGTCAGATGGTGACAAGTCCAAGGAAGGAGGAGAGAGCACGCAGGGCACAGCATGTGGGGCTCTTTTTTTATATAATGTTGTCAGAGAACACCGTCCACTAAGGCGAGGTGGAAGCAGAGACCTGAAGGAGATGGGGGTGTGAGCCAAGCGTGTATCTGGGAGGGAGCAGCCCGTGCAAAGGGCCTGAGGCAGGAGAGTGCCTGACTGGCCGGCTGGGTGGGCCGGAGGAGTGAGGTCAGAAGGCCGCGGTGAAGTCAGGCAGCAAGGGCCCGGTAGCTTTTGTAAAAATTAGCTTTTCCTCTGAGAGGGGAAGTCTCTGGTGACCAGATCTGACTGGTAGAGACCTTTGCTCTGGCTCTGTGTGAAAACAAGACGGCAGGAGGTGGAAGCAGGGAGGCGGCGGCGGCTTGGGGTGATGGTGGAGGCAGAGGCCTGATGCAGGCTATGTGCAGTGGGGGCCAGCCACGCCAGGACCTGCTGACCGGCGTGGTCTCTCCTTTGCAGAACTGGCTACGGCTCTACGGCTACCTGCCCCAGCCCAGCCGCCACATGTCCACCATGCGCTCGGCCCAGATCCTGGCCTCAGCCCTCGCTGAAATGCAGCGCTTCTATGGGATCCCTGTCACCGGTGTGCTCGACGAAGAGACCAAGGCGTGAGTCCCTCCGATGGGCCCTTCCCAGATCCCTCTGGCATCGGCCCTCCTTCCAGCCTGCGCTCGTGAGGCTTGGCATGTGGCCTTACCAGAAAAGAGTGGTGGTCTAGCTAAGAGGCGACAAATGGTGTTGATCCCCTGTGGTAGCTCCAATTCGTAGGCAGTGGCCGCCTCAAGCCTAGGGTTGAGAAAGCTGCTGAGGCTGGATCCCAGCTTGGCTACAAGAAACACGGGATCAATTAGTGATGGCTGCCACAGGAATGAGACGGGGGGTGGGTCACAGCGCACCTGCCCTGGATGGGACACACAGCCGAGTTAGGCCTGGCTCTGAATCCGACCGAGAGGGTGTGATCAAAAGCCACAGCCTTGCTGAGCACGCACAGAGCATAACCTATCAAGGGCAGGAGGCCTCGGAAGTGACTGTCCTGTTCCTGGGTGGTTCTGGTGAGACGGGGCTCGCCTTTGCAGCACCACTGCTGGGCCCCCAGTCTTCCGCTGTGAGACCATTGCACTCCTTTTGCTGCTAAGGAAATGGAAGCTTAGCCCATCCCCCACCGGACCCTCAGAAGCAGCTGGAGGCCAGAGGCGGGGCGGGTGGAAGGAGGGCTGCCTGGAAGAGGCTCTGAGCTCACCCCGCCATGCTCATGACCCAGGTGGATGAAGCGGCCTCGCTGTGGGGTGCCAGATCAGTTCGGGGTGCACGTGAAAGCCAATCTGCGGCGGCGGAAGCGCTATGCTCTCACTGGCAGGAAGTGGAACAACCCCCATTTGACCTTCAGGTAGGGACCCCAGCTTCCCACAATGGCGTTTCTCCCAGCATCTTCCGCAGCACCTGGTCTGAGACCGCGGGCTCCCCAGTGGACTTGTCTGGAAGGCTTCCTTTCCCAGCAGCCCCCCAGGGTGCCCAGTAGAGACAGCCCAAACCCACTCTAACTCCCACGCTGACTACGGCTGCACACCCTAGGATGTCTTCCTCTGGAGAAGCTCAGGACCTTCGGAGCTGCTTCCCTTGTCTCCCCCTTCCCCCCTCCACCCCCGCCCCCGCCCCGCCCCCCAGCTGCCCAGTCTGCCCTCACTGGCCCAGATGGGTTCCTGTATTGGTACAGTTCAGGGGCCTGCACAGGGCAGGGCATGGGGTGTCAGGCACCTGAAACCAGGAGGGGTCAGGCAGGCAGGCAGCGGGCACCGTCCCCCTCTGTAGCGAGTCCTAGGGCAAGAAACGCCTCTGAGCCCGAGCATGTGGCGGTCCCCAAGGGCTCCTCTTCCTGTGTCTGTCCAGCCAGGGCCCCACCAGAGTTCCATGTCCCAAGCAAGAGTAGCTCCCACGGCCTCTTAGACCCCAGGCCCCCAGAGTGAATGGATGGTCCAGCCAGCTTTACTGGAGGCCTGTCCAGCGCCCAGACACTTACTCTGATTTACGTGGGTAACAGCAGACTTCCTGCCGCTTCCTCACGTGCAGGTCAGGGGCATGTGTTCCATGTGAGTTACTGTAACTCGTTTAATCCTCACAGGGCCACCAGGATGAAAGCACGACCTTCCTTTTCCCATTTAACAGGTGAAGAAACTCAAATTCAGAGACTAACTGGCCCATAGTCACGCAAATAATGTTAGAGCCGGCCTTGAACTCAGGTCAGCCTGACCCCGGAGCGCAACGTTCAGAACTGCTAGCTCTGTGTTCCCCACACGTTATCTGTTTGCGCCTCTCTCTCTAGGTCTTTGAGCTACATATCCCCTGTACTTTTATTCACTTACTGTTTCCCTACTGAAAATAGGCTTGTTTGGCACAATGCGACCTCATTGGGTGGTATCCTAATGAATTTCTGAGTTTGACATGTTTTCTTTTTCAAATTCACCTCTAAGTAAACTGATGGTTGAAATGGTCAGGCATTGTCAGTGAACCAGCTCAGATCCTATGCAAGGTCCTTGGGACCCTGTGTCTCAGCCTCCAACCCAGTGGGGGCCGGCAGTGGGCGGTTGCCCCAGGCCCTGGGGTCACCCGCCTGTCTCCCTGCCCACCTGCAGCATCCAGAACTACACGGAGAAGCTGGGCTGGTACCACTCGCTGGAGGCGGTGCGCCGGGCCTTCCGTGTGTGGGAGCAGGCCACGCCCCTGGTCTTCCAGGAGGTGCCCTACCAGGACATCAGGCTGCGGAGGCAGAAGGAGGCTGACATCATGGTCCTCTTTGCCTCTGGCTTCCATGGCGACAGCTCACCCTTTGATGGCACAGGCGGCTTTCTGGCCCACGCCTATTTCCCGGGCCCTGGTCTGGGTGGGGACACCCATTTCGATGCAGACGAGCCCTGGACCTTCTCCAGCACAGACATGCATGGTGAGAACAGCTGGCCAGGGCGAGGGCAGGGGAGGCAGAGCTGGAACTGCGGGGCTGGGAGCGGGGAGCTTCCCTGTGCCGTTCTCTGCAGCACTGACGCTTGGTCTCAAGCTCACCACCCTCACGGGACGGCAGGGAAGAGATGGGATCATTGCACCCATGTCTCATATGGGGAAGTTGGAGGCCCCAAGATCGCATCCGCTCAGCCTCTCCTAAGAGCAAAGCAAGGGCAGGCGTCCTGGCAGCCTCGGCCCACAGCCTGGGGCAGCGGGGTCCTGGGCCTGGCCCATGCTGACCGCGCCGCGGGCCCCACCGCAGGGAACAGCCTCTTCCTGGTGGCAGTGCACGAGCTGGGCCATGCGCTGGGGCTGGAGCACTCAAGCAACCCCAGCGCCATCATGGCGCCCTTCTACCAGTGGATGGACACAGACAACTTCCAGCTGCCCGAGGACGACCTCCGGGGCATCCAGCAGCTGTACGGTGAGCGGACGGCACGGCTGGGCCGGCGGGCGCCATGCTGCACGCCTGCCCCCGACTCCTAGTCCCACGAGGCCCTCCTGCTGCCCCATCTTGTAGGCAAGAAACTGAGGCCCCGAGCGGATTCATGACTTGTTCACATCACTCAGATGGGGCCAGGCGTCTGGCCCAGGACCTGCTCCCAGAGCCCTCACAGTGGCCCCGGGCTGGAGCCTGCGGGGTCCTGGGTGGCCCCAGGTCCCGTCTCTGCCCCCGTCTCCTCCTCAGCCTTGGTGACATCACTATTAGACTAACGGTACCCTGGGTTCCACAACCCCATTCCTTCTGCTGTCACTCCCAGCCCGAGCCTGGCCCAGAGTCTTTGCTGAACATTATTGGTTTGTTGCTTCCCAGTAGTTCTCAGGCCAGTGACACCCCCAACTCAGGCCCCAACCAAGAAAGCCCCCAGCGAGGAAGTGTCCTGAGGCCCATGGTGGGCGGTCGGGGCCTCCACCCAGCGCCCACGCCAAGCCTCTCCCTCGGGCTGGCAGTGCCCACCTTGTGAGGCGCGAGACAGACCCTGTATCCCCAGCAACCTGGTATTCAGAGGGGAACTTGGCAGAGTTTGGAAAATCATGTTCTTCCCTCAGTGTGTGTTCCTGGATCCTCCCGTGGAACAGGCTGGCATCCTGAGGGGAATGTCCCCAAGGGGAAATGGAGACGGGAGGCCACCTCATGGGCGCAGCGACCTCAGCCCCACATGAGGGGCTCAGGAAGGGGGCTCTGTGGAGAACGACAGAGGTCCCCCTGAGGGCCCTGGTGGGCGGGGGAGGGGAGGGGAGGGGCCCGCCGTGGACAGACAGGGCCCGGGCTTCCTTGTCGTCGCTTCTCATTCCCTCCTTCTGCCCCACAGGCACCCCAGACGGCCAGCCCCAGCCCACGCAGCCCCTCCCCACTGTGACACCCCGGCGACCAGGCCGGCCAGACCATCGGCCCCCCAGGCCCCCCCAGTCTCCACCCCCAGGAGGGAAGCCAGAGCGGCCCCCGAAGCCAGGCGCCCCCGTCCAGCCCCGAGCCACGGAGCGGCCTGACCAGTATGGCCCCAACATCTGCGACGGGGACTTTGACACAGTGGCCATGCTGCGCGGGGAGATGTTCGTGTTCAAGGTCTGGCCCCTGCCCGCGCCTCCCTCAGCCCCTGGGCCCGACTCAAAGAGTGAGGAGCACCCCCGCCCCGCCCCCCGGGCCTGGCCCTACCTGGCGCTCACCATCCCCACCCCTCCCTCACGGAGCAGCCGCTGGGAAGCCGCCAGACTCTAGACTGAGGAGCAGCCCACCTGAGTGGCGAGGGGCTGCCCCACCCGCCCTTTCCGCCCAGGGCTGTCCCCCTGGTGCTGCCCTCAGGATCTCGGTGCCTCCCCAGGGCCCACCGGGATGGAGGAAGGGGCGCTCCCGGGTGGTCCCTCCCCCAGGCCGAGGCAGAGCGCATGCTCCGTCCACTCACACCCACCCCCTCCCCAGGGCCGCTGGTTCTGGCGGGTCCGGCACAACCGCGTCCTGGACAGCTACCCTATGCCCATCGGGCATTTCTGGCGCGGTCTGCCCAGTGATATCAGTGCGGCCTACGAGCGTCAAGACGGGCGTTTCGTCTTTTTTAAAGGTGAGCTGGGGTAGGTGGGAGGGAGGGCCTGACCCAGGGCCGGGGGCGTTGCCTCCATTAGGGCAGCACCCCCGTCAGCTGTGTCCCGGAGGACGGGTAGGGGCCCGTACCGAAAGTGGGGGGCACTGCGAGGGCGTGAGTGTTCCCAGAGAAATGCAGACGCAGGTATGTGTGACTTTGTGGCATGGTGTACAGGGGTCACTGAGTGACACGCGTGTGTGGAAACGAGGGTGCCCCAGCTGTCCATGGGTGCAGAGTGGGTATGACAGGAGGGTGAGCTGCACTGTGTGTGGTGGTCAGTGCCTGCACTGGGTACAAGGGCATGAGTGTGATTGTGTGTACGTGTGTCATGCGTGCGGCAGTGGGTGTGAATGGATTTGCGGGCCCAGAGCAGCGTCCCTGGGCCCCTCCCTGCCCACCGCTTCAGCCCCGGCCCGGTTCACACCCGCCTCCCGCTGCCTCCACAGGCGACCGCTACTGGCTCTTCCGAGAAGCGAACCTGGAGCCTGGCTACCCACAGCCGCTGACCAGCTACGGCCTGGGCATCCCCTACGACCGCATCGACACGGCCATCTGGTGGGAGCCCACAGGGCACACCTTCTTTTTCCAAGAGGACAGGTGGGTGCCCGTTTCTCTAAAGCAAAAAGGCCCCAGCCAGGCCCGCCCCGTCCCAGGCCTACCCAGGGAGAACCCCCCACCAGCGGGGAACAGACTTCAGGCCTAAGCAGACCCACAGCTGGTGCTTTCGGTCACAGGTACTGGCGCTTCAATGAGGACACGCAGCGTGGAGACCCGGGCTACCCCAAGCCCATCAGCGTCTGGCAGGGGATCCCCGTCTCCCCCAGAGGGGCCTTCCTGAGCAACGACGCAGGTACCACAGCCAGCACCCTCCAGTCTGCCCAGCGCCCACCACCCCCCTCCTCCACACACCGGAGACAGGGCTTGCCCGAGTCATCGGACGTTGTGATGGCATGTGTCGGGGACACAGCTGTGTCAGGCCCTGGGTTGCTGGGAGAATGCGCCAGCCCTGGTCCTTCCTGGGTTGTCACCACCCCGTTGTACTGCCAGCCAAACTCAGCCGCAGAGCCAGGGGAGAGGGCCCAAGATCCCACAGTGAGGGACTTGCGAGGTCAGGGGCCCCACCCGGACTGCCCTGCTCCCGCAGAGCCCGGCTGCCCCGGGGCCGCCTGCAGGGAGCCTCGAGCCCAGCTCGGAGCGATGAGCTGAGGGTCCTCCCAGGGTGCCCACTCACCCCCTGCGAAGGAAGCCTGACCTCTGTCATTTTAACCAAGTGACAGGGAGCCGTGGCTCTTATTTATTTCTCCAGCACGGTCTCGGGTAAATTTAAGAAACGCCATAGCTCTGATTCTTGGCTTCCAGGTTCTCAGGCCCAGGGAGACCCTGTGGGCTTTGCCGGTGCTAGGGCAGGTCACACTACTTCTGCATGTGATGGCATCGCTCTCTGGCCGCTCTGGTCTCACTGTGATCAGCAGAGCATAGACTCACCCCATGAATCAAACCTGGCCCTTCCTGGAGCTGATGGGACGTGGCAGGGCGCCCAAGGCCGAAGAGCTCGGCCAAGCGGCGTTGGGCCCCACTCCAGGTCTGCTGCAGGCTGGCTGTGTGGCCCAGAGCGAGACACGGGCCTGTCTCGTGTGGGGCAGAGCCAGTCCAGGGACAGGGGAGCAGGGTCCTCTGACGGCAGCCTCCAACGCACCAGGCAACCGTACAGGACCCTTCCCCGTGCGCGGCTCTCGTCAGTGTCAGCCCAGCCAGGAAGCACAGTATTGTAGCAGTGCCCTTGACCCAAATGCTGCCCCTCGCTGGGCCTGGTCTGGTTTCTGTGAGTCGGGAAGGGGCAAGTTGGGGAAGCAAGTGAAAAGGAGGGTGTTGGAAAGCCAGGGCTCCTTCAGCACGTCCCGGTCGCCTGCGAGGGGCTCTGGCTGGCGAGCAGCCCTGGCCTGACACCACCCCGGCCTGCTTGCCCCCACAGCCTACACCTACTTCTACAAGGGCACCAAATACTGGAAGTTTGACAACGAGCGCCTGCGCATGGAGCCTGGCTACCCTAAGTCCATCCTGCGGGACTTCATGGGCTGCGAAGAGCCGGGACCCCGGTGGCCCGACGTGGCCCGTCCGCCCTTCAACCCCGATGGGGGAGCAGAGCCCGGGGCAGGCGGCGACAGCCAGGAGGGCGATGAGGGCCATGAGGCTGGCCCGGGTGCCGGGGAGGGGGACTCTGGGACGGGGACAGATGAGGACGGGGGCAGCCGCGTGGTGGTGCAGATGGAGGAGGTGACACGGACAGTGAACATGGTGATGGTGCTGGTGCCACCGCTGCTGCTGCTCCTGTGCATCCTGGGCCTCACCTACGCCCTGGTGCAGATGCAACGCAAGGGCGCGCCCCGCATGCTCCTGTACTGCAAGCGCTCCCTGCAGGAGTGGGTTTGACCCGCCGCCCTCCTGCTCCTCACGGTGCTAGGGGCCAGGCTGGCGGCGCCTGTGGTTCTGAGACTGCTGCTGGGGCACCCAGCAAGAGCCTCCCGTGGCTCCCTCAGCCCCTGGGTGGGGGCCTCCGGGCCTTTCAACATCCCTGCCAGCCCTGACCCCATTGTTTATTTATGCCCAGATTTTTTTTTTTTTTTTTTTTGCACACTAACTGAACATTGGTTTCTACTTTCCTGACCAGGGGCAGTCCCCCGGGGCAGGAGGTTAGAGGTTTGTAAATGGGGGTTTTGCTCCAGACAGGGAACTAGTCCCCACCCACCCCGCTCTGTCTTGGCCCCAGCCAGCAGAGGGAACGTCAGAAGGCCCAGGTGGGAAAGCGGCTGTCGAGGTTCTTCCCGCCCTGGGCCGCCCCCCCGCCCCCCGTAGCCTGAGCCCCGGGGCCAGAACCATGAGCTCCATTGGCTTTGGAGACCAGTGGTACCTAGCTGGCCTCCACCTACCGATGTCTGTCTCTGCCTTAGGAACAGCTTTCACCCAGGGCCACGCCAGGTCAGAGGGGACAGAAGGGGGTGGCCCTGGCTGTGAGTCTGCTGAGTTTTGATTCCTTCCCAACCGACCTCTAACAACCCCAGCAGCCCAGCTCCTTGTGCCTAAGAACCTACCCTGCCCCTGGCCAGCCGAGGGGCCCGCAGCCCCAGCTCCCCCGTCCCCTTGAGCCCACACCTCCTTTTCTCTCTAGAGAAGGGGTTCTGGGCCCGCCTTACCAAGGACCAAAGGGGGTCTGCCAAGGCCCCTGCACCCCAGGAGCCTTGCCTCCCGGGCTGGGCCTCCAGCCTCCTGTCTACCTTCTCTGAGCTGCGTGACCCACCTGGGCTCCTTCCCTGGGCCTGATCCCACCTTTTCTCACCCACACCACTCTCCTCAGGGGTCTCAGAGCCCCACCAGCCTCAGGCTCCAGCTGCCAGTATCCCGGCTCTTCTGGGGAGGCAGGGCTGATGGGTGCCCAGGCTGGGTGCTGGGTGTCAGAGTATGCCCACCTGTGTGGGTGCCCACGGCCCAGCATGCACCAGGCTTGGGGCGGGGGTTCCTCCCCAAGGCTCCCAGCTGCTGGCTCAGCCCCAAGGGGCAGAGATGCCTCCTCCTCTTCTTCCTCCTCTAAGCAAGCAGAGGTGAGCTGCTGTGGGAAATGGTACTGTACAGCCGGCTCTGTCCCCTTCGCGTCCCCGCAGCCCTGAGGAAGCGGGTCTGCCCCCCCAGAATCCTGAGGGCCCCAGAGGGAGGGGCTTCTCATGGGCTGGCCAGCAGCTTTTGCCCCTCCATCCTCAAAACCGGAAAGCCAGGCGGGGGGTGGGGGGCCGTGTCCACCCCCCGTATGTTTCTGTAAATAATCTGCACTGATTAAATTGTATGGCCGGCGAGTGTGGCTTCCTTAGTAAGAGGCCTTGGGCTGGAGCTTACAGCTGAGGGGGCTGCGGGCGGTGGGTAGAGTCCCAGCTGGGCCTGGGGGACTTGCTCCCACACCTAAGAGACCTTGCTCCCAGGTCTGTGGGGGCTCCTTCCCAGGGCCCAGGGAGGGGAGGAGCTGGGGTAACAGAGGCAGCTGCCTTCAGCTGGGCAGGGCAGGGGACGGGGGCGGCCCCCCTGGGGTGGGTCAGGGAAGGAGTGGGGGAGATGCCTGTCATTCATTCTCGGTGAGAAAGGGCGACCCGTCTTCCCACACGCCCTGCACATCCGAAGGACAGGGAACCAGGCCAGGCCAGCTGGCCTTCCGCCCACCCAGATGGGGTTCTGAGCAGCCTGAAGACCCAGCTGGGTCAGGAGGGAATGGGAAACGGCGCCACTGTCCGCTCTGAACGTTCCTCTCACCCTGTGCTCTGCTCAGGGTGAGGGGCACCCCAGGTCTGCCCTCTCATCTCTGAGGCAGCAAAAAAGCTCGCCCTGGGCAGAGTGCAGAGGACACCCAGGAGAGCGGGAGACAAGCACTGCTGTCCCTCCGGTCTGGGTGAGCCTTGGAAACCATCCCCTGCCCGCTGCCATCCATCCTCTTGGGCCCTGCCTGTACCCCAGGAACGCAGTGATCGGCTGGAGCAGGGTCCCCCCGAGCTGTGGAGCAGGCCAGGCCTACACAACTCCGGCAGGGCCCTCCAACCTGTTCCAGGCCCACCCTCCCCCACAGCGGCACCCCCCCCCCCCAACCCCCCATCCCGCCCTTTCCTCTCTTTGTATTGAAAGCTGGCTGGGGAGAGTAGGAAGTCCTGGCCCCGGGAAGCCCCACAGGCCTCTCCGGCCCAGCTAGGAAACGGCCTGTGAGCTCCCCTCACCACAGGGACCTTGGCGGAGGAACGAGGGATCCAGGCCAGACACCATCTTGTCAGCTTTCCTGGGGCAGAAGCCACAGGGCCCCCACCCAGCTCTGCCTTCTGCTGAAACCTTAGGGTCACCCAGAAGCGCAGAGGTCACCGGGCAGCTTAGGGGCACAGGGACGAGAAAGGGGAGGATAAAGGCCCGTCTCACGGAGACTCGGCAGAGGCGCCAGCCCCTCAGGAAACTTGAGGGACCTTCCACCTCCAAACTCTCTCGTAGAATCGCAAAGCCCAGTGGCTGATGGAACTGCTTGCTCTCCTGGGCATCTCAGGAGCCCTGCTCCTCCTTTCTCGCTGCTGGTCCCTGGGGCCCAGGTGTGCCGCGCAGGTCTCTGGGGAGGGGTGGGCGGAGCTCCGTCCCTCAGCCCCGCCCACCCCCATCCCCAGAGAGACTCTAGGCCCCAGCTCGATGCCCCCTCTGCCCCAGCATTAAACAGGAGGCTGCATCTTTTAACTTTTTTTTTTAATTATTATTAACACGGCTGTGGCTTAAACTCACCTTGGACCCCTGACAGCCCCCATTCCCTCACCATCTTTTATTCTTTTATATTTTCTAATTCTCAAGTAAGACAATGAAGACATTACAGATAAAGAGAAAGGAAAGGATGTAAGTCCCCTAAATTCTCCCAGGCGGTGTTGACAGCTTGGCGGGTTTCCTTCCAGCCTTTTTTTCCTCTGCATCTGCACAGCTGGGGTTTCTGAGTCTAAAGCAGCCTGGGCTTCGGCCCTGACGCTGCTGAATGTAAGCCTCCATGGAGGGGATCACGTGACCCGCCTCGCGGGCTGCTGCTGGGACGGCGAATAGAGGGTGAAGTGCTGGGGCAGTGCCTGGCATTTGGTGACCTCAGTCGACTCCACTTACATTGTACTAACGAGAAAGGTGGGACTCAGAGAGGTAAAGTCACTTGGGCAAGGCCACACAGCTAGGAAGTGGCCACGCCAGGATGAGAACCCAGAGGGCCAACTTCCCAGCAGTGCAACCCCACCCACTCCAGTGCTGCTGGGGGATCAGGGAGGCCCCCGCCCACCGTGGCCTTCCCTCCCCACACATGCTAGGCATCGAAGACCCCAGGGCCACCAACAGAGCCTCCTTTCAGGCTGGGGCAGGGGCCGAGCTGGCCGCTTCCTCCCCCTCCGACTTGGCAGAAAAGCCTTTTTGTTGTGGCTCACACAGAGGCCATTCTCCTCCAGCTCACGGGAAGGAATGGCCGGCTTCCTGTCCATCCACAGCCGCCCAGGCTGCGTGGACGCCTCCATGGAGGTCTGAGAGACGCAGGGCTCCTGCCCCTCCGCGTCCTCCAGGCCTGCCTCTGGGGCCCAAGGCGGCCAGGCTTTGCCTCCAGACCCATGAACTCACCCGAAAGGGTAGGGACGGCCACCCTCAGATGTAACGGCAAGTTCTGGGGATTGCAGGTCTCGAAGCCCGTTCAGGGCACAGCACTACCACCCGCAGCCCACTGCTCAGGTGACCTCATGGTACACCGAGGACTGGCAGAGGTCCTGCCAGGCTACCTGCGCTGTCCCAAGTGTCCCCTGTGCTTGCTTGTCCCTACGACTTTGCTTATGCTGTTCCCTCCTGCATGAAAACTCTTCCCTGCACATTTCATCCTCTCCAAATTGCACAGATCATTCAAGGCTCAGATTCAGGCCTGCCTTTCTGGATTCCCAGCCTCCTGCCTAGAGGTGATGGAGTTTCTTTCCCCTCTGGCTCACCCCGCACGTGTGTCCTCGCCATTCCTTGCCTTTGAGCCCAGCCTGCCCAGCCTAACAGGCACCCAGATGCTGACCACGGCTCTACTGCACACAGGCTGCATGTCCTTGGGGAAGTGACTTATGCTCCCACGTTCTCCACCGCTAGAATAAGACCAATAGCCACACCTGTGTCCTACGGTTGTGAGGCTTGACTGAGCTGATCCTTGTGAACACTTAGAACAGCACCTCGCCCGGGGCAGCCTCTCAATGGTCTGTTACCAATGTCTCTATTTTAGGAGCCCGTACCTGGTGGGTGCTGAGGAGGCTTGCCTCCTCGCCTTTCTCCCCAGGACTGTTGGTGGGATGGGGTCAGTGGTCACAAGCTTGGGGACAGGTGCCAGGAGGAGGGACATTCCTGTCCCCCCAGCCCCTCTCCCAGCTGCCGAGGCCTCGTCCTGCCGACCCTGGGGGCAGGGCTGTCCCAGCCCCGCCACTCGCTCCTCACCCACCCACCAGCCTTTCTTCCCAGACCCAGGGCATGAAGCCCAGCTCAGGTTTCCCCCACAAGTGTCCCTGACACCTCCCACCCCCCCATTTCACGCACCTCGGTCTTTGCCAGAAATAGCCTCCAAATTCCGCTTACAGCCAAGCTAACAGGCCCCTCCTGGAAAAACGATACGCTGGCCCCACCAGCATGGATCGCAGCAGCGCACTGGATTCCACGAGGAGATCGTTCCAAGTCAGGGGCAGGGGCGGGGAGGGGCAGCTGCACCCCAATAATTTCATCGAAAAATACTCCACACCATCCTCAGACCTGCCAGCTTCAACCAAATCAACTTGCTGATACAGATGGGGAAACTGAGGCCCGGACACAGACTCAGAGCTATGTCTCCCGATGCCCAGGCAGGACTCTCCTCCACAGCCCCCTGGCACTCCCCCCAACCTCCCCACCCCCATGTGGGGCCTTCCTCTCTGCTCTTCAGAAGAGCTGAGGACAGGGTGTTCTGATTAATGCAGCTTTCCTGATAAAGGGAGTTTTTGTGCTTCATGGAGCATAGCCTTCCACATGCTGGTGGAGAGTTCTGCCCTTGGGGCACAGCCCCTCCACTGTCCCGTGAGAACAACCCCTCGTTCCTTCTCAGCCCATGGGCTCTGGTAGAGCTGACCCCATCTCGTTGGGGGCTAGATGATCTTGTGGACCAGGACCAGCCAATCAGCACCCAGTGCATGGTTCAGGGGTGGGCAGGAAACCCAAGTCTGACCAATCAGGACCTCCTTGTGACTTTTCCTGGAGCTTCGGGGA